AGACTCACCAGCACCTGAGGGAGCAGACGCACCTAGAGCAGCAGCCTCGCTAGCACCTAGAGCAGCAGCCTCACCAGTACCTAGAGCAGCAGTCTCAATGCCCGGGTCGGGCGGAAAACACCGGTAACAGTCACCCTCATCACTAATAGTCACAGTATACACGGCAGCAAATATAGCATCAAAGTCAAGGTCAAAGACAGCTACACCCGCCCTAGACAGCTCACCCCAGCGGGGGATCTCAGTGGCCTCAGGGAACTGGTGACGCCAAGCGTCCGTCAGGCGGCCAAAGCAGCGCTGGGTGGAGTGCGCACCCCCGCACTGCTCACCCGCGCGGTCGCCGGTGCGCAGGACGTAGGTGCACGGACCAGCACCCCCACCCCTCTGGCGTGCAGTGTACCACTCACGGAGCTGCTGAGGGGAGGGGACGTCACGAGTGCGCTGCTGCTGCTGCTGCTGCTGCTGCTGCTGCTGCTGCTGGCGCTGACCACCACCGGAGCTGACCCTCTGCGCAGCGCCACCCCGACCAGCTCCACCTCCTCCGCCGCCTCCTCCTCCACCGCCGCCACCTCCGCTCCCTCCGCCACCGCCGCTGCCTCCTGCGCCTCCACTGCCGCCACCTACACCTCCACCCCCGCCACCACTCCCACCGCCACCCCCACCTCCTCCACCACCTCCACCGCCGCCTCCACCGCCCCCGCAAGCTCCTCCAGCGCCCCTGCCCCCCTTGCCCCTGCCAGGGCGGCGTCTCCCGCTAGGGGTAGACGCTGCCCCAACCGACTCCAAACCAGCGAGGTCGGCCGCAGCAGCAGAGGCAACAGAGGGCAAAAGAGGGGAGGGGGAACACCCCTCAAAGATGGGGGTGCGAGGGTCACCACGAGAGGCTCCTACAGCAACTATGCTCTTTTCTGCTGCTAGGAGGGCCTTCTCGAGGAGGTCAACGGTGAGAGTGGTGGGACAAACCGAGAGGAAGTGGTCCCTGACTACGCGAAGGGAGTCAGGGAGACGGGTGACTATGTAGTAGAGGGTGATGTACATGGGGGGGGGGTTCTTGGCGCAGAACTCAGCAGGAAGCGCAGCGCGGTAGCGAGTGTCACTAGAGCGGAGGTGCGTAATGAGGTCAGCGACTGTGGGAAAGGCAGCAAGGTCAGGGAAGAGGTACGGTAGCATGAGGCGGCTCAGTGCAGCAGTGGCAGGGGAGGAGTAGCGTGCAACTACAGCGTCGTACAAGGTCTGAGCACTCTTGTACTGGCTAAAGTGCGCATGCTCAGAGGTAGGGAGGTGGCGACGCACAGCAAGACGTGCAGCAGCATCGCGCGTGGCCCACTGTGAGCGAACGGTGGCGTCAGCATCAGCAGCGGGGGCAGGAGAGGCACCAGAAGTGAGGTCAAAGAGGGAGAGGCCGTCTGCTCTGTCGCACTGTAAGAAAAGCTGCAGGTCATCTATCCAGACGTCAAAGTCAATGGCCCGACCCTCAGCGTCAAAAGCGAGGACACTAGGGGTAGCCATGACAGCAGTAGACTAGCAGTGCAAACAGTAGGGCGAGGGCAGTGCTGTGAGAGAGGCGCTGCTCTTACCGGACAGGGCGGTTCGGGCGGCTCGGCTGCAGGGCGGCTCGGCAGCTCGGCGGCTGGGCGGCTCGGCGGCGGGGCGGCTCGGCTGCTGGGCGTCTCGGCTGCGGACAGGGCGGCTCGGCGGCTGGGCGGCTCGGCGGCTCGGCTGCTGGGCGGCTCGGCTGCTGGGCGACTCGGCTGCTGGGCGGCTCGGCGGGGCCGCTGAGAGGGCGGCGTCCGGGGCCGCTGGGAGGAGGCGGCGGGGCCGCAAAGGTAAGTGGCGGGGCCGCGGAGGTAGGTGGCGGGGCCGCACAGTAAGGCGGCGGGGCCGCGAAGGTAGGTGGCGGGGCCGCGGAGGTAGGTGGCGGGGCCGCGGAGGTAGGTGGCGGGGCCGCACAGTGAGGTGGCGGGGCCGCGAAGGTAGGTGGCGGGGCCGCACAGGTAGGTGGCGGGGCCGCGGAGGTAGGTGGCGGGGCCGCACAGTGAGGTGGCGGGGCCGCGAAGGTAGGTGGCGGGGCCACACAGGTAGGTGGCGGGGCCGCACAGGTAGGTGGCGGGGCCGCGGAGGTAGGTGGCGGGGCCGCGGAGGTAGGTGGCGGGGCCGCACAGTGAGGTGGCGGGGCCGCGAAGGTAGGTGGCGGGGCCGCGGAGGTAGGTGGCGATGGGCGCGACGGGCGCGACGGGCGCAACGGGCGTGACGGGCGCGACGGGCGCGACGGGCGCGACTCGGGCCGGCGCAAAGCGCGCTCCGGGCAGGAAAAAAAAATTTTCGTGGTGGTGGGCCCTAGGAATCGTTCCCACTAGGGAACCTGCTCGATACCATGAGAAGAAACGAGGAATGCAATGACTAAGTGAAAGTTGGGTACAAGAAGCAAACTCTAGAAAACTGTACCCCATATGTGCTACCCCACTATAGCCTACAGTAGCTATGTCATATAAATCTGACATTTTCTTGTTTTCTCTATTATTGCCGTGCTCCTTAGCAGCAAGTTGGCGTTCACCCTCTTTCTCTTACCCACTTAGTGTTTACACTATTCCTGTTTTCCCTATTCTTGTTTACCATCTTCCTGTTCCCTTTGAGCAGTAACTGCACCTGGAGTGCTGGGTCCTGCCCTGCCGCCTCCTCCTTCCTCTGGGTGCGCAGTCAAGAAGCGACGCATGTGCCCGTGGGTGTGTGATAATAACGGGAATGATAAACCATGCTTGTTGAGGAAGGTCTGTCCCTCGAATCAGATATGCATTCCGTTTGTGAGAAGCTGCAAAGGGTACAAATGCGTTAAGATCTTTCCAGGGGGCAAATGATGATAACGTATGTACTGCTACTTGCTGGTGAATGTAATGTTGGTAGTGCTACTGGCCGTAGCATGCTTGTAGGTACAAGAATGTGATGTGTGGTGTCCAAAAAGAGTATTATGCCATTATGTGCGTGCTGCAGTTTGTGTCAACGCGCACATTTGTATAGTTGCATTACATGTGTATTTTGTAGGTTAGGTTGAGCTGCGCTATTTAGGCTTGGGTTGGGTTGGGTTACCCGTACTTCCATTCACCTCTTCCAAACATTGCCGAGCTTCTTAGGGTCGCAGAACAGTTTCATAGCTGTTTGGAGCTTTTCCAATCGATGGAAGCGGTCATTCGCGCTTTACCTTGCCCCGAGACAGCCGAAGCAGATCAGGCCAGTTCTCCTGAGATTGGCTGACAAGTCCAGTTCTCAAGATAACTTCGATTATACCGCCATTGGCACGAGTAGAGACGAAGCGGACACTGATAGCAGTGCTGAGAGGACTACTGATATGAGTGACGACAGTATTACGCCTGCTGGAGTTCAAGACGAATAGTGACCTCAGTCGCGGCAGCGTTGGCTGGAATACATATCAATCCGATCTCGCGGCGAAAAAAAGCAGTGTGCGACTGGTGGGCGCGTCACGTAGTGCGATGGTGTCATGACGTACGGTCGCCTGAACGCGGAAACGCATTCAGGCAGCTCGAAACACGGCATAATGATAGCTTTACTTTAGTTACGGTTGATCCAAGTAGTTTTTTTTTTTTTTTTTTTTTTTTTTTTTTTTTTTTGGAGATAAGAACCACGGAAGGCGCGTCGAAAAGAGTTCAGGCCGCGGAGAACGTTAGTTAGAAATCAGGTCGTGGTAATGGCTTCTCGTTAGAACTAGGCTGCGGAGTGCGCGAAGACTTGGGTCTAGGTGACAATGGCAGTCTAGGTGACAATAGGCGGAGTCGCGCGGAGAGGGGAATTAGCAGTCTTTCATCCTCAAGTTAGGGTGCTTTCTTGAAGCCGAGTAGGAGCGTATTAGCAACGAAGAGACATTCTGGGGGCCGTGAAGGCTGTGGCAGCAGCGGGATGGAGCGACCCGGTCCCACGTCTCCGTACCGCCCTCGGCAATCTCGAGGTGTCAACGCTAACGCCCCGCCTCCTCTCGAGGTGACGAATGAGACGACTCATAAGTCTCCGTACCGCACTCGGCAGTCTCGAGGTGTCAATGCCAACGCGTCCCCGTCTGTTCCGGATCTTTCGGCTGAGGGGACTCAAAAGTCCCCGTACCGCCCTCGGAAATCTCGAGAACCCAATGCCAATGCCCCGTCTCCTCTCGAGGTGCCGAATGATTCGACGCAAAAGTCTCCGTACCGCCCTCGGAAACCTCGAGAACTCAATGCTAGCGCCTCCCCGTCTGCTGACGTGGCAAATGAGGCGACTCAGAAATCTCCGTACCGCCCTCGGCCGTCTCGAAGTGGCAATGCCAACGCACCGTCTCCTCTCGAGGTGCCGAATGATTCGACGGAAAAATCTCCGTACCGCCCGCGGCCATCTCGAAGCGGCAACGCGAAGGCCTCCCCGAGTCCTCTCGATGTGGCGAATGACTCGACGGCGCTAAAATCTCCGTACCGCCCTCGGCCATCTCGAAGCGGCAATGCGAAGGACGCGTCGTCTTCTCCCGTCGAACGGCCGTCGACAGGCGAGCCAACCCCCTCTCCCGGCGACTCTGGCGAGGCTCCGCTACAGGTACACTTCAATCGCAGAATAGTGGTGCACCATACATGCCATTAGGGTTTCCCGAAATTTCCCTTGCCAAGCGTTTCTCCTCCCGTCGATCGTCGACAGGCGAGCCAACCCCCTCTCCCGGCGACTCCGGCGAGGCTCCGCTACAGGTACACTTTGATCCCGGTATAGAGGGAACCGATACATGCCGTTAGGGTTTCCTGGAACTCGCCTTCTCCAGCTGATCCGCTGCCGATTCCGGCGAATCGCAGCTTCTGGTATCTCCCCGTTACGTGCATCCTTATCCCCGCTATAGACGTTTCCGTGTTACCGCCCCCCACCCCCCTTTTTATTTTCCCGAAGCGACCCCCCTTGCCGATTCCCGCGAGATCCTGATTAAGTCACACTCTCATCCGCGATATGATGCTCCGGATGCATGTTATTAGGGTTTTCCAGTGATGACGGCCGCGATAAGAGCGGTTATTGAAGTTCGTCAAGCCGTGTCACATTCTGCCCTGTTAAAGCGTCCGTGTGCCACAACTGGTATTTTTTTCTGTTACCACATCCCCCTGTTTCGCCCGTTTCGCAGCTAGGATTCCTCGCCACCCTTTCCAGGTCCAAGAAATGGACCGACGACGACCTGCCGGCGACGGACGCGCGACCCAAATCCGCCGCCGCGAACGCCTCCGCGTCGCACGCGTCGCAAGGGCCGCGGCCAAGGCTGACGCGATCGAACGCGTCAACCTCGCGAGCGCCCGCCGCGGAAGCCTCGAACTCGCGCGCCCCCCCCCCGGAAGCTTTTGCATCGAGCCCTAGTACAGGTTCGCACAAGGGAGGACCCACCCCCGGGTACGTTCACGGGCACACGCACGTGCGCAAGCCGCGGCGCCTAGCAACTGCCGCGTCTGTGTCCGGAGCGGAAGGCAGGGCGGAAGGTAGGGCGGAAGGGGGAGGAGACGGGGGAGGGGATGGGGACGGCGGAACGCTTGCGGATACAGGCAGACGGGTGAAGTCCTCCGCGTCGGTTTCCTCCGCGGGCGAGAAGGGGTCGCGGAAGCGGGGAGACGCAGGGGCAGGCGGAAAACTAGGCGGAAAAGCAAGCAGGAAATTAATTTCTGTGAGCAGCAGCGGCGCAAGCACCCCCTCTAGCAGCTTCAATGACAATGGCGGCGGGGGGAGCAGCAGCGAGGCAGGCAGCGTGCGCAGCAGAAGCACTTTTAGGTCATATGAAAATGATGATGATGATGACCTTAGTAGCCACGCGGATTCGGAATTAGAGGTGAATTTCGAGGAGGTATTAGGGCCCGCGTCGGGGTTTGACTGGATCACGAGTATTAGCGCTGCTTCCACGCCTTCGTCTAGCTCGTCCGCGAATAGGGTTACCAGGTTCGCGCCGAACACGCCTCCGCATGCGCTGGCGTCCGGGGTGCATCCGTCGTTTGCTAGTAACGAGCACGGGATTCTCGCGGCTGCTGCAATAGCATCGGTGGGCGGAGCAGGGGGAGCAGCAGGGGGAGCAGGGGGAGCAGCAGCGGGGAGGGAGGCGGAAGGGAAGGGGTCCGGAAAAGAGGCTTTTAAGACTGAGTGGGAGGTGTTTATGAGGCAGTCGGAAGGGATAGTGGGGTTGCATCTACTGGAAGGTTTGGCACCCAGGGGCTCGAAACGAAAGCAGAATAAAAAGAAGGTGCTTGTAAGGAAGGTGAAGGAGGAGACGAAAAAGATGGATTTTTGGGGGGAGGAGAGTGGGAGTGAGGAAGGGAGAGGGATGGGGGGTGGGAGGAGGAAGGGCAAAGGGGGGAAGGGAGGAGGGGGAGGGGAGGGGGAGGAGCAGGTTGAGCGGAAGTTTGGGAGCTTGGGGGAAAAGAAGAGGCGGGAAAAGGCGGGGAGAAAAGGGGGAGCGGAGTGGGAGGATGGGGCGGAAGGGGGAGAAGGGGGCGGGGGGAGGGTAGCGAGGGGAGGAAGGCGGGGAAGAACGGGAGAGGAGGAAGAACACGCAGAGGGGGGGGAAGAGGGGGAGGAGGGCGACGAGGGGGAGGAAGGCAGTGAGAAGGAAGGCAGGAGGTTCAATGAGTTGGGAGAGCGGGTGAGGGGAGAGCGAGGGGAGAGGGAGGAACGCAGGGGAAGGGGGAGGAGAGGGGTAGGTTACGGGGGGAGTAGGGCAGCAGCAGCAGCGGCGATTCGTAAAGCCAGATCAGGTGCTTCGCATGGTGGGGAAGGGGATGGAATTGGTTTGACTGGTGGTGATGGGAGGGATAGTGGGGCAGTTGAAAATAGCTCGTTTGCTGCCCTGGGCAGGGCGAAAAAAGCTTCTGGCGGTAGGGATGGCTCTGGTTTGGATCCAGAAGACGAAGAGGGGTCGTTTATTGCTCTGGGAAAGGCGAGGCTTGATAGAGAGGGCTCGTCAAATGATCCGGGCAGCTTGAAAAATGATGCTCTGACCCCGACAAAATCCGCGGCTGCGCCTGGTTTACCCGAGGTTAAGAAAAGTTTGGAGGGAGAGGAGGATTTGAGTAAGGTGGCCGGTGTGGCAAAGAAATGGGTGAAGAAAGCAAAGGATGATAAGTCGAAGAAGGGGAAGGATGGGGAGAAGGGAGACGGGAGTGAGGAGGATGAGGAGGAGGGGGCGATTGTAGGGTATGGAACGCAGGTGAAAGACGCCAGAAGGGGTATTGGGGGGTCGAAGGCTGAGGGAGTCGGTTGGGAGGGGTTGAAAGCGGCTGCAGGGGCGATAGGGGGAGGGGAGGGGGAGGAGAGTGGGGAGAAAGAAGCAGGGGGAGCGGGGGGTAAGGTTCGCCCCAAGACCCCCCCCCCTAGCTCGTTACTTGGTGGTGGTAATTTAAAAGCTCCTCCTGCTCCCCCTCCCCCGCCCCCGCTACCCCCTGGGGGCAAAGGTCCTCCGCCACCCCCTCCCCCGCCCCTTCCCCCGGCCGCCAAGGGTCCCCCTCCCCCGCCCCCGCCCCCAGGCTCCAAAGGCCCCCCTCCGCCTCCCCCTCCCCCAGGGCGGAAGGGCCCCCCTCCCCCCCCGCCTCCCCCAGGCGCTAAGGGGCCGGGGCCTCCCCCTCCCCCGCCTCCCCCAGGGGGCAAGGGCGAAGCTCCCCCTCCGCTCCCGCCTGGGTTCAAGGGGAAGGGTCCGCCTCCTGGGGGACCGTTTGGGGGGGGGAGGCGCGCGCTGGTGGACTGGGGGGGCATGACGAACGCGGATGGCACCATCTGGGCCTCGTGAGTTGTTTCCTTCTTTTAGTAACGTTTCTAGTTTGGGAAAGGTGTGGAACCGGGGCTGTTTGTGGGGAAGCGGGCGCTGGTGGACTGGGGGGGCGTGACAAATGCGGATGGCACCATCTGGGCCTCGTGAGTTGTTTCCTCCTTTTAGTAATGCTTCTAATTTGGGAATGACACTGGTGGACTAAACAGGTGTGGCGTATGGGATAGCTCCATCTGGGCCTCGTGAGTTGGGGGCATGCTTGGGGTGGGGAGAAGCCTAGAAGAAGGGGAGTGAGGAATAGGAAATTACGGAGAAAGGAGGTGCATAGAAGAAAAGGTGGGGAGTATGGGAGTTGGGACGGAAGTAAATGGGAGGGAAGCTAGGAAAAGGGCTTTGTGAAGGGAGGTGGGTGGGGAGAAGAAAGTCAGGGAGAAAGGGAGTGCCGGTGAAGCAGTTAGAGCCTAAGCCAATCCTCTTTTCTTTATCTGCCTTCTTTTCGTCCGTTACTACTTGTTCCCGTTCTTCCCAACCAGTGAGCTTGACTTTGATATTGATATTGGGGAGTTGAAGAAGCAGTTTGAGCCCAAGGCAGTGCCTCCTTGCCCCTTTGCCATTCGCCTCTCCTCCATCAATACCCGTCCCCTCTTCCCTTTCCTTCATCTCCCCTTCCCAACCAGAGAGCTTGACTTTGATATCGATATTGGCGAGTTGAAGAAGCAGTTTGAGCCCAAGGCAGCTGCTCCTTTCAAGAAGGCAGAGCAGCCTGTGAAGAAACAAGTCATTCGAATTGTGAGTACCAAGTGGTGCCAAGTGGTAACAAGTGGTACCATGCAGTTTGGTTTGATTGAGCCCAAGGCAGCGGCTCCTTTCAAGAAGGCGGAGCAGCCGGTGAAGACGCATTGTGAGCACCATGTGGTAACAAGTGGTGCCAGCCAAGTGGTAACAAGTGGTGCCAGCCAAGTGGTAACAAGTGGTGCCAGCCAAGTGGTAACAAGTGGTGCCAGCCAAGTGGTAACAAGTGGTGCCAGCCAAGTGGTAACAAGTGGTGCCAGCCAAGTGGTAACAAGTGGTGCCAGCCAAGTGGTAACAAGTGGTGCCAGCCAAGTGGTAACAAGTGGTGCGAGCCAAGTGGTAACAAGTGGTGCCAGCCAAGTGGTAACAAGTGGTGCCAGCCAAGTGGTAAGAAGTGGTGCCAGCCAAGTGGTAACAAGTGGTGCCAGCCAAGTGGTAACAAGTGGTGCCAGCCAAGTGGTAACAAGTGGTGCCAGCCAAGTGGTAACAAGTGGTGCCAGCCAAGTGGTAACAAGTGGTGCCAGCCAAGTGGTAACAAGTGGTGCCAGCCAAGTGGTAACAAGAGATGCCACCCAAGTGGTAACAAGTGGATCCAAACAGTTTAATTTGAGCCCAGGGCCGCTTCTCCTTTCAAGAAGGCGAGCAGCCGGTAAAGTAGCAAGTCATCTGCATTGTGAGTACCAAGTGGTAACAAGTGGCACCATGCAGCTTGGTTTGAGCCCAGGGCCGCTTCTCCTTTCAAGAAGGCGAGCAGCCGGTAAAGTAGCAAGTCATCGGCATCGAAATGCAGATAGATTCTCAAGTTGACATGGCCAAGTCAAGGAACGTGGAGATTTCTCTTTGCAGCTGGAGATTTCTCTTTGCAGCTGGAGATTTCTCTTTGCAGCTGGAGATTTCTCTTTGCAGCTGGAGATTTCCCCCTACCCTCACCTTACTCCCCCTCTCCTCCTCGCTCGAACACGCACAGATCGACATGGCCAAGTCAAGGAACGTGGAGATTTCTCTTCGCAGCATGAAGTTGGCTGGGTAAAGTAAAGATGCCTCATCCATCCTCCCCTCCCCTTCCCCCTACCCTCACCTTACTCCCCCTCTCCTCCTCGCTTGAACACGCACAGATCGACATGGCCAAGTCAAGGAACGTGGAGATTTCTCTTCGCAGCATGAAGTTGGCTGGGTAAAGTAAAGATGCCTCATCCATCCTCCCCTCCCCTTCCCCCTACCCTCACCTTACTCCCCCTCTCCTCCTCGCTTGAACACGCACAGATCGACATGGCCAAGTCAAGGAACGTGGAGATTTCTCTTCGCAGCATGAAGTTGGCTGGGTAAAGTAAAGATGCCTCATCCATCCTCCCCTCCCCTTCCCCCTACCCTCACCTTACTCCCCCTCTCCTCCTCGCTTGAACACGCACAGATCGACATGGCCAAGTCAAGGAACGTGGAGATTTCTCTTCGCAGCATGAAGCTCCATCCGCACGACCTCGTGGTATGCCTCCCCCCCTCTTCTCTCTGCTCTATGATGTCTCTGCTTCCTGCCTGTATTTCTGCTCTCTTCTCTCTCCTCTCTTCTCTCTGCTCTATGATGTCTCTGCTTCCTGCCTGTATTTCTGCTCTCTTCTCTCTGCTCTCTTCTCTCCCCTCTCTGTTCTCTCTCTTCGCAGCATGAAGCTCCATCCCCATGACCTTGTGGTATGGGCCCCTCCTTGCCCTTCTTCCGGTCTGCTCTCTCTGCTCTCCCCGCTCTCTGCTCTCTCCATTCTCTCTGCTCTCTGTCTTCTCTAATCTCCCTTCTCAGCATGAAGCTCTATCCCCACGGCCTCGTGGTATGCCCTCCGCTCCCTGCTTGTATTTCTGCTCTCTTCTCTCTTGGCAGCATGAAACTCCCCCTCTCTCTTCTCCCTCTCTCCCTCCCATCACATGCCATCAGGGTGCGGTGTTGAGTGTCGACACGTCAACGATAGGCGAGTGGTGTGACAGCCTGGTGGAGACTCTTTTTCCAATGCTTCTACCGTCAACCCCTGCTTTCCCCTCTCTCTCTCCCTCTCGCTCTCTCCTGCCCTTCTCATGCCACCAGGTTGCAGTGTTGAGTGTAGACACGTCGACAATAGGCGAGTGGTGTGACAGCCTGGTGGAGACTCTTTTTCCAATGCTTCTACCGTCAACCCCTGCTTTCCCCTCTCTCTCTCCCTCTCGCTCTCTCCTGCCCTTCTCATGCCACCAGGTTGCAGTGTTGAGTGTAGACACGTCGACAATAGGCGAGTGGTGTGACAGCCTGGTGGAGACTCTTTTTCCAATGCTTCTACCGTCAACCCCTGCTTTCCCCTCTCTCTCTCCCTCTCGCTCTCTCCTGCCCTTCTCATGCCACCAGGTTGCAGTGTTGAGTGTAGACACGTCGACAATAGGCGAGTGGTGTGACAGCCTGGTGGAGACTCTTTTTCCAATGCTTCTACCGTCAACCCCTGCTTTCCCCTCTCTCTCTCCCTCTCGCTCTCTCCTGCCCTTCTCATGCCACCAGGTTGCAGTGTTGAGTGTAGACACGTCGACAATAGGCGAGTGGTGTGACAGCCTGGTGGAGACTCTTTTTCCAATGCTTCTACCGTCAACCCCTGCTTTCCCCTCTCTCTCTCCCTCTCGCTCTCTCCTGCCCTTCTCATGCCACCAGGTTGCAGTGTTGAGTGTAGACACGTCGACAATAGGCGAGTGGTGTGACAGCCTGGTGGAGACTCTTTTTCAAATGCTTCTACCGTCAACCCCTGCTTTCCCCTCTCTCTCTCCCTCTCGCTCTCTCCTGCCCTTCTCATGCCACCAGGTTGCAGTGTTGAGTGTAGACACGTCGACAATAGGCGAGTGGTGTGACAGCCTGGTGGAGACTCTTTTTCCAATGCTTCTACCGTCAACCCCTGCTTTCCCCTCTCTCTCTCCCTCTCGCTCTCTCCTGCCCTTCTCATGCCACCAGGTTGCAGTGTTGAGTGTAGACACGTCGACAATAGGCGAGTGGTGTGACAGCCTGGTGGAGACTCTGCTGAAGTACGGCCCGGATGACAAGGAGAAGCGGCTGCTGAGGGTGAGTCGCTTATATGGAGGTGTATTGTATAGTAGGATAGCATAGGGGGGTGGCAGATACACGTTCGAGTGGGTGCACGTGTGTGGCAAATGGTGCGAGTGGTGCAACAGCCTGGTAAAGACTCTGTTGAAATATGGCCCAGACGACAAGGAGAAGCGGCTGCTGAGGGTGAGTTGCATGTGACCTAGTGTGCGCGTGTGTGTAGTAGGAGGGGGTGCATGTGCATGTGCATGTGCATGTGCATGTGCATGTGCATGTGCATGTGCATGTGCATGTGCATGTGCATGTGCATGTGCATGTGCATGTGCATGTGCATGTGCATGTGCATGTGCATGTGCATGTGCATGTGCATGTGCATGTGCATGTGCATGTGCATGTGCATGTGCATGTGCATGTGCATGTGCATGTGCATGTGCATGTGCATGTGCATGTGCATGTGCATGTGCATGTGCATGTGCATGTGCATGTGCATGTGCATGTGCATGTGCATGTGCATGTGCATGTGCATGTGCATGTGCATGTGCATGTGCATGTGCATGTGCATGTGCATGTGCATGTGCATGTGCATGTGCATGTGCATGTGCATGTGCATGTGCATGTGCATGTGCATGTGCATGTGCATGTGCATGTGCATGTGCATGTGCATGTGCATGTGCATGTGCATGTGCATGTGCATGTGCATGTGCATGGGCACATGTGTGGTGCGAGTGGTGTGACAGCCTCGTGGAGACTCTGCTGAAGTATGGCCCCGATGACAAAGAGAAGCGACTTCTGAGGGTGAGTCACATGTGTAGGTGGAGGGATGGGCGGATACCATAATGTGTAGGTGGAGGGATGGGCGGATACCATAATGTGTAGGTGGAGGGATGGGCGGATACCATAATGTGTAGGTGGAGGGATGGGCGGATACCATAATGTGTAGGTGGAGGGATGGGCGGATACCATAATGTGTAGGTGGAGGGATGGGCGGATACCATAATGTGTAGGTGGAGGGATGGGCGGATACCATAATGTGTAGGTGGAGGGATGGGCGGATACCATAATGTGTAGGTGGAGGGATGGGCGGATACCATAATGTGTAGGTGGAGGGATGGGCGGATACCATAATGTGTAGGTGGAGGGATGGGCGGATACCATAATGTGTAGGTGGAGGGATGGGCGGATACCATAATGTGTAGGTGGAGGGATGGGCGGATACCATAATGTGTAGGTGGAGGGATGGGCGGATACCATAATGTGTAGGTGGAGGGATGGGCGGATACCATAATGTGTAGGTGGAGGGATGGGCGGATACCATAATGTGTAGGTGGAGGGATGGGCGGATACCATAATGTGTAGGTGGAGGGATGGGCGGATACCATAATGTGTAGGTGGAGGGATGGGCGGATACCATAATGTGTAGGTGGAGGGATGGGCGGATACCATAATGTGTAGGTGGAGGGATGGGCGGATACCATAATGTGTAGGTGCATGCATGTGAGTGGCTAGTGGTGTGACAGCCTGGTTTTTTTTTTTTTTTTTTTTTTTTTTTGGGCTTTAAGGAGATCCCCGGAGACTCTACCGAAGTATGGCCCAGATGACAAGGAGAAATGGCTGCTGAGGGTGAGATACATGTGTATAGAGGTGTATGTAGAGGGTAGCATAGGGAAGGTGGTAGATACATGTACGAGTGGTGTGACAGCCTGTGTGCATGGGTGCGTGCATGGGCATATGTGTGGGTGCGTGTGTGCAGTGAGTAAGTGGTGTGACAGCCTGGTGGAGACTCTGCTGAAGCATGGCCCGAATGACAAGGAGAAGCGGCTGCTGCGTGCTCCTGCCTGCTCGTACTCACTCCAACTTTCCCCGCACCCCCACCCTTCTCCCCTCTCTCTTCCCCTGACAGGAGTTCAAGGGAAATGTGGAGGACCTGGGTCCGTGCGAGCAGGTGGGTGCTGGGGAAGGCTGGGTTTGATTGAGGGAGGCAGGTACTAATGAGATTTACCAAGAAAGGTGGGTGCTGAGGAAGGTAACTTGGCTGGTGCAAAGTATCAGGCAGCAGAGTGATTGCAGAACGAGGCACTACACTTGTTCTGAGACGTCTCGCAACCCAGTCAGCCCCCAATGGTTCATCTCCTGTTGCTTGTAGCAGGCTTCCCTCCCTCCCACCCCCCTGCTTTCCCTCTTCCCTTGATTCTCCCCGTTTGCCCCTTCTCACTCTTCCCATTTTCCCCCCTCCCAACTTCCTCCCCATCCTCTCGCCCCCATCCCCTTCCCACTCTACTCTCATCTCCCTCTCTCCTCTCAGCTGTTTCGAGCTCTGCTGGGGGTGCAGCGGCTGGAGCCGAAGCTTAAAGTGTTGCAGTACCGAATATTTCTGACGGAAAGGGTGAGTGGACGGGAGAGAAGGTGTGAGCCGATGGGTGATTGTGTGGATAGGTGGGTGGGTGAGTGGACAGGAGAGAAGGTGTGAGCCGATGGGTGATTGTGTGGATAGGTGGGTGGGTGAGTGGACGGGAGAGAAGGTGTGAGCCGATGGGTGATTGTGTGGATAGGTGGGTGGGTGAGTGGACGGGAGAGAAGGTGTGAGCCGATGGGTGATTGTGTGGATAGGTGGGTGGGTGAGTGGACGGGAGAGAAGGTGTGAGCCGATGGGTGATTGTGTGGATAGGTGGGTGGGTGAGTGGACGGGAGAGAAGGTGTGAGCCGATGGGTGATTGTGTGGATAGGTGGGTGGGTGAGTGGACGGGAGAGAAGGTGTGAGCCGATGGGTGATTGTGTGGATAGGTGGGTGGGTGAGTGGTGATAGAGGGTAGACCGACAAGACACGATGCAGCGGCTGGAGGGCTTGAGGACCGACAAGACACGATGCAGCGGCTGGAGGGCTTGAGGACGGACAAGACACGATGCAGCGGCTGGAGGGCTTGAGGACGGACACGACACGATGCAGCGGCTGGAGGGCTTGAGGACGGACAAGACACGATGCAGCGGCTGGAGGGCTTGAGGACGGACAAGACACGATGCAGCGGCTGGAGGGCTTGAGGACGGACAAGACACGATGCAGCGGCTGGAGGGCTTGAGGACGGACACGACACGATGCAGCGGCTGGAGGGCTTGAGGACGGACAAGACACGATGCAGCGGCTGGAGGGCTTGAGGACGGACACGACACGATGCAGCGGCTGGAGGGCTTGAGGACGGACAAGACACGATGCAGCGGCTGGAGGGCTTGAGGACGGACAAGACACGATGCAGCGGCTGGAGGGCTTGAGGACGGACACGACACGATGCAGCGGCTGGAGGGCTTGAGGACGGACACGACACGATGCAGCGGCTGGAGGGCTTGAGGACGGACACGACACGATGCAGCGGCTGGAGGGCTTGAGGACGGACAAGACACGATGCAGCGGCTGGAGGGCTTGAGGACGGACAAGACACGATGCAGCGGCTGGAGGGCTTGAGGACGGACAAGACACGATGCAGCGGCTGGAGGGCTTGAGGACGGACAAGACACGATGCAGCGGCTGGAGGGCTTGAGGACGGACACGACACGATGCGGCGGCTGGAGGGCTTGAGGACGGACAAGACACGATGCAGCGGCTGGAGGGCTTGAGGACGGACACGACACGATGCAGCGGCTGGAGGGCTTGAGGACGGACAAGACACGATGCAGCGGCTGGAGGGCTTGAGGACGGACAAGACACGATGCAGCGGCTGGAGGGCTTGAGGACGGACAAGACCCGATGCAGCGGCTGGAGGGCTTGAGGACGGACACGACACGATGCAGCGGCTGGAGGGCTTGAGGACGGACACGACACGATGCAGCGGCTGGAGGGCTTGAGGACGGACAAGACACGATGCAGCGGCTGGAGGGCTTGAGGACGGACAAGACACGATGCAGCGGCTGGAGGGCTTGAGGACGGACACGACACGATGCAGCGGCTGGAGGGCTTGAGGACGGACACGACACGATGCAGCGGCTGGAGGGCTTGAGGACGGACACGACACGATGCAGCGGCTGGAGGGCTTGAGGACGGACACGACACGATGCAGCGGCTGGAGGGCTTGAGGACGGACACGACACGATGCAGCGGCTGGAGGGCTTGAGGACGGACACGACACGATGCAGCGGCTGGAGGGCTTGAGGACGGACAAGACACGATGCAGCGGCTGGAGGGCTTGAGGACGGACAAGACACGATGCAGCGGCTGGAGGGCTTGAGGACGGACAAGACACGATGCAGCGGCTGGAGGGCTTGAGGACGGACACGACACGATGCAGCGGCTGGAGGGCTTGAGGACGGACACGACACGATGCAGCGGCTGGAGGGCTTGAGGACGGACAAGACACGATGCAGCGGCTGGAGGGCTTGAGGACGGACAAGACACGATGCAGCGGCTGGAGGGCTTGAGGACGGACAAGACACGATGCAGCGGCTGGAGGGCTTGAGGACGGACAAGACACGATGCAGCGGCTGGAGGGCTTGAGGACGGACAAGACACGATGCAGCGGCTGGAGGGCTTGAGGACGGACAAGACACGATGCAGCGGCTGGAGGGCTTGAGGACGGACAAGACACGATGCAGCGGCTGGAGGGCTTGAGGACGGACAAGACACGATGCAGCGGCTGGAGGGCTTGAGGACGGACACGACACGATGCAGCGGCTGGAGGGCTTGAGGACGGACACGACACGATGCAGCGGCTGGAGGGCTTGAGGACGGACACGACACGATGCAGCGGCTGGAGGGCTTGAGGACGGACAAGACACGATGCAGCGGCTGGAGGGCTTGAGGACGGACAAGACACGATGCAGCGGCTGGAGGGCTTGAGGACGGACAAGACACGATGCAGCGGCTGGAGGGCTTGAGGACGGACAAGACACGATGCAGCGGCTGGAGGGCTTGAGGACGGACACGACACGATGCAGCGGCTGGAGGGCTTGAGGACGGACAAGACACGATGCAGCGGCTGGAGGGCTTGAGGACGGACAAGACACGATGCAGCGGCTGGAGGGCTTGAGGACGGACAAGACACGATGCAGCGGCTGGAGGGCTTGAGGACGGACAAGACACGATGCAGCGGCTGGAGGGCTTGAGGACGGACACGACACGATGCAGCGGCTGGAGGGCTTGAGGACGGACAAGACACGATGCAGCGGCTGGAGGGCTTGAGGACGGACAAGACACGATGCAGCGGCTGGAGGGCTTGAGGACGGACAAGACACGATGCAGCGGCTGGAGGGCTTGAGGACGGACAAGACACGATGCAGCGGCTGGAGGGCTTGAGGACGGACAAGACACGATGCAGCGGCTGGAGGGCTTGAGGACGGACACGACACGATGCAGCGGCTGGAGGGCTTGAGGACGGACAAGACACGATGCAGCGGCTGGAGGGCTTGAGGACGGACAAGACACGATGCAGCGGCTGGAGGGCTTGAGGACGGACACGACACGATGCAGCGGCTGGAGGGCTTGAGGACGGACAAGACACGATGCAGCGGCTGGAGGGCTTGAGGACGGACAAGACACGATGCAGCGGCTGGAGGGCTTGAGGACGGACACGACACGATGCAGCGGCTGGAGGGCTTGAGGACGGACAAGACACGATGCAGCGGCTGGAGGGCTTGAGGACGGACAAGACACGATGCAGCGGCTGGAGGGCTTGAGGACGGACAAGACACGATGCAGCGGCTGGAGGGCTTGAGGACGGACAAGACACGATGCAGCGGCTGGAGGGCTTGAGGACGGACAAGACACGATGCAGCGGCTGGAGGGCTTGAGGACGGACAAGACACGATGCAGCGGCTGGAGGGCTTGAGGACGGACACGACACGATGCAGCGGCTGGAGGGCTTGAGGACGGACAAGACACGATGCAGCGGCTGGAGGGCTTGAGGACGGACAAGACACGATGCAGCGGCTGGAGGGCTTGAGGACGGACACGACACGATGCAGCGGCTGGAGGGCTTGAGGACGGACAAGACACGATGCAGCGGCTGGAGGGCTTGAGGACGGACAAGACACGATGCAGCGGCTGGAGGGCTTGAGGACGGACAAGACACGATGCAGCGGCTGGAGGGCTTGAGGACGGACAAGACACGATGCAGCGGCTGGAGGGCTTGAGGACGGACAAGACACGATGCAGCGGCTGGAGGGCTTGAGGACGAACAAGACACGATGCAGCGGCTGGAGGGCTTGAGGACGGACAAGACACGATGCAGCGGCTGGAGGGCTTGAGGACGGACACGACACGATGCAGCGGCTGGAGGGCTTGAGGACGGACAAGACACGATGCAGCGGCTGGAGGGCTTGAGGACGGACAAGACACGATGCAGCGGCTGGAGGGCTTGAGGACGGACAAGACACGATGCAGCGGCTGGAGGGCTTGAGGACGGACAAGACACGATGCAGCGGCTGGAGGGCTTGAGGACGGACACGACACGATGCAGCGGCTGGAGGGCTTGAGGACGGACAAGACACGATGCAGCGGCTGGAGGGCTTGAGGACGGACAAGACACGATGCAGCGGCTGGAGGGCTTGAGGACGGACACGACACGATGCAGCGGCTGGAGGGCTTGAGGACGGACAAGACACGATGCAGCGGCTGGAGGGCTTGAGGACGGACAAGACACGATGCAGCGGCTGGAGGGCTTGAGGACGGACAAGACACGATGCAGCGGCTGGAGGGCTTGAGGACGGACAAGACACGATGCAGCGGCTGGAGGGCTTGAGGACGGACACGACACGATGCAGCGGCTGGAGGGCTTGAGGACGGACAAGACACGATGCAGCGGCTGGAGGGCTTGAGGACGGACAAGACACGATGCAGCGGCTGGAGGGCTTGAGGACGGACAAGACACGATGCAGCGGCTGGAGGGCTTGAGGACGGACAAGACACGATGCAGCGGCTGGAGGGCTTGAGGACGGACAAGACACGATGCAGCGGCTGGAGGGCTTGAGGACGGACAAGACACGATGCAGCGGCTGGAGGGCTTGAGGACGGACAAGACACGATGCAGCGGCTGGAGGGCTTGAGGACGGACAAGACACGATGCAGCGGCTGGAGGGCTTGAGGACGGACAAGACACGATGCAGCGGCTGGAGGGCTTGAGGACGGACAAGACACGATGCAGCGGCTGGAGGGCTTGAGGACGGACAAGACACGATGCAGCGGCTGGAGGGCTTGAGGACGGACAAGACACGATGCAGCGGCTGGAGGGCTTGAGGACGGACAAGACACGATGCAGCGGCTGGAGGGCTTGAGGACGGACACGACACGATGCAGCGGCTGGAGGGCTTGAGGACGGACAAGACACGATGCAGCGGCTGGAGGGCTTGAGGACGGACAAGACACGATGCAGCGGCTGGAGGGCTTGAGGACGGACACGACACGATGCAGCGGCTGGAGGGCTTGAGGACGGACAAGACACGATGCAGCGGCTGGAGGGCTTGAGGACGGACAAGACACGATGCAGCGGCTGGAGGGCTTGAGGACGGACAAGACACGATGCAGCGGCTGGAGGGCTTGAGGACGGACAAGACACGATGCAGCGGCTGGAGGGCTTGAGGACGGACACGACACGATGCAGCGGCTGGAGGGCTTGAGGACGGACAAGACACGATGCAGCGGCTGGAGGGCTTGAGGACGGACAAGACACGATGCAGCGGCTGGAGGGCTTGAGGACGGACACGACACGATGCAGCGGCTGGAGGGCTTGAGGACGGACAAGACACGATGCAGCGGCTGGAGGGCTTGAGGACGGACAAGACACGATGCAGCGGCTGGAGGGCTTGAGGACGGACACGACACGATGCAGCGGCTGGAGGGCTTGAGGACGGACAAGACACGATGCAGCGGCTGGAGGGCTTGAGGACGGACAAGACACGATGCAGCGGCTGGAGGGCTTGAGGACGGACAAGACACGATGCAGCGGCTGGAGGGCTTGAGGACGGACAAGACACGATGCAGCGGCTGGAGGGCTTGAGGACGGACAAGACACGATGCAGCGGCTGGAGGGCTTGAGGACGGACAAGACACGATGCAGCGGCTGGAGGGCTTGAGGACGGACACGACACGATGCAGCGGCTGGAGGGCTTGAGGACGGACAAGACACGATGCAGCGGCTGGAGGGCTTGAGGACGGACAAGACACGATGCAGCGGCTGGAGGGCTTGAGGACGGACACGACACGATGCAGCGGCTGGAGGGCTTGAGGACGGACAAGACACGATGCAGCGGCTGGAGGGCTTGAGGACGGACAAGACACGATGCAGCGGCTGGAGGGCTTGAGGACGGACAAGACACGATGCAGCGGCTGGAGGGCTTGAGGACGGACAAGACACGATGCAGCGGCTGGAGGGCTTGAGGACGGACAAGACACGATGCAGCGGCTGGAGGGCTTGAGGACGAACAAGACACGATGCAGCGGCTGGAGGGCTTGAGGACGGACAAGACACGATGCAGCGGCTGGAGGGCTTGAGGACGGACACGACACGATGCAGCGGCTGGAGGGCTTGAGGACGGACAAGACACGATGCAGCGGCTGGAGGGCTTGAGGACGGACAAGACACGATGCAGCGGCTGGAGGGCTTGAGGACGGACAAGACACGATGCAGCGGCTGGAGGGCTTGAGGACGGACAAGACACGATGCAGCGGCTGGAGGGCTTGAGGACGGACAAGACACGATGCAGCGGCTGGAGGGCTTGAGGACGGACACGACACGATGCAGCGGCTGGAGGGCTTGAGGACGGACAAGACACGATGCAGCGGCTGGAGGGCTTGAGGACGGACAAGACACGATGCAGCGGCTGGAGGGCTTGAGGACGGACAAGACACGATGCAGCGGCTGGAGGGCTTGAGGACGGACAAGACACGATGCAGCGGCTGGAGGGCTTGAGGACGGACAAGACACGATGCAGCGGCTGGAGGGCTTGAGGACGGACAAGACACGATGCAGCGGCTGGAGGGCTTGAGGACGGACACGACACGATGCAGCGGCTGGAGGGCTTGAGGACGGACAAGACACGATGCAGCGGCTGGAGGGCTTGAGGACGGACAAGACACGATGCAGCGGCTGGAGGGCTTGAGGACGGACACGACACGATGCAGCGGCTGGAGGGCTTGAGGACGGACAAGACACGATGCAGCGGCTGGAGGGCTTGAGGACGGACAAGACACGATGCAGCGGCTGGAGGGCTTGAGGACGGACACGACACGATGCAGCGGCTGGAGGGCTTGAGGACGGACAAGACACGATGCAGCGGCTGGAGGGCTTGAGGACGGACAAGACACGATGCAGCGGCTGGAGGGCTTGAGGACGGACAAGACACGATGCAGCGGCTGGAGGGCTTGAGGACGGACAAGACACGATGCAGCGGCTGGAGGGCTTGAGGACGGACACGACACGATGCAGCGGCTGGAGGGCTTGAGGACGGACAAGACACGATGCAGCGGCTGGAGGGCTTGAGGACGGACAAGACACGATGCAGCGGCTGGAGGGCTTGAGGACGGACAAGACACGATGCAGCGGCTGGAGGGCTTGAGGACGGACAAGACACGATGCAGCGGCTGGAGGGCTTGAGGACGGACAAGACACGATGCAGCGGCTGGAGGGCTTGAGGACGGACAAGACACGATGCAGCGGCTGGAGGGCTTGAGGACGGACACGACACGATGCAGCGGCTGGAGGGCTTGAGGACGGACACGACACGATGCAGCGGCTGGAGGGCTTGAGGACGGACACGACACGATGCAGCGGCTGGAGGGCTTGAGGACGGACACGACACGATGCAGCGGCTGGAGGGCTTGAGGACGGACACGACACGATGCAGCGGCTGGAGGGCTTGAGGACGGACAAGACACGATGCAGCGGCTGGAGGGCTTGAGGACGGACAAGACACGATGCAGCGGCTGGAGGGCTTGAGGACGGACACGACACGATGCAGCGGCTGGAGGGCTTGAGGACGGACAAGACACGATGCAGCGGCTGGAGGGCTTGAGGACGGACAAGACACGATGCAGCGGCTGGAGGGCTTGAGGACGGACACGACACGATGCAGCGGCTGGAGGGCTTGAGGACGGACAAGACACGATGCAGCGGCTGGAGGGCTTGAGGACGGACAAGACACGATGCAGCGGCTGGAGGGCTTGAGGACGGACACGACACGATGCAGCGGCTGGAGGGCTTGAGGACGGACACGACACGATGCAGCGGCTGGAGGGCTTGAGGACGGACAAGACACGATGCAGCGGCTGGAGGGCTTGAGGACGGACACGACACGATGCAGCGGCTGGAGGGCTTGAGGACGGACAAGACACGATGCAGCGGCTGGAGGGCTTGAGGACGGACAAGACACGATGCAGCGGCTGGAGGGCTTGAGGACGGACAAGACACGATGCAGCGGCTGGAGGGCTTGAGGACGGACAAGACACGATGCAGCGGCTGGAGGGCTTGAGGACGGACAAGACACGATGCAGCGGCTGGAGGGCTTGAGGACGGACACGACACGATGCAGCGGCTGGAGGGCTTGAGGACGGACAAGACACGATGCAGCGGCTGGAGGGCTTGAGGACGGACAAGACACGATGCAGCGGCTGGAGGGCTTGAGGACGGACAAGACACGATGCAGCGGCTGGAGGGCTTGAGGACGGACAAGACACGATGCAGCGGCTGGAGGGCTTGAGGACGGACAAGACACGATGCAGCGGCTGGAGGGCTTGAGGACGGACACGACACGATGCAGCGGCTGGAGGGCTTGAGGACGGACAAGACACGATGCAGCGGCTGGAGGGCTTGAGGACGGACAAGACACGATGCAGCGGCTGGAGGGCTTGAGGACGGACACGACACGATGCAGCGGCTGGAGGGCTTGAGGACGGACAAGACACGATGCAGCGGCTGGAGGGCTTGAGGACGGACAAGACACGATGCAGCGGCTGGAGGGCTTGAGGACGGACAAGACACGATGCAGCGGCTGGAGGGCTTGAGGACGGACAAGACACGATGCAGCGGCTGGAGGGCTTGAGGACGGACAAGACACGATGCAGCGGCTGGAGGGCTTGAGGACGGACAAGACACGATGCAGCGGCTGGAGGGCTTGAGGACGGACAAGACACGATGCAGCGGCTGGAGGGCTTGAGGACGGACACGACACGATGCAGCGGCTGGAGGGCTTGAGGACGGACAAGACACGATGCAGCGGCTGGAGGGCTTGAGGACGGACAAGACACGATGCAGCGGCTGGAGGGCTTGAGGACGGACAAGACACGATGCAGCGGCTGGAGGGCTTGAGGACGGACAAGACACGATGCAGCGGCTGGAGGGCTTGAGGACGGACAAGACACGATGCAGCGGCTGGAGGGCTTGAGGACGGACACGACACGATGCAGCGGCTGGAGGGCTTGAGGACGGACAAGACACGATGCAGCGGCTGGAGGGCTTGAGGACGGACAAGACACGATGCAGCGGCTGGAGGGCTTGAGGACGGACAAGACACGATGCAGCGGCTGGAGGGCTTGAGGACGGACAAGACACGATGCAGCGGCTGGAGGGCTTGAGGACGGACAAGACACGATGCAGCGGCTGGAGGGCTTGAGGACGGACAAGACACGATGCAGCGGCTGGAGGGCTTGAGGACGGACACGACACGATGCAGCGGCTGGAGGGCTTGAGGACGGACACGACACGATGCAGCGGCTGGAGGGCTTGAGGACGGACACGACACGATGCAGCGGCTGGAGGGCTTGAGGACGGACACGACACGATGCAGCGGCTGGAGGGCTTGAGGACGGACACGACACGATGCAGCGGCTGGAGGGCTTGAGGACGGACAAGACACGATGCAGCGGCTGGAGGGCTTGAGGACGGACAAGACACGATGCAGCGGCTGGAGGGCTTGAGGACGGACACGACACGATGCAGCGGCTGGAGGGCTTGAGGACGGACAAGACACGATGCAGCGGCTGGAGGGCTTGAGGACGGACAAGACACGATGCAGCGGCTGGAGGGCTTGAGGACGGACACGACACGATGCAGCGGCTGGAGGGCTTGAGGACGGACAAGACACGATGCAGCGGCTGGAGGGCTTGAGGACGGACAAGACACGATGCAGCGGCTGGAGGGCTTGAGGACGGACACGACACGATGCAGCGGCTGGAGGGCTTGAGGACGGACAAGACACGATGCAGCGGCTGGAGGGCTTGAGGACGGACAAGACACGATGCAGCGGCTGGAGGGCTTGAGGACGGACAAGACACGATGCAGCGGCTGGAGGGCTTGAGGACGGACAAGACACGATGCAGCGGCTGGAGGGCTTGAGGACGGACAAGACACGATGCAGCGGCTGGAGGGCTTGAGGACGGACAAGACACGATGCAGCGGCTGGAGGGCTTGAGGACGGACACGACACGATGCAGCGGCTGGAGGGCTTGAGGACGGACAAGACACGATGCAGCGGCTGGAGGGCTTGAGGACGGACAAGACACGATGCAGCGGCTGGAGGGCTTGAGGACGGACACGACACGATGCAGCGGCTGGAGGGCTTGAGGACGGACAAGACACGATGCAGCGGCTGGAGGGCTTGAGGACGGACAAGACACGATGCAGCGGCTGGAGGGCTTGAGGACGGACAAGACACGATGCAGCGGCTGGAGGGCTTGAGGACGGACAAGACACGATGCAGCGGCTGGAGGGCTTGAGGACGGACAAGACACGATGCAGCGGCTGGAGGGCTTGAGGACGGACAAGACACGATGCAGCGGCTGGAGGGCTTGAGGACGGACAAGACACGATGCAGCGGCTGGAGGGCTTGAGGACGGACAAGACACGATGCAGCGGCTGGAGGGCTTGAGGACGGACAAGACACGATGCAGCGGCTGGAGGGCTTGAGGACGGACAAGACACGATGCAGCGGCTGGAGGGCTTGAGGACGGACAAGACACGATGCAGCGGCTGGAGGGCTTGAGGACGGACAAGACACGATGCAGCGGCTGGAGGGCTTGAGGACGGACAAGACACGATGCAGCGGCTGGAGGGCTTGAGGACGGACAAGACACGATGCAGCGGCTGGAGGGCTTGAGGACGGACAAGACACGATGCAGCGGCTGGAGGGCTTGAGGACGGACACGACACGATGCAGCGGCTGGAGGGCTTGAGGACGGACAAGACACGATGCAGCGGCTGGAGGGCTTGAGGACGGACAAGACACGATGCAGCGGCTGGAGGGCTTGAGGACGGACAAGACACGATGCAGCGGCTGGAGGGCTTGAGGACGGACAAGACACGATGCAGCGGCTGGAGGGCTTGAGGACGGACAAGACACGATGCAGCGGCTGGAGGGCTTGAGGACGGACACGACACGATGCAGCGGCTGGAGGGCTTGAGGACGGACACGACACGATGCAGCGGCTGGAGGGCTTGAGGACGGACACGACACGATGCAGCGGCTGGAGGGCTTGAGGACGGACACGACACGATGCAGCGGCTGGAGGGCTTGAGGACGGACACGACACGATGCAGCGGCTGGAGGGCTTGAGGACGGACACGACACGATGCAGCGGCTGGAGGGCTTGAGGACGGACACGACACGATGCAGCGGCTGGAGGGCTTGAGGACGGACACGACACGATGCAGCGGCTGGAGGGCTTGAGGACGGACACGACACGATGCAGCGGCTGGAGGGCTTGAGGACGGACACGACACGATGCAGCGGCTGGAGGGCTTGAGGACGGACACGACACGATGCAGCGGCTGGAGGGCTTGAGGACGGACAAGACACGATGCAGCGGCTGGAGGGCTTGAGGACGGACAAGACACGATGCAGCGGCTGGAGGGCTTGAGGACGGACAAGACACGATGCAGCGGCTGGAGGGCTTGAGGACGGACACGACACGATGCAGCGGCTGGAGGGCTTGAGGACGGACAAGACACGATGCAGCGGCTGGAGGGCTTGAGGACGGACAAGACACGATGCAGCGGCTGGAGGGCTTGAGGACGGACAAGACACGATGCAGCGGCTGGAGGGCTTGAGGACGGACAAGACACGATGCAGCGGCTGGAGGGCTTGAGGACGGACAAGACACGATGCAGCGGCTGGAGGGCTTGAGGACGGACAAGACACGATGCAGCGGCTGGAGGGCTTGAGGACGGACACGACACGATGCAGCGGCTGGAGGGCTTGAGGACGGACACGACACGATGCAGCGGCTGGAGGGCTTGAGGACGGACACGACACGATGCAGCGGCTGGAGGGCTTGAGGACGGACACGACACGATGCAGCGGCTGGAGGGCTTGAGGACGGACACGACACGATGCAGCGGCTGGAGAGCTTGAGGACGGACACGACACGATGCAGCGGCTGGAGGGCTTGAGGACGGACAAGACACGATGCAGCGGCTGGAGGGCTTGAGGACGGACAAGACACGATGCAGCGGCTGGAGGGCTTGAGGACGGACAAGACACGATGCAGCGGCTGGAGGGCTTGAGGACGGACAAGACACGATGCAGCGGCTGGAGGGCTTGAGGACGGACACGACACGATGCAGCGGCTGGAGGGCTTGAGGACGGACACGACACGATGCAGCGGCTGGAGGGCTTGAGGACGGACACGACACGATGCAGCGGCTGGAGGGCTTGAGGACGGACACGACACGATGCAGCGGCTGGAGGGCTTGAGGACGGACACGACACGATGCAGCGGCTGGAGGGCTTGAGGACGGACACGACACGATGCAGCGGCTGGAGGGCTTGAGGACGGACAAGACACGATGCAGCGGCTGGAGGGCTTGAGGACGGACAAGACACGATGCAGCGGCTGGAGGGCTTGAGGACGGACAAGACACGATGCAGCGGCTGGAGGGCTTGAGGACGGACAAGACACGATGCAGCGGCTGGAGGGCTTGAGGACGGACAAGACACGATGCAGCGGCTGGAGGGCTTGAGGACGGACAAGACACGATGCAGCGGCTGGAGGGCTTGAGGACGGACAAGACACGATGCAGCGGCTGGAGGGCTTGAGGACGGACAAGACACGATGCAGCGGCTGGAGGGCTTGAGGACGGACAAGACACGATGCAGCGGCTGGAGGGCTTGAGGACGGACAAGACACGATGCAGCGGCTGGAGGGCTTGAGGACGGACAAGACACGATGCAGCGGCTGGAGGGCTTGAGGACGGACAAGACACGATGCAGCGGCTGGAGGGCTTGAGGACGGACAAGACACGATGCAGCGGCTGGAGGGCTTGAGGACGGACAAGACACGATGCAGCGGCTGGAGGGCTTGAGGACGGACAAGACACGATGCAGCGGCTGGAGGGCTTGAGGACGGACAAGACACGATGCAGCGGCTGGAGGGCTTGAGGACGGACAAGACACGATGCAGCGGCTGGAGGGCTTGAGGACGGACACGACACGATGCAGCGGCTGGAGGGCTTGAGGACGGACAAGACACGATGCAGCGGCTGGAGGGCTTGAGGACGGACAAGACACGATGCAGCGGCTGGAGGGCTTGAGGACGGACAAGACACGATGCAGCGGCTGGAGGGCTTGAGGACGGACAAGACACGATGCAGCGGCTGGAGGGCTTGAGGACGGACAAGACACGATGCAGCGGCTGGAGGGCTTGAGGACGGACAAGACACGATGCAGCGGCTGGAGGGCTTGAGGACGGACAAGACACGATGCAGCGGCTGGAGGGCTTGAGGACGGACAAGACACGATGCAGCGGCTGGAGGGCTTGAGGACGGACAAGACACGATGCAGCGGCTGGAGGGCTTGAGGACGGACAAGACACGATGCAGCGGCTGGAGGGCTTGAGGACGGACAAGACACGATGCAGCGGCTGGAGGGCTTGAGGACGGACAAGACACGATGCAGCGGCTGGAGGGCTTGAGGACGGACAAGACACGATGCAGCGGCTGGAGGGCTTGAGGACGGACAAGACACGATGCAGCGGCTGGAGGGCTTGAGGACGGACAAGACACGATGCAGCGGCTGGAGGGCTTGAGGACGGACAAGACACGATGCAGCGGCTGGAGGGCTTGAGGACGGACAAGACACGATGCAGCGGCTGGAGGGCTTGAGGACGGACAAGACACGATGCAGCGGCTGGAGGGCTTGAGGACGGACAAGACACGATGCAGCGGCTGGAGGGCTTGAGGACGGACAAGACACGATGCAGCGGCTGGAGGGCTTGAGGACGGACAAGACACGATGCAGCGGCTGGAGGGCTTGAGGACGGACAAGACACGATGCAGCGGCTGGAGGGCTTGAGGACGGACAAGACACGATGCAGCGGCTGGAGGGCTTGAGGACGGACAAGACACGATGCAGCGGCTGGAGGGCTTGAGGACGGACAAGACACGATGCAGCGGCTGGAGGGCTTGAGGACGGACAAGACACGATGCAGCGGCTGGAGGGCTTGAGGACGGACAAGACACGATGCAGCGGCTGGAGGGCTTGAGGACGGACAAGACACGATGCAGCGGCTGGAGGGCTTGAGGACGGACAAGACACGATGCAGCGGCTGGAGGGCTTGAGGACGGACAAGACACGATGCAGCGGCTGGAGGGCTTGAGGACGGACAAGACACGATGCAGCGGCTGGAGGGCTTGAGGACGGACAAGACACGATGCAGCGGCTGGAGGGCTTGAGGACGGACAAGACACGATGCAGCGGCTGGAGGGCTTGAGGACAGACAAGACACGATGCAGCGGCTGGAGGGCTTGAGGACGGACAAGACACGATGCAGCGGCTGGAGGGCTTGAGGACGGACAAGACACGATGCAGCGGCTGGAGGGCTTGAGGACGGACAAGACACGATGCAGCGGCTGGAGGGCTTGAGGACGGACAAGACACGATGCAGCGGCTGGAGGGCTTGAGGACGGACAAGACACGATGCAGCGGCTGGAGGGCTTGAGGACGGACAAGACACGATGCAGCGGCTGGAGGGCTTGAGGACGGACAAGACACGATGCAGCGGCTGGAGGGCTTGAGGACGGACAAGACACGATGCAGCGGCTGGAGGGCTTGAGGACGGACAAGACACGATGCAGCGGCTGGAGGGCTTGAGGACGGACAAGACACGATGCAGCGGCTGGAGGGCTTGAGGACGGACAAGACACGATGCAGCGGCTGGAGGGCTTGAGGACGGACAAGACACGATGCAGCGGCTGGAGGGCTTGAGGACGGACAAGACACGATGCAGCGGCTGGAGGGCTTGAGGACGGACAAGACACGATGCAGCGGCTGGAGGGCTTGAGGACGGACAAGACACGATGCAGCGGCTGGAGGGCTTGAGGACGGACAAGACACGATGCAGCGGCTGGAGGGCTTGAGGACGGACAAGACACGATGCAGCGGCTGGAGGGCTTGAGGACGGACAAGACACGATGCAGCGGCTGGAGGGCTTGAGGACGGACAAGACACGATGCAGCGGCTGGAGGGCTTGAGGACGGACAAGACACGATGCAGCGGCTGGAGGGCTTGAGGACGGACAAGACACGATGCAGCGGCTGGAGGGCTTGAGGACGGACAAGACACGATGCAGCGGCTGGAGGGCTTGAGGACGGACAAGACACGATGCAGCGGCTGGAGGGCTTGAGGACGGACAAGACACGATGCAGCGGCTGGAGGGCTTGAGGACGGACAAGACACGATGCAGCGGCTGGAGGGCTTGAGGACGGACAAGACACGATGCAGCGGCTGGAGGGCTTGAGGACGGACAAGACACGATGCAGCGGCTGGAGGGCTTGAGGACGGACAAGACACGATGCAGCGGCTGGAGGGCTTGAGGACGGACAAGACACGATGCAGCGGCTGGAGGGCTTGAGGACGGACAAGACACGATGCAGCGGCTGGAGGGCTTGAGGACGGACAAGACACGATGCAGCGGCTGGAGGGCTTGAGGACGGACAAGACACGATGCAGCGGCTGGAGGGCTTGAGGACGGACAAGACACGATGCAGCGGCTGGAGGGCTTGAGGACGGACAAGACACGATGCAGCGGCTGGAGGGCTTGAGGACGGACAAGACACGATGCAGCGGCTGGAGGGCTTGAGGACGGACAAGACACATGTTTACCTGTTGAAGCTAGCAGATACGACCAAGCTCGTTACTCTTACTATACCTCCCTCTCACACATCTATACCTCCCTCTCACACATCTATACCTCCCTCTCACACATCTATCCTTCCTCTGCGTGACTCTTCCCTCCCATCCGCCAGGCACCGGAGCTTGCGGACACAATCAAGTTCGTCACCCTGGTCTCACAAAAGGTGGGCACTTATCTATCAATGTGCTTCATCCTCTGTCTCCTGTTTTTCTAATAGAAGCCTGTTGTCATCGGCTTCTATTCACCTCAACAATAGTCCCTTCGCCACTGCACCCCTCCGCTGCCCATGCGCCCCCCCTGTCCTCCTCTTGTTTTTTAGTGTTAATTATTTCCGTTCTGCGATTGTTGCTTGCAAATGCCACAGATTCAGGAGTCTCAGAAGCTGCAGCACGTGCTGCTGGTGGTGCGGGATATTGGCAATAAACTGAATGAGGGCACCAAGAAGGGTGAGCCATGGGTGGCTGGCCTGGCGGGGCTTGAGTGGTGCCTGTGTGGTGGCTGCGGCTGTTGTTGCTGCTGGTGGTGCGGGATATTGGCAATAAACTTAATGAGGGCACCAAGAAGGGTGAGCCATGGGTGATGGGGCACCAAGAAGGGTGAGAGCTGTGGGTGGTATTCGACTGGAGTCCGGGTGGTGTGTTGCGTCAATGTTTGGGTTGTACAGTATCATATCGTATGATGGATGAACGTTTGGGTGCCAAAGGCCGGTACGTGGAAATTACTTTTGAGAATTCTCAAAGGAGAACGTGTATGAAGAAGGGTTTTGAGACGTCTCAACTCAAAACATAACTTTAATGAACCAAGCATTGCACATAATTATGGTTTAGGGTTTAGGGTTGAGGTGCTTGTGGAGCGAGAGTTGAAGGAAAGATGGTCAGAGGGAAGCTTTTCTCTAAGGCGATATTCCCGTGCTTTCTTTCTCTCTCCCACCCCTTGCAGGTGGACCAGAAGGGACTGGCGGAAGTGGTAAGGGTAGGTGCTTGTGGAGCGAGAGTTGAAGGAGTGTGAGAAGATGGCCGAGGAGGAGAGGAAGGAGGAGGAGGAGAAAGAGGAAGAATGCTAATCTCATCTGCTACTCGTGTGCCCATCCCCTGTGTTTGATCCCTGCAGGTGGATCAAAAGGGACTGGCTGAAGTGGTAAGGGAGCTGGACGTAGGGAAGGTTCCCCTTAGCGTGGTGCTTTTGCTTTGCCCCATCCAATACAGGCGTTTGACATAGTTTGTCCTACGCCCCCCCCTTTGATCCGCGCAGGTGGATCAAAAGGGACTGGCTGAAGTGGTAAGGGAGCTGGACGTAGGGAAGGTGCTTGTGGAACGGGAGTTGAAGGAGTGTGAGAAGATGGCCGAGGAGGAGAAGAAGAAGGAGGAGGAGAAGGAGAAGAAAGCTCAAGAGGGGGAAAAGGGGGAAGGAGAGAAGGAGGAAGGGAGTAAGGAGGGTGAAGGGAAGGAAGGGGAGGGGGAGAAGGGAGATGGAGGGAAGAGTGGAGAGGGGGAGAAGGGGGAGGAGAAGGGGGAGGAGAAGGCGGAGAAGGAGGAGAAAAGGGAGGAAAAGAAGGAGGAGAAGGAGAAGGAGAAGAAGGAGGAGGAGAAGCGGGAGGAGGAGGCATTGCCGTTGAAGCATGCGGACACTTATCGGGCCATGCAGCTGTTTTACGATGAAGATGTGGTTAGATGGCACGGCAACGTGCATAGTCTCATGGGTGACATGGTGAGAGCTCCCATTATGCCATATCTCTCTTGTTTTGATAATGGGCTGGGCTGAGGAGGAGGCGTTGCCGTTGAAGCATGCGGACACACACCGAGCCATGCAGCTGTTCTACGATGAGGACGTTGTGAGATGGCATGCCAGCGTGCACAGCCTTATGGGGGACATGGTGAGAAGCTTCCCTCTTTGATATCATGGTGACATGGTGTGGCATGGCACTAATCATTAGAGCCATGCAGCTGTTTTGTGAGGAGGATGTTGTTAGATGGCATGCCAGCGTGCACAGCCTAATGGGTGACATGGTGAGTGAGGGAAATGGTGGTGGGGTGGGTTGAGGTGAGGTGCATTGGTTGTCTGTCACTGAGTTGAAGCATGCAGACACACATCGAGCCATGCAGGCGTTTTATGGTGAGGAAGTTGTGCGATGGCATGCCAGCGTGCACAGCCTCATGGGGGACATGGTGAGAGCTACCTTATCCTATGCCCCCTGTTCTGGTTACGGATGGGGGTGCATTGGTTGCCTGTCACTGAGTTGAAGCATGCAGACACACATCGAGCCATGCAGGCGTTTTACGATGAAGACGCAGTCAGATGGCATGCCAGCGTGCACAGCCTTATGGGGGAAATGGTGAGATAAGTCCCATCTCGCATCTTGACATGGTGAGATAAGTCCCATCTCGCCTCTTGACATGGTGACGTTGCCTGGTGTGGCATGATGCGGCATTGCAACATGCACAGCCTGCTGGGTGATATGGTGAGAGGAGCCCCTCTGGCGGATGCTTCATGCACAATTAGTAAGAATCAGCATGTAAAAGTGTTTTGAGACGTCTCAAAACACTTTTTCATACAAGTAAGAATTAGCATGTAAGAGTGTCTGGCATGGCATGGCATGGCATCAGCAGAAGAATCATCCCCTCTTCCCCTGATTTCGCCCCCCCATCATCTCCCCCGCCCACCAGAACGCAAGTGCTGAGAGTCTTGGCCTTCTCCCTTCTCCCCGTTCCTCCTCTGACTTTTGAGTCGACTCAAAAGTCTTTCCCCCTCTTTCCCCATTTCCCCCCTATCGTCTCCCCCGCCCACCAGAACGCCAGTGCTGAGAGTCTCGCTCACACCCCCTCATCATCTCCCTTGTGCCCCATCCCCCCACCCCATCCTCTCTCCTGTTAGAATTCCTATGTTCTAGCATGCTAACACTTGTGACTGTACACCAATTGTGGTGTACAGTTGGGTTGGGACTACACCCAACTTTGGGTGTAGTCTTGCATTTTGGGGTGCCAATCCAACCCAATTGTGGTGGAGCCCCCAAATGCAACCCTATGGGCCATAGGGTACCCCACTTCACAAAATGAGGCCAACCCAACCCAATGGGCTATAGGTTGCCCCATTTCCCAAGTGTGGTCAACCCAACCCAATGGGCCATAGGTTGGCCCACTCCCCCAAGTGTGGTCAACCCAACCCAATGGGCCATAGGTTGGCCCACTCCCCCAATCCCACCTCCCTCCTTTCCCTTCCAACCTTCTCTTCCCAAACCTATGTATGCTTGTCCCCTTTCTAATCAAGCTAATGTTTCAGTTTCCAATCTTTACATCTCCTTCCCCTTTCCTTTCCCCTTCCCCCTCATTCCCCCCCAAAAATCTCGCTCGCAAGTTTGGTTCGGACCCCCTCTGCTCTCCCTTGCCCCTCATCCGCTCACCTTTCCCTTTCTCCTTCCCCCCTTTCTCCTTCCCCCCCTTTCTCCCCACCACCTTTCTCCCACTTCCCAGAACGCCAGTGCTGAAAATCTCGCTCGCAAGTTTGGCTCGGACCCCAAGACAACCTCTTTTACACTCAGTGAGTTGGGATCGAGCCTAGTACGTAAGAGTGGCTTTAATTCTTGAAGCAGATTCGGCTCCGATTCTCAGAGCAAGTTTGGCTCGGACCCCAAGACAACCTCCTTCACACTCAGTGAGTTGGCCTCGAGCCTATCAAGTTGGTTCGGCTAAGGCCCTGTGAAAACAACTTGATTCAGATTATGTGGCTATTGTGGCTCGGATCCCTAAACAACCTCCGTCACACACTCAGTGAGTTTGGCTCGCATCTGGTGAGTCAAATCAGTCAGCTGAATCCGATTTCGTTGATTCGGTTTGAACCGGATGCATTGGTTTGGCTCGAACCTGCTCCGCTGGTTTGGCTCTGAATCTGACACGTGTTACACCAAGTCACTGTGCCCTGCCCTGTTTCCATATCCTTCTCCTTTTCTTCCCCTTGCAGTCTTTGGAGTGTTGAGGGATTTTGTCGATCTCTTTAAGAAGAATCTGGTTGAATATGAGAAGAAGAAAAAGGCAGAGGAGGAGGCGGCTAAAGAGCAGGCCCAGCCGAAGGCGAAAGCGAGTGGGAAGCAGCAGCGGGAGCAGGAGGAGCAGCAGAAGGAGCAGGTGAAGCAGAAATCGCAGAAGCAGGAGCAGAAGCAGCAGGAGGTGGCTGCAAAAGCAGCAGCGGAAGAAAAGGAGGATGAAGAGGCGGAGGGGAGTGAGGAGAGTGAGGAGGAGAGAGGAGGGAGAGGAGGTGGGGGCGGAGGGGCGGAAGGTACGCCGTTTGTGAGGGGGGCTACAAATGCAATGCTGGCAGGAGCGATTACAAGGAGAAGAGCACCGGTGGATGAGGATGAAGACAGTGAGGATGATGACTGGAGTGACTAGGGCAAGTTGAGTGGAGTGTGGGCTGCACGGGTGTTGGTTCATGGGCTGTAAAAGTGGGGGAGGGTACGCCGTTCGTGAGGGGCACTACCCAGGCGATGCTGGCAGGGGCGATTATGAGGAGGAGAGCACCGGTGGATGAGGATGAGGACTGGAGTGACTGGAGGAGGGGAGGTGTGTGGACTGCAGTGGCACTGGTTGATGAGCAGGAGAAGTGGGGGGCGCTGCAGGGGCGATGCTGGCAGGGGCGATCACGAGGAGGAGAGCACCAGTGGATGAGGATGAGGACAGTGAGGATGATGACTGGAGTGACTAGAAAGGGGGGGAAGAGGAAGGGCGATACTGGCTTTACAGTCCACGGGGAGGCGAGCACCAGTGGATGAGGATGAGGACAGTGAGGATGAAGATTGGAGTGACTAGAGGGGGGGGAGGGGGAAAGGATGGCACAAGCAAGTAGCGAAAGAATAGGGCGGGGAGTTTAGCCCGCGGTAGATAGATGATGGCTGGAGTGATGAACGGGTAATGGGTGTGAAGAGACGAGAGGAGGATGGGTGGAGGGGGGACTATGTCAAGAGGTTATGGCTGGAGAGAGAAGAGGTGAAGAGGATTAGAGATAGCTGAGTGGAGTGTGGGAAAGAGAGTGATGGTAACGGGTGGCCAAGGAGAGAGTGTTTAGGTAGCAAGCGGAAAGGAAGCATTTAGGAGATGGTTGGAGTGAGCAGCGAGCATCAGGAGTGAGAGAAGAGAGTAGTGTAGAGAACAAGCAGCCAAAAGCAGGGCCAGTGTGAATCAAGAGAAGGGCAGGGACTGAGGTGTGAGTACTGCTATGATGGCAAGCGTCTGGCTAGTGTAGTGTGTAACTGTTCAGGGTGTAGCTAGTTAAGATTACCCGTTTCCTTCGGATACGGTGCTGCAGAGGTTTGATTAGATAACCAGGTTCAGTCGCATTTTGAGACGCAGGGAAAACAACGGGAATCTCCCAAGAACCGGAGGGAGATTGTACCTGGAGGCTGGGCTTGTTTGTAGGTTGTAAGAAGCTCTGTGCTTGCAAAATATGTTGCTTGCAGTGCAGTTTGAAATTATAGTTGTATTGTATGCTTGTGCTTGTCTTTTTGGTCTGCACTAAAAATATGGATTCTTGATAATGTACTTGTGCTTGTGCTTGTCTTTTTTTGTCAATGAGGCTTTGTACCAACTGAATGCGTAGTGGTAGTTTGAAATTCGTGCGGACGCTCAGGACACTAACGCGTATACTCGGCATTCTCGAAGGTCATTGTTGTGCTGACTGACAATCATCCATCAGGAATATGTTTCGCCTAGAAGCCAGTTTTGTTGCCGCTTAGATTCCGCCGAAGCGCTTGGTTTGCTAGCCATTGCCCGCAACCTCACAGCCATTAGTTCGCGCTCTGACCTGAGTCGAAAGCCTTTGTTTTGGGAACTATTGAGAATCCGTCGCGTTTCCCGACGTTTTTTCGTTGCCTCAAGGATCGCGGCTCCACGGATCATTTTTTTTCTACCGTGCGATTTGGCTGGCACAGCCTGGACGATATTTTCGGCCGTCAGATTGTCTCTGACCTCGTGACGATTGCGTCGGCCGTTGGATCGCGGAAATCAACGGTGGTGGAGTCGCGATGCGGTCCAACGTCACATCAGAGGTCTGCGATTCCTGCCTGTAGCAAACCTGTAGGAGTTTCGCGACACCTGTAGGAGATTCGCGACACCTGTTGGAGTTTCGCGACACCTGTAGCAGTTTCGCGACACCTGTAGCAGTTTCGCGACACCTATATGTGTGGTGGTTGTGCTTGATCCGATCCATCGTCTTTCCCCCGCCCCCCCCACGCCCCTCCAGACCAGCATAGGAACGCACATCCACCAGTCGTGGCTGGGCGGGCCTCTAATAACAGCCTCTGTCTTCGCCGTCTATGTGGCCGTGTGTGTGTGTATGTCCGCTCCTCCCTACCCTCATTCTCTCCCCCCCACCACCTCCTCCTCCCTCCCCCCTCCCCCTCCGGGCCAGCATAGGCACGCACATCCACCAGTGGTGGCTGGCCGTGCCTCTGCTTACAGCTTCTGTCTTCGCCATCTGTGTGGTTGTTTGTATACCCGTCTGTGCGTGTGTCCTTCATTCGCCCCTCCCTCCCTCCCAGGCCAGCACAGGCACGCACATCCACCAGTGGTGGCTGGCCGTGCCTCTAATAACAGCCTCCGTCTTCGCCATCTGTGTGGCTGTCTGTGCGGCTGTGCGTTGGTGGTAACCGCTCATTCCTTCCCACACCCTACCGTCCGTCTCTTCCCGCTCCCCCCTCAGGCCAGCATAGGCACGCACATCCACCAGTGGTGGCTGGCCGTGCCTCTAATAACAGCCTCCGTCTTCGCCATCTGTGTGGCTGTCTGTGCGGCTGTGTGTTGGTGGTAACCGCTCATTCCTTCCCTCACCCTACCGTCCGTCTCTTCCCGCTCCCCCCTCAGGCCAGCATAGGCACGCACATCCACCAGTGGTGGCTGGCCGTGCCTCTCATAACAGCCTCAGTCTTCGTTATCTGTGTGGCTGTGTTCGTGGTCGACCTACTGACTGGCTATGACAGCTTCAGGGACGTCTGCTTCTCGCCCTCTTTAACTGTGCTGCACTGGCAAGGTGAGGCCCTACTACTCTTTAGAGGTGTCACTGCTTGGCTGATTAACAAACTGACTGCCCATGACAGCTTCAGGGAGGTCTGCTTCTCGCCGTCCCTTGCGGTGCTGCACTGGCAAGGTGAGCACTAAGCAGGGCTTAGGACGCTCACCAGTGGTGGTTGGGCGTTCCTCTGTTTACAGCTTGCTTCAGGGAGGTCTGGTACCCTCATTCACCAGCGCTGGTTAGGCTAGACATGTCTCCACTAGATGTCCCTGATGGTACTGGTTCTTGCTTTTGAGTCGACTCAAAAGTCACTTGGTACCCTCATTCACCAGTGCTGATATCCAATGGTTACAGATGTCTCCACTAGATGTCTCTGATGGTACCGGTCCGTGCCGGAGCTGTCAGTAGCGGACGGACAGGTGGGCTTGGCACCCTCATTCACCAGTGCTGATATCCAATGGTTACAGATGTCTCCACTAGATGTCTCTGATGGTACCGGTCCGTGCCGGAGCTGTCAGTAGCGGACGGACAGGTGGGCTTGGCACCCTCATTCACCAGTGCTGATATCCAATGGTTACAGATGTCTCCACTAGATGTCTCTGATGGTACCGGTCCGTGCCGGAGCTGTCAGTAGCGGACGGACAGGTGGGCTTGGCACCCTCATTCACCAGTGCTGATATCCAATGGTTACAGATGTCTCCACTAGATGTCTCTGATGGTACCGGTCCGTGCCGGAGCTGTCAGTAGCGGACGGACAGGTGGGCTTGGCACCCTCATTCACCAGTGCTGATATCCAATGGTTACAGATGTCTCCACTAGATGTCTCTGATGGTACCGGTTCCAGCCTCCGCCATCTATGGTTTCACCATTTGTGTGGAAGCACAGATGGCAGAAGCAGAAACGGTGATGAAAACATAGACGGTGAAGGCAGGATCCGGTGCCATCGAGGACTGTAGAGAGAGCGCAGCGATCGCAACGTATGAGAACGTTCTTTCAGATATTGCAATACAGAGAAGGACCAATACCATCGAACTCCTATTGGCCATGATGCATTGCGTAGAAATATTGAGAATGAATGGCTAGTTTTGAGAATGGCGTTCGGCTGGAGGCTTCTCACACAAACCCTCACCCTCTTGTACTTTGTGGCTGCTTGTCACACTGATCAAAACATCGTCTTTCACTAGAGGCGTCTTGATCAAATGTCCTACACCAGCCCCTTTTTCTTCCCACGTGCCTTTCTCTCATTGCTCGCCCTCTTCCCGTGTTGCGATCGTGCCTTAAACCGTACTCAACCTCTCTTCTTTCCGATTCTTGTCTCTGTTCTGCTCCGTGTGTCCCCCTCTTCTCTTCCCCCTCTCCTCTCTCCCCTCTACTCTCCCCCCTCTCCTCTATTTTCCCTCTCCGCTCCCCCCCTCCCCCTCCCAGTCTACCGCGCCCTCACATCCATCTTCTTCCACAAGGGACTCCTGCACATCGCACTCAACCTCTCCACACTCCTCCCCCTGGCTTCCCCTCTCGAGCGCCACCTGGGCTCCCTGCGGCTGCTGCACGCGCTGCTGCTGCTCGCCTGCCTGAACGCCATTATCCACTCTGTCTTGGCGTTTACTCCCGGGCTGCTGCTTGGGTGGTGGGGCTGGTGGGCTGGCGAGTGCTGCATCGGCTTTTCGGGGGTGCTCTTCGCACTGATCGTCCTGGACTTACAGATTGGAGGGGGGAATCAAAGGAGGTGAGTGCATGCTTCTCCCTACTCCAGACTCTGGGGTGGGGAGTGCTGTATCGGCTTTTCAGGAGTGCACTTTGAGCTTATCGTTATGAATTTACACGTCACCAAGTGGAAATATAAGGAGGTGAGTGTAGGGTTCTTTGTTTCCCCCTCTCGCCTCTCCACACTCCTCCACCTGGCCGCCCCTCTTGAAGTGCATCACCTGGGCTTGCTGCTGCTCGGCTTCCTCACGGCCCTCCGCTCCTTTGTTTTGAACTTCTCAAAACATGGTATTGCATGCTGGAAAGGGCCGCCTCAGGCGGTAGGTAAGGCAGTGGCAGCAGCAGCAGCAGCGGCGGCGGCGGTGGCAGCTGCAGGTTTTGCCATTCAGTGTGAAAAGGCTGATGCTTTTCTTGAGACGACACAACTCCGCGTACATGCATTTTACCCTCCTTGCTCCGCATTACCATTTCATCCTCTGTATTTCCGTCCTTCTCTGTCGTCCCGCACCATGTTTCCCCTGTGTGCAGCATCTTTGGCTTCTTCTCTGTGCCAACTGCATGGTGAGTCGTATTTTAAGACCCCTCTATAGGAGTTCCTTATGAGGATTCTTACAACCAACTTTCCTGCATGCATTCATGCGGTATCTTTGGATTCTTCTCTGTGCCAACTGCATGGTGAGTCGTATTTTAAGACCCCTCTATAGGAGTTCCTTATGAGGATTCTTACAACCAACTTTCCTGCATGCATTCATGCGGTATCTTTGGATTCTTCTCTGTGCCAACTGCATGGTGAGACTCTTGAGAACTCTCAGTGGGAATTGCCTTTGAGAATTCTCTAAAGCAACTCCAATGCATGCAGCATCTTTGATTTCTTCACTGTGATAACCGCCTGTGAGCCGTCTTAGGGAGCTGCTTCTGAGAATGTTGGTATGCAGTATCTTTTTGAGAACCTAATTCTATGCATGCAGTTTTGTTGGTATTCTATTCTGCAACGCACCAGGATTGCAGCTGTAGTTGCGGAGCTTGATATGTACCCCTTCCTTAAAGCCTGCATTGTAATGGCGTGAACGGGCGTTGGAGGTGCCTAGAAAGGTATCTGCCTCTTCATGTTACACCTGTGATTGTCATCCCATCCCATCCCATCCCATCCCATCCCATCCCATCCCATCCCATCCCATCCCATCCCATCCCATCCCATCCCATCCCATCCCATCCCATCCCATCCCATCCCATCCCATCCCATCCCATCCCATCCCATCCCATCCCATCCCATCCCATCCCATCCCATCCCATCCCATCCCATCCCATCCCATCCCATCCCATCCCATCCCATCCCATCCCATCCCATCCCATCCCATCCCATCCCATCCCATCCCATCCCATCCCATCCCATCCCATCCCATCCATCCCATCCCATCCCATCCCCTCCCCTCCCCTCCCCTCCCCTCCCCTCCCCTCCCCTCCCCTCCCCTCCCCTCCCCTCCCCTCCCCTCCACAGGTACCCCTGGGTTCTCCTTGTACTATTCCAACTCCTCCTCCCTTCCGCCTCTCTGCTCGACCACCTAAGCGGAGTGCTCTCAGGCCTAGCATGTGAGTTGCATTTCTCCCCACTCTCTTGCCTCACCTCTCTCTCTCCTCCCACTCATGCACCCTTTCTCAGCTCATTCTCAGCTCATTCTCAGCTCATTCTCAGCTCTTTCTCAATTCCTTCTCCCTTCCGCCTCTCTGCTTGGTCACCTCAGCGGCGTGCTTTCAGGCCTGGAATTGGAGCTCCCTCCCTCTCGCCTGTTTACTAGCTGTGTGTTCTCCGCTGCTCACTCTTCTCCCTGCTTTCTTGGCCGTCGTTTTATCGATTATATTATCGATTATATTATCGATTTTCTCTTTCTCTTTCTCCCATTCTGTCCTTCACATTCCTCTCAGATGTGCGTGGTGCCCTCGCTATAGTCACACCCTCCTCAGCCACATTCAGTTCCCTAGAGTCATCACGTCTCCTGGTGCGTGCCTACCTACCTTCATTAAGGGTTTAGGGACAGCCTACCCACCTACCCCCCCCCATTGTCACAGCACTAGTATGTCACAGCACTAGTATCTCACAGCCCACTGCTTATCTCACAGCCCACTGCTTATCTCACAGCCCACTGCTTATCTCACAGCCCACTGCTTATCTCACAGCCCACTGCTTATCTCACAGCCCACTGCTTATCTCACAGCCCACTGCTTATCTCACAGCCCACTGCTTATCTCACAGCCCACTGCTTATCTCACAGCCCACTGCTTATCTCACACCCCACTGCTTATGTCACAGCCCACTGCTTATCTGATTACCCGTCACCCACCCACCCTCCACCTCCCATCAGGCTCCCATGGTGCGTTGGCCAGGGTTCATCCCGGGGGGGTAAGCCATCACCATCAAGCCACCGCTATTCTTCCATCGCCCACTGCCCATCAAGCCACCGCTATTCTTCCATCGCCCACTGCCCATCAAGCCACCGCTATTCTTCCATCGCCCACTGCCCATCAAGCCACCGCTATTCTTCCATCGCCCACTGCCCATCAAGCCAGTCAACTCCGACCATCCTCCACCCTCCCGCACCCACCACACCACCCACCCACCCACCGCACCCACCACACCACCCACCACCCACCACCACACCTATCAGGCTCCCATGGTGCGTCGGCTAGGGTTCATTGCAGGGGGCATCCGATCAGCATTATTCCGCCACTGCCCATCTAACCACTCAACTATTACCACCCATCACCACCCACCCACGATCCACCACACCCATCAGGCTCCCATGGTGCGTCGGCCAGGGTTCATTGCAGGGGGGCATCCGATCAGCATTATTCCGCCACTGCCCATCTAACCACTCAACTATTACCACCCATCACCACCCATCCACGATCCACCACACCCATCAGGCTCCCATGGTGCGTCGGCCAGGGTTCATTGCAGGGGGGCATCCCATCAGCGCTGCCGCCTTCACCAGCCTTGGGGATATCTCCTCCCTGCGGTAGACTTCATTGCCTCCCTGCGGTAGACTTCATTGCCTCCCTGCGGTAGACTTCATTGCCTCCCTGCGGTAGACTTCATTGCCTCCCTGCGGTAGACTTCATTGCCTCCCTGCGGTAGACTTCATTGCCTCCCTGCGGTAGACTTCATTGCCTCCCTGCGGTAGACTTCATTGCCTCCCTGCGGTAGACTTCATTGCCTCCCAGGGGGGCATCCCATCACCGCACATTCTTTCTCTCTTTCTGAGTCGACTCATCACCATCCCTCCAGTGTGTTTAAAACGTGTCACGCCATCCCATAGCCACGTCACCAGCTCTCAAATAACAGATCTAAGTGAGGTATCATCATGCCACTTACCTCACTTCAGTGAAACAGAGCTATCCATGGGCACGAGGGTGCAAATCAGGCTGTCTGACTGTGCTTTATCCCCTCTCTTCCTCTCAGTTCCTGTACCCGTCACTCTCTCTCTACCACAGGCCAGCAAGCATCAGCCAATCGCTGCACGCCATGTGGCGGTCCATGCAAGCATCCCTAGCTCGTCTGCAAGAGCGGTGGCGATCGGTGGCCGCTGCGGTGCAGCAGCAGCAGGAGCAGCAAAGACTAATCCAACAGCAACAGCAGCAGCAGCAGCAGCAGCAGCAGCAGCAGGGGAGATTCAGTCAGCGCCAGGGGCCTCTATCGAATGTGCACTCAATTTCAGCAATGGCTGCTGCTAATAACGCACAGCCTTCGTTACAGTCACAGTCACATGGGTGGGGACAGGTTGCGGGCCAAGGGAGCACGCCGCAACAACCAGCAGGCCCTGCGGCTGATCCTGTGAGTCACTCTTTCCCCGTGCTGACATTTGAGGCGTCTCCAAGAGACAGTCACAGCCACATGGGTGGGAAAATATTGCAAGCCAGGGAGGCATGGTGCAACAACCAGCAGGGAGTGCAGCTGATTTGCGTGGAAGTAAAAGCGTCATGTGTGTGTGTCTGTCTACTCTTCTTGATCTGCCGTAAAAATGCTAATTGTTGTCACTTGATGAGGGCGGAAAGAGATGTGCTACATGCCCCTCTCCCTGTCTGTGCTTTTCTTTCTTGCAGAGGTTCCCTGGACGGGGTCGAACCCTAGCAGGCTTGACAGCAGCAGAAGCAGGGGGGCACTGCCTCTTCCACCTCATGGATGCAATGTGCCCCTCCTGCTTGTGCAATGTGCCTCACTGTACCCTTGTCTCCGTTTCAGAGGTTCCCTGGACGGGGTCGAACCCTAGCAGGCTCGGCAGCAGCAGGGGGGGCACCTTTAGCTGCTGCAGGAGCAAGAGAAGGGGAGGGATTCGTTGGGGTGGCGGTAATTGCATCTGAAGATGCTCCCAACTACCCGCTGCCCAATGCTGCTGCTGCTGCTTCTGCTGCTGCTGCCGCTGCTGCTTTGGGAAGGTGCGTTGGTACAAGAAAAGGGGTATGGTAACTGCCCTTGTCCCGACCCGCTCTCATCCCTCCTCCCCCCCAGAGCAACAGTCCTCTCTAGTGGCTGGAATATTCCCCAAGCCAGACCAGCCAACCACAGCAGACTGTCCTAAGAGTCATCTTAGTAACCAATCACTGCTCTCCTCCCTCTTAAACATCAACCCTAAACCCTAAACCCACTTCCCCCCCTCAACCAGAGCAACAGTCCTCTCTAGTAGATGGGGACATTCCCCAAGCCAGACCAGCTGTCCCCGGGACAGTGAGCAGCTGTTAGGAGTTGCCCACTCCTTGTTACTCTGATAAATCCTATTATGCTCCCTTCCTTCTTCCCTCTCTCCCTACTTTCCCCCGCCTTCTCAGAGCGACAGTCCTCTCTAGCGGCTGGGCATATTCCCCAAGCCAGATCAACCATCCCCAGCACAATGAGCACTTGCATGGTGTAGCCGATGGTGCTGGCAGCGGCAATGATGGTGCTATTAGAGCGGCATCTGTGCGACAGTTGTGCGATATGGGCTTTAACCAGGTATGTGCGGTACACTTTATGTGTCTTATTTGGTGTTTGAAACCTTTGTTTCAACTCTTAAATTTATCCTACATGTTCTCATCTTTATCCATCCTTTTGCTGCAGTCGGTTGCTCAAGAAGCATTGAATGCAACAAACGGTGATCTTTCGCTTGCAGTTGAGCTGCTAACAGAACAAGTGTAGGGCTGAGAAACTGCAGCCTGTGTGTTCTGGAATCCTGGTTTTGTTATAAGCCCTAAACCTGAATTTTAAGAGCTTTGATTGCAAGAATGTTTTTCATAAGCTCAAATGGGCTACACTTGTTTCTTGGTCGAAGTACTGACAAGGTAAACTGGAGAAGTTCTTGGTGCTCATGTCTACGAATATGTGACTGATCTGGGTACGGATGCTTGTGGTCTCGAAGGGTTACACGCTTCTCTCGACATGCGCGAGAACATTTCGCAGCCAATAATATCCTTCGCAATACACCAAGGATATTTTACCGCAGCACCACCCACGCTTGGTCGCTCCGCTCCCCGCTTCCATCGCCGCATTCGGCGCCGTACCTGATACCTTACCTGTAGCAATGAAATCCGTAGTCGTTGCTGACCGCGTCGCATTAACGACAAATTGTGCCAGCAACCGAGATCAATGTCATGTCGCGCAGGAATTTCGAGCACGGGGCTGCAGCGGCGGCGCCGCCAATTGCGCACTCCCACCGAGTCGAGGCGCCGCCTCAAAGTCGAGGAGCTTCCCGTCGGCCTATCGAAGCGGCTGCGTTAGTTTCCATCCGACGTGGCAATCGCGTCGTTCCGAGAGTGCCACGTGTCATCGGGCGGGCGATCCGACCTGTCAGCTTCACGCACGCCAACCTCCCTGCGTCCTGCGACCTTCGCGAAATTGGCGACGGGAAAGCTATTTTCGCACGTTGGCACGAAAATTATATTCGAGTCCGCCTTCCCTCAGATGCAGCCTCCCCCCGTTGGCGGCCTCCATCTCTGTATCTGAACCGTTAATCTCCAGTCAATCTCCACCATCCGTTCCCAACCAGTGTCTGGTAGCATCCATCGCCGCATCTCAGCCGTCCATTCCCTTCGCGCTGCCATCGCGATCGTTGATCTCAGCAACCGACACGTGGGGGGTGTGGGCCGCGCTGCTAGTAGCCGCAGCGATCGGCTTCTGGTCGGAGCGCCATACCGATATAGGACGCGCTTTAAGCGGCCCGTTAATCTCCACGTTGATAGGCCTAGCCGCGAGCAACTTAGGCCTAATTCCCTCGGACGCGCCTGCCTATGCGGTAGTTAATCGCTTCCTGCTGCCTCTCGCCGTTCCTCTGCTGCTCTATGCCGCCGACCTAAGGAGGGTTATCAAAGACACTGGGCGGCTCCTTCTGGCGTTTTGTGTGGGCTCAGGTGCGTGAGTGCTTATAAGCGCTGCTCTTAATAAGTGCTCCCGTGAATCCTCCTCCGCCCTCCCTCATTCCCCACCTGACTATACATGCCCAACACCCTAGTACAACCCTACAATGCACCCTCCTCCTCCTTTTTCCCCCCTCCCCCCCCCCCTTCCTCCCCTCCTCCCTCTCTCCCCTTCTCCCCCTGCCGTCAACACTATCTATAGAACAATAGCTGCCTTTCCCGGCAGTACCACCCCCCACCCCTCTCCTTCCCCTTTCCCCACCTTCTCTCCTCTCTTCTCCCTCGCTCCTCCCACATACATTCGGAACCATCTTTGGCTCCCTGGTGGCCTTTCTTTCTTCACCTCTTCCCAATCCAACCTCTCTCTCCTCCCTTTCACCCTCTCCCCCCCCTCTCTTCCCCCCACCGTCCCCTTCCCCGCACGCAGTCAGCCCTTTCCCCGCTCCTCCTTTCCCACTCCAGCCTCTCTCCCCTCCTTTTCTCACTTCCCCTCCTCCCCATTCCACACTCTCCCCCCCCCTTCCCCCACATGCAGTCGGCACTATCTTTGGCACCCTGGTGGCCTTTGCCGCCCTGCCGCTCCGGTCGCTGGGCGGCGACGGTTGGAAGATAGCGGCTGCACTGATGGGGCGGCACATAGGGGGGGGTGAGTGGGCGGGGGAAGGGGGAGGTGGGGGGGGGGGGGGGGGGGGGGTGTGGGGGGGGGGGGTATGGGAGGCATGAGGGAAAATTCATTGGGGGTTGGAAGATAGCGGCTGCACTGATGGGGCGACACATAGGGGGGGGGGTGAGTGGGCGGTGGGAGATGGCGGGGAATGGGGGGGTATGGGGGGTTATGGGGGGTATGGGGGTTTATGGGGGGTTATGGGGGGTTATTGGGGGTTTATGGGGTGTTATGGGTGGTAATGGTGCTGCTGCTGGCGTTTCATAACTACCCCCGCCCCCCTTTCTTCCCCGCCCGTCCCCCTCCCATATTCCCAGCCGTGAACTACGTGGCAGTGACAGAGGCATTACAAGCATCACCATCAGTGGTCACGGCAGCTCTGGCAGCCCACAACCTGCTGTGCGCGCTCCACTTCACTTCACCCCATCCTCACTTCTCCACTTCCCCGCTTCGCCCCCTTCCCACCCCTCCCAGCCGTGAACTACGTGGCAGTGACAGAGGCGCTACAGGCATCACCATCGGTGGTCACGGCAGCTCTGGCAGCCCACAACCTGCTGTGCGCCCGGGGGTGGTGCTGCTGCTGCTGCTGCTGCTGCTAATTCAACCTCCTTCTCCTCCCACTGTCCCCGCTCCCCATTGTCCCCTCCCCACCCTCCCAGCTGTCAACTACGTGGCAGTGACAGAGGCTCTGCAGGCATCACCATCCCATCGGTGGTGACAGCAGCCCTGGCAATTGACAGAGGCGCTACAAGCATCGCCACCGGTGGTGACGGCAGCTCTGGCAGCCCACAACCTGCTGTGTGCCCGGCGGTGGTGGTACTGCTGCTGCTGCTGATTCAACCTCCTTCCCCTCCCACTGTCCCCACTCCCCATTGTCCCCTCCCCACCCTCCCAGCTGTCAACTACGTGGCAGTGACAGAGGCATTACAAGCATCACCATCGGTGGTCACGGCTGTTCTGGCTGCCGACAACCTGCTGTTTGCCCAAGGGGGCGCTGCTGCTGATGGTGGTGATGGTGCTGCTGCTGCTGCTGCTGCTGCTGCTAATTCAACCTCCTTCTCCTCCCCACTGTCCCCTCTTCCCACCCCTCCCAGCCGTGAACTACGTGGCAGTGACAGAGGCGCTACAGGCATCACCATCGGTGGTCACGGCAGCTCTGGCAGCCGACAACCTGCTGTGCGCCCTGCACTTCACAACCCTCTTCGCCCTCGCTGCTAAGATTCCTGCAGAGAAGGAGGGGGAGAGCAGTGGTGCCGGTGATGCTGCTGCTGAAACGCAGCTTTCAGACTCACAGGTGGGTACCTTGAAAATGGTTATCGGAGGGAGCCTTTAGGGCGCCTCTAGAGCAGCAGCCCTGGCATGGCAGCTCTGGCAGCCGACAAGCTGCTGTGTGCCCTGCCCTCCACTTCACCTTGCTCTTCGCCCTCGCTGCCATGATTCCTGCAGAAGTGGAGGGGGAAACTGCTGCTGCTGCTGCTGCTGCTGCTGCTGCTGCTGCTGCTGCTGCTGCTGCTGACACACAGTCGTCAGATTCAGCCGGTCCCGCGATGAGTGAATGAGCCGACAACCTGCTGTGCGCCCTGCCCTGCCCTTCACACTCTCTTCGCCCTCGCTGCTACCATACCCGCGGAAGGGGAGGGGGAGAGCAGTGGTCGTGGTGGTGATGCTGCTGCTGCAGACAGACAGACATCAACAGCACAAGTATTTTCCTTAGTGCTCTCCCCCTCCCCTTCCGCTGACACCAAGGGGAGGGGGAGATTCTGTTCCAGGTGCCCTTAGGACACCTGCTCTGGCAGCTCTGGCAGCTCTGGCAGCTCTGGCAGCTCTGGCAGCTCTGGCAGCCCTGGCAGCAAACAACCTGCTATGCGCCCTGCACTCCACTACCTGCGGAGGGGGAGATTGTGCTCCAGATGCCCTTAGGACAGCTTCTCTGGCAGCTCTGGCAGCTCTGGCAGCTCTGGCAGCTCTGGCAGCCGACAGCCTGCTGTGCGCCCTGCACTCCACTACCTGTGGAGGGGGAGAGCGAGCAACTCCCATCCCCCCTTTCTCCACCCCACCCATCCATGCAGCCCTCGTTTGACGTGTCAGCAGCAGCCACCACCCTCGCCCTCGTTCCCTGAAGTTCAGTCCCTCTCTCCTCCTCCTCCACCCTCTGTGTCCCCGGCGCCTCTCTTTCCTGCCCCCCCGTTGTGTCCCCCATCAGCAGCAGCCACCGCCCTCGCCCTCGCAGCCTCCCAAAAGTTTAATTCTTTCCTGCCCCCCCATTGTGTCCCCTACCCATCTGCAGCCCTCGTTTGATGTATCAGCAGCAGCAACCGCCCTCGCCCTCGCAGCCTCTCTCTGCTGGCTCGGCTCCTCTCTAGCAAAGAAACTCTCCTTCGTTGGAGGCACCATCCCTTGCGTCACAGCGCTCGTGCTGGCCTTCGCTACAGTCACACCCCACCTTGCTGCCCCGCTGGTGGTCCCTGGAGAGAAACTGGCTACTCTCATGCTGCAGGTGAGACTATTACTATCTATGGTATTCTGGTCTTGAAGATATTGTTTTGCTACAGTCACGCCGAGCATCGCTGCCCATTGGTGGTCCCCGGGGAGAAGATGGTTACTCTCATGCTGCAGGTGAAACCGAGTGGTGTTTCGCAAAAAAAAAAAAAAAAAAAAAAAAAAGAGAAGGTTCTGGTTCTGGAACTTTTGCTGGTGGGTGAGACTGAAACTATTCTGAAGGCACCTTGCAAAGTGAGACTGGATGGTGTTTCGCTGGTGTAATGTAGTGACAGCGCTTGTGCTCGCTCTCGCGACAACAAGCATGCCTCATTTCTTTCCAAAATCTCCCTCCCTTCATCAGGTATTCTTTGCTTCCATAGGAGCCAACGGCAATCTCGCCGCCATCCTATCCTCAGCGCCCTCCCTCTTCCTCTTCATCCTCCTCCAACTCTCCCTCCACCTCCTCTTCACCCTCTCCCTTGGTCACCTCCTCTCTCTCCCACGAAAAGACCTTCTTATTGCCTCCAATGCCAACGTGGGAGGCCCAACCACAGCAGCCGGCATGGCTGCTGCTAAAGGCTGGCGCTCCCTCACGGTCCCGGCTATACTGGTGGGGATATTTGGCTATGCGACTGCTACCTTCCTGTCGGTGGTCCTAGGTCATACCGTCCTAAAGCCCATGCATTTGAGAGCAGGTGTGTTCTAGAGACAGCTGTTGCTGGAAAGGGGTGCGGAATGGGAGGCCCAACTACGGCAGCCGGCATGGCTGCGGCCAAGGGGTGGTGCTCCCTCACAGTCCCGGCCATACTGGTGGGAACTCTAATACTATGTATGTCCTAACTTGAAGCAGTTTCCATAATGCACCATACCCTAAACCATGGTAGTTCAGAAATTAAGGTTACAGACAATGGTTTCGAATGTTTGGCTTAGCCCCAAGAGCACTTGAATTGGAACTGAATGTCAGTTACGGTGAAAGATTAAAAGTGTCTGCAGCACAGCAATTTGTGTCATCCTTACAGGGCAAAGAGCAGGGCGGCTATGATAGCAACCGCTAGGAAGACATACTTGAAGCAAGCAACGAGGATGACTATAGTGGAGACGAGAACCTGCCAGGAGAGGTAAAGCAGTGCACAGGCAAACACCCCCGCTAGAATCACAGCTAGAGCGTTTTCAGTTGAAGGTGCCAGCCAATCAGAGTCAACACCTCCACCAATAGTACCTCCCCCCCTTCCTCCTCTTCTTCCCCCTCCTCCTCTTCCTCCTCCCCCCCATCCACCTCCTCCTCCTTCTCCTCTTCCTCCCCAATCACCTCCTCTTCCTCCTCTTTCTTCTCTTCTTTCCCCGTTGCTACCTCTGCCAAATCTAGGTATCCAGGACCAATCAAATCTGTTTCTACCGCTGCTTCTGCCGTTGCTGCTGCCTCTGCTGTTGCTCCATCTGTTACCGTTACTGTTACTGTAGTCCGACGCACTGTAGCTTCTCTCGTTATAGTCTTCTTCCTCCTCCAGGACTATCCCCGACCATCGATCCGCATCCGGCTCCCGAATCGCACTGCACACTCTTGTAACGGGTCGTCTTCTAACGGGAATGCTAGTGTGTTGGCGATGGTGCGGTGGGAAGGGGGAGAGAGGGAAACGACCAGCAGAAAGGCGACCTGCAGAGAGGCGACCAGCAGAGAGGCGACCAGCAGAGAGTTTCCCAAGCGACGAGCTACACTCCAGTGGCAGCCGCAGGTGCATGGCTTACTACTACTAGTATCAGTAAAATACACTACTAAAAAGTACACTACACTTGAATTGCTCACACAAAATAGAGTAGAAAATATTACAGCTGCGTGAAGCAGGAGGATGCAAGTAACGCGACCCAGCCCGCCTCGACGGATTACGAGGACAGCTGCAACCCTAACGGAACGAATCGCCTTTCGAGGCGCCTCAAAAGTCGAGATCAAGCCCGCCTCAAAGACTTGCGGGGATCGTGGCAACTTCAACGGAACGACTCGCCCCACCGCTCGTCGAATCCACCAAAATTATGAGCTAAATCGGCCAGCAGGTCTTCAGTGTCTCGACAAAGGGCGACCTAGGGCGACTCCGCGCCAATCAGGGTCTTGGAACAATGTGGGTCGAAAAGCGCTTTCAAACTTTCACGTACGAAGCAAACATCGTGGGAAGCATACCCAGTTTGTTTCATATCATGAAGCATTTTCTACATACTCGTTGGTAGCTTTTCATTCACAACACCTTTCTACACCCATGTTTCCATTCCATGTTTGAATGTATCGTTTATAGCGTGGTTCAAAGTGGTGGAAAACATGTTCTTCTGAAAAACAGACGCCGTTTTCAACCGTTTTGTACCAAACTGTACACCCAAAACTTCCGCGACACCATGAAATGCACAACACGACTCTCCAACTCCTCCCCAACACCATAACCAAGCCGCAGCAACTCCAAGGCCCCACTTTACACGCATGGGTCTTGCCTACTAGGCTACTACCTCTCACCGTGCCTTACTCGTACGTGATTATATGCACTTCCGTGCTAGTAGGCTTCGATATAAACAACTTTGATCCTCGGAGACAGTTTCAACAGCATTCTCTTGTCTCTGAGGCGGTTCGAAGTAATTAGCGCGCTTCTATATCGCTTCAAGTCTGTGGTGTGTGCAATGGCGTCGAGTGAGACTATAACGGTTACAAACCCGTTAAACAGTACAGAACCAGAGGGTTACGGCGTGCTGCTGTATTACCAATACGTGGATGTTCTTGATGGCGTGGCAGCAGCTGATTGGATGCGACGTATCTGCGAAGAACAAGGCCTATTGGGTCGCGTTCGCGTATCCAAGCAAGGCTTTAACGTCACGGTCAGTAGTAACGGGATCATACCACCAACGACACGGAACGAGCAACATTGCTGCCCTCTCCCACCACCCTGCCCTGCCCAGCGGTTCGCCCACACCGACTTCAAGATCTCTCTCAACCATTCCACCCCACCCCGCCCCACCCACCCTCTCAATCCACCCATCACCTTCTGGCAGGTAGGGGGTCGCACATCCGCTCTTCACAGTCACATCGCCGCCCTCTCTCACCACCCTGTCCTGCCATCGCCCACGCCGACTTCAAATTAACCTCTCTCTCCCCACCACCCCACCCAACCAACCACTCCCCCGTTTCCCCAAGTGGTCCCCGCACACCGACTTCAAGCTAGAGCGATGTGATCCATCAAGCTAACCTACCTCTCCCCACCCGCGAGACGACTTCTGAGGCGCCACAAAAGCCACCCACCCACCCACCCACCCACCCACCCACCCACCCACCTACCCACCCTCGTTATTATCACTCGCAGGTGGTCGGTCCCATGTCCGCCCTACACAGTCACATCGCCTCCCTCTCCCACCACCCTGCTAATTGGTTTGGCCGCACCGACTTCAAACTGGAGCGCTGTGATGTACCAAGCTAGTTTACCTCTCTCCACCCTCCCCCAATCCACCCTCGCTATTATCACCTTCTGGCAGGTGGTCGGTCGCATGTCCGCCCTTCACAGTCACATCGCAGCCCTCTCCCACCACCCTTCTAACTGGTTCGCCTGCACCGACTTCAAGCTGGAGCGCTGTGATTGGCCGCCGGACCCCAGGATAGCACGCGAGTGCAATGTGCACGCGCTCTCAGTGCGGATAGTCAAGGTAAGGATAGCAGGATGCGGAGGGTTTGGGGTTAAGGGGTTTGGGGGTTTTGCTTGATGGCTTCCCAATGTGATTGGCCGCTTGACCCCAGGATAGCGCGCGAGTGCAACGTGCACGCGCTCTCAGTGCGAGTAGTGAAGGTGAGGATTGCAGGGTTTTAGGGATTGGGATGCATTTCTTATTGTGATTGGCCGCTTGAACCCAGGATAGCGCGCGAGTGCGATGTGCACGCGGTCTCAGTGCGGATAGTGAAGGTAAGGATATATGGGTGTCAGGTCCATGGATTTGATTCTTCGTTAAGGGATTGGGATGCATGTTGGTATCTTCTCGTTTTGATTGGCCGCTGGACCCCATGATAATCAAAACCCCAGGACGATAGCGTGCAAGTGCAGTGTGCACGCCCCTTCAGTGTGGATAATCAAGGTATGGTGACGATGTGGCAAATGGCGAACGCTTAACAAGTGTTTGGCGTGTGAATGTCCAATTGTGTCTGGCGCGCAGTTTTGAGTCGATTCAAAACAAGTGTTCATCGTGTGAACGACCGATTGTGTCTGGCGCGAGAATGCAATGTGTCTGTGACAGCATCCCCCCGCTCTCTTCTCTCTCCTCCCTCTCCCCTCTCCCCTCTCCCCTCTCCCTTCTCCCTCTGCCCTCTCCCTCTGCCCTCTGCCCAAGTTATATCGCAGGAGCTGGTAACCCTATGCCCCGTGGACCTCTCACTGACAGCCAATCACGTGTCTGCAGAGGCGTTTCAAAACTAACCCCCTCCTCCCTCTCCCATGGTCTCTCAGGAACTGGTAACCCTATGCCCCGTGGACCTCTCACTGACAGGAGACCACATGTCTGCAGCGGCGTTCCACAAACTCATGGTGCAAGGGACAGTGGAGAATGGAGGAATGGAGAAAGGGAAAGTGGAGAATGGAGGAATGGAGAAAGGGACAGTGGAGAATGGAGGAATGGAGAAAGGGACAGTGGAGAATGGAGGAATGGAGAAAGGGAAAGTGGAGAATGGTGAAATGGTGAACGGGGGAGTGGAGGGAGAGGAGGAATTAAGAAGAGAATGTGAGGGGGAGCAGGATGATGGGCGTGTGCCACGTGGCATGGTGGTATTGGACACTAGGAACGTCTACGAGACGCGCATCGGACGATTCGTGCCGCCCAAAGGTGCTGCCAGTCTCTTCCTTGCTGTGCCGCCCATCTACTCTTAAGTCAATTCTTGTATCTCTTAAAATCTGAATTCGCTGCGAATATCTGTGCTTATCCCCCATTTTTATAGCGCCTGAAAAGTAACTCTAAGGGGATTCTCAGAAAAATCTCTTTCCTCATCTCATCTGAGAATCCACAGCCAATATAAGGTTCGGGCGAGTCTATTTTTTAGGTGCTTAAAAACGTAGTCAAGCTAGATTCTCAGACAATCCTCTTTCCTCATCCGCAAATCCTCGGTCGCACCTCTTTCCTTTTGAGAGTTCTCACATTTTTTTTTGGGTTGCGAAGCAACCCTTTACGATCGATTTTGCCAATTTTTATTTTCATATTTATTATTTTTTAATAAAATATGAAAATAAATTTCATAAACTACAGTATCATTCCCATACTGTGCATAGTGAGTAGTTGTCAATAGTGTTCACAGTACATCAAACCATATGATTTTTTTTATCAGGTGTTTTGTGCAGATAGTTGTACTGTTTGCATTATATGTTTTACTATTAAATGGTGTTGTAGTAATGATAAATAAATGCAAGTGCATAAAATAATGCTATAGGATGCATAATGTTTAATATGATGTCATGAATTATGATGCACATTCATGCACATAATAAAATGCGTGACAGTTAACGACCCAAAAACTAAGCTACCGCCATTCTTAGTTGGAGTATACGTGTTTCGCGTTTCATAAAACGCTGTACGCATCTTTGGGGGGGTCCGATACGCAGTGAAAACGCAGGGCCGGGCAGGGGTAAAAAAAGTTTTGGGCTGGTGAAATTTTTGGGTTAAGAGGTGGGGAAGGGGGTGATGCAAGGCACCATCATCTCCCTTCCCCTTTTATTATAGGGTAGGTTACATTCACACATCACTAGCCCCCCTACCCCACCTCCTTTTCCCTTCCCTTTCCCATCCCATCCCATACCACCCCCTCCCCACATGCACGTCTATGCATACTCATCCTCAAGAACCATGTCCTCCTCCTTCCCAACCTCCTCCTCCTCCCCATCCTCCTCCACGTTGTAGCCCTCGAGAAGTGGCGCCTCAGGAATGTTGCCGTTGACCACCCCCTGCCCCTCAGGGACCTTGTACTACCAGTTGTGCACAACCTGCCAGTTGTGCACAACCTGCCAGTTGTGCGCAACATATAGGAGGTCCCTGCACTTCTCAGACCAAAGGCGGTTGCGCCTTGCCGTGTGGACCGCGTCCCACATGGACCAATTGCGCTCACAGGGCGACGCGGACACCGGCTGCGAAAGATTGCGGATTGCGCACGGAGCAAGGTGGGACTTGTCCCACCGGTCCTTCACGATGAGGCGGATCTCCTTAACCTCTGCCCTCGTCAGGTACCCCGCGGAGTGCTTATCGAGGATGTCATCTACGTCCTCGGTGAGCTGCAGCATGGAGTCGTAGAGGCGCCCCATCATCCCCTTTCTCGTGGCATCCGTAGCCCGCATGACGGCGAACGGCTTCGCCATGAGCTTGGTGAAGAACTCGACCGTCTTCCACCAAGTCTCGTCCATGATGTGCTCGCGGAAAGTGGCCGCACTCTTACTCCTTGCGCCTGCTGCCCAGACCTCCCATTCCTCACTTAAAACCATCTGCACGAGGGCAAGGCGGACTTCGCAAAGGCGAGAAATAGCGATGAATTGCGTGCCGAAGCGAGTGCCTGCGGGTTTCAAGACCTGCTTGCCCTTCCCGCCATTGACCATGGGGCTGCGCAGATACCCCCGCGTGAAGTGGTGGCTGCGCGTGAAGGTGATGATCTCGTTCCCGCGGGAGATGAGGTTCGACACCCAGTCCATCTTCCCAACGTCCTCCATCATGAGATCGAGGACGTGGGTAGCACAAGGTACGTGCTCAATGTGGGGGTAATCCTCCATCAGCTCCCTGCACGCCACCACATAGTTCGAGCCGCCGTCCATGCAAAATGCCACCACGTTTTCCGGTCCGGCTTTCTTGAGAATGGGACGGAGAAGCGATGCGATGTAACCTCCCGTCTTCTGTTCCATCTTTGTGTTGACAGACTCCACGAAGACCGCGCCACTGTCGTTGATCAGAAGGACATTCGCCTGCGGACGGTGGTTACGGTCAGTCATCATGTCGCTCGACACCGTTACACCATCCCGTCGCCAGCTCGCCGCGATCGGAACAAGCGCCGCCTTACGACATTTCTAGAGCCCGACGCCACCGATGAACCGACGCCTCGGTGTGACGAAGCCGTCGCCCGCACGCGCAATGCAGGAGACCATGTTGAGCCAAACAGGGTGGTCCGCGTGGTGTTCGGGGAGGCGCAGAGCGGCGAACGCGAGGCAGATCGACTCGTCGGCGCTATTCTTCTTGCAGGCTGACTCGTCGCCGTAGAAGTCGGTCATGCGAGACTTCTTCGTCTCGCCAGCAACGCCGGAAACTGCAGCAACGGCCGAGACTTCAGCCGCGCGCTTCTGCTCTCGCGCTTGGACTTGGTCTCGTAGAGTGCCTTCACTCCATCACGAGCGGCCTTGGGAGCATTCTTGCAGATGCGGACTTCACGACGCCGCATATTTTTCCAGCTGGTGATGTGCTGAGCAGCGCGGTACATACCGCCCGTAAATTTGTGGCGACACCACTTGCACACCTTGGTGGCGTGGTCGCTGTCATCGCCGGCCTTCACAAGGAAATGCTTGTACACAGCATGGGTTTCGTGCAGGATAACCAGATTGGCGCTGGTTTCCTCAACAGAACTAGCATGAGGAGCTGCAGTTGGTGGACTAGTACTACTGGGTGTTGCTAAAGGAGGGGTCGCCATGCTGAAGAGGCGAGCTATAGAAGAGAGGAGAATTGAGTAATGAATAACGAGTGGAAAAGCACGACATTTACCTTAGAGATGGAGGGTGGGTTGCGGGGGACTCACCTCAATGTTGTGTTTGAAGAGGTTGGAAGTGAATGGGGTACGAGGGAGTTTGCAGGGGTGAAGGGTGGGTTTGGTGCGACTCGGGTTGAAATTTCGAATTTCATGTTGAACTCGCGACGTGCGAAACCCCACATATGAATCGCCACTTCGCGAACCGAAACTCAAATTTTGAACTTTTTTTTTCCGGTCAGCCCGAGCGTTTTTCAGCGTTTCCGAACCAAAAACGCAGCGATCGTTTTTTAGCGCGTATAAACTCAAAACGCAAAATAATTTTAGCGTATACTCCAACTAAGCCGCCATCCCCTGCCTAGCATGGGGGGGAGGTCAATAGCATAGATTTTGAATAATCAACTATCACATGAAACAACACAATCTTTAAATCTTAAAAAAATGGTCAATCCTATCAAATCCAGTTCGAAGTGGCAACACACGAGTCACTTTGTGCGCCAATGAACCTTTTGTGAAATGATAGACCTGAGCCATCTTTTTAAAATTCACAGACATGCATTGTTGATGCAATGATGAACATAAAAAAATACACATGCATACACACAATGACAGATACGCACACACACACACACACACGAAGGCAAACTAATGATAATAGAACCGCATACAAATGCACAAACAAAAAACACAAGTAGGAAGAAATGAAAACAAGAGATGCAAAATTTATGAACAGCAATCTAAATCAAATTCCACCATCCAACATTTCCCAATCGCTTGGCTCAATCATAAGGTAGTTAATCTGGCATACGCGCAACCTGGTGAAGAAAGAAAACAAGCATCACAAGACGAAGGAAGGAACGAGTAGAAGGGATGAAGAGCGAATACGATGAAAGAAAATCAACCGAAAGGAAGAAGCAGAGAAAACAAGACGAATGGATTCAAAACAAGGGAGAGAGGACGAGAGAGAGAGGACAAGAGAGAGAGGACGAGAAAGAGAGGACGAACGAGAGAGAACGAACGGGAGAGAGAGAACGAGAGAGATAGAACGAGAGAGAGAGAGAGAGAGAGAGAACGAGAGAGAGAAGGCCTTAGCATCCAGCCCTCTCCCTCTTCCCTCTGCCCTCTCCCTCTGGTCCTATTTAAGGGGCCCTCCGTGCCTTCCCTACCTCATTATTTCGTTGGTGTTTCACATTCGGCGGAGAGAGAGCGAGAGAGAGAAGGCCTTAGCATCCAGCCCTCTCCCTCTTCCCTCTGCCCTCTCCCTCTGGTCCTATTTAAGGGGCCCTCCGTGCCTTCCCTACCTCATTATTTCGTTGGTGTTTCACATTCGGCGGCTCGCGCCGGCGGCCTTCGGCCGCCGCCGCTCGCAAGCGCGGCCTTCGGCCGCGCGTTAGGGGTGGCAAGACACAAGACGCGAGTTCGGCATATAAAGGGCATACAAACACACAAGGCAAGGGGGCAGGCAAGAGCAAGAGGCGCGGCATGCAATTCTACACGCGGCGGAGGCCTACATCGTGTACGGCTCCGCCCCCTCCACCTCAAGCATCGAGCGCATGCACGCCGATACTGCAAGAAGGAGATGCGCCGACGACTGGAGCGTGTCCAAGGGGGTCCCGGCCTGAGCAGCCCCTACAAGATCCCCCACGTGGCGGGGGAAAGTACGGGCTAAGGGAGCTACCCCGGCGGGCGCATCCGACACGGGTGCCAACGGCGACTCGAGCGATTCTGCCAAAGTCACGCAGGATCCTCGGGATCCTGGACCGAAACTGCTCGGAAGGCTCCGCGTGGCCCCACACACCGCAAGCTGCAAGTTCGCCACCACCTCGCACGCCTCCGCTAGATTCAGAATCCGGCACATGGTCAGCATGGGGTCTCTCCCCGCGCGAGTGGGGGGAGGTGCAGTCGGCGCTTCGCGCGGATACGCCGTCGGCCAGCCTGGAGTTCGGCCAACAGATAAGCGCGGCGCAGAGAAGCCGGGGACCTGACGGGGGGTGCGGAACTGAGCCCTCCCCTCTCGCGCGGGCCGATATTCGCTCAGCGTCGGCGCGCGCAGAGGAGCAACCTGGCCTGGGTCCGCGGCGAAGGGGGGACCGTTGGTCACCTCTATATGGACGTGAGTTGGCCCCCCACTCGCCCGGGCCTGCCGCACCACCTCCACAAACGTGTCTGCGGCGTGATCGAGGGCAGGATCCTGCTGGCGACCATTACCGCCACGACCTCCGCCATTCCGCCGGCCTCGCCGGCCGCCAGAACCTGCCGAGTGAGGACGCGGGGGGGACTGCTCGCGACGCCCCGAATCCCAGCGACGTCCAGGCGACCCCCTCCCCCTCGTCGCCGGAGATCGCCGCGGAGACCGTTGCGCGGGGGATCGCGCTCGGGGTGAGCGCTGGCCTGCCCGACCACGAGGAGACGGGTGGCGAGGAGAACGAGGACGCCCAGGGGATCGCCGATCGCCCCCACCCCGCGGATGAGCCTCGCGATGCTCAGGAGATGGGCGCCGAGGAGAGGGCTGCCGCGGAGGCTGACGCAGAGGCGAGCGCCCGCGCTCCTGCCGCGGCTGACCGTCCGGGCGGTTCGACGCAACACGCGCAGGGGCCCACGAATACTCCGGCGAGGTGGGGCGCGGGGCAGGCCGTTGGGGAAGAGTCAGCACCCGGTCGAAGCGGCGGACGGGCTCGCTTGCGGAGGGGTGCGCAGGGACACGCGGGCGAAGACCGCCAGGCGCAGGTTCCGGCAACGCGCTCTCCGCGGATCCCTCGAGCTCCGGATCCCGTCTCGCGGATGGATCCATCACCCACGACCGCACCGCAGCCGACGCCAGCGCGCCGACAAAACGAGGACGAGGTGGACGTGGCGCCGCAGGCAGGGCGCGTGGGAGCCGCGGAAGGGAGAGGAACGCGGGGTATCCGCGTGGGACGCGGCAGCAGCCGCCGCGGACGACGAGGGAATGGGAGGGGACGAAGAGGTGGAGGAGCGCACGGCACAAATTGGCGCCGCACCGGCGCAAGCGGTTACGCGAGAACTGCTGAAAGGCTAATACGCGAAGGCGTGGAAGGCGGCGAGGAGGAGCACAGCGAGGAGGCAGAGGACGAAGCTGAGAATGAAGAAAGCGAAGGGGGTGACCCTGTTTTTAACCCAGAAAGAGAGGGGATGTTGGAAGCAGAAGCCGAGGACGAGGAAGAATTGGAGATGCTACTTCGGGAAGCGGAGTTTCCAAACCATCAGGCCCGGGACGAACCTGCAATTCGAACCACAGGTCGAAATCGAACCGCGGGGGGAAATCGTGCAAGGGGGGGAAATCGAGCCGCGACAGAAGACGGAATTGACTCTGCAGCAGCCAATGATAATTCTGCAGGCCCCTCCCCAACCCCACCAACGCTCAAACCTGACGACCTGGCGAAAAATACTGACCTTTTCGCTCAGGTTGCAGACTGGAACCTTGACCCGCTGCGCGACAGTCGCCAACCTCCCCTCGCTCGCCACCCCCCCAAAGACCTTCGCGACTCCTTCGCGATCTGCATGTTGACTCCGTTACTCCACCTGGCGGCCAATCCTGAGTCTCCACCAGGATGGAACTTACTGACTTTTCTCCCGCGCTTACTCCTCCGCACCTCGTCAGCCCGCAAACCTGACTGGAGCGCGATGATGAATCGGCTCCGGCGATTTCGCCAAGGCCTTTGGGGGGACCTGTGCGAAGAAGCTGTCCAGGCGATCTCACTGCCACCGCAACCTCGCCACTCACCTGACACAACGGGGATACTGGCACGGGCAGAAGGACTCGCAAAACGGGGTAACCTGTCAAAATCACTCCAATCCCTCCAGGCCACTCCTGTGTCTCCCGCCTCACCTGAAGTGTTGGAAGCCCTCACGACGAGACACCCATCCGCCTGCCAACCACTTTCTGACTGGCTCCGCACCGCCACAGCGGAAGACCCACCCACTATCGAAGCTCGCGACTTCAGACGCCTCCTCGCCAAACTCCCCAACGGAGTAGGGGCCGGCCCATCTGGAACAACCTTCGAGCACATCCGCGACGCAGCCCTGGGCAACGCCGAAGTACTCACCCACCTCCTCGCCCTCACTAACACAGCTCTAGCAGGAAAACTCCCCACAGTCGCGGGGGATCTTCTAACGGCATCCCGCCTGTTAGCATTTACGAAACCACAGGGAGGGACGCGGCCGATTGCGGTGGGGGAGTGCCTCCTCCGGATAATAGCAAAAGCCGCGCTCTTCCTCACTGCGCCGGCCGCTCGTACTCACTTTGCTCCGCTTCAGTTCGGAGTCGCAGTAGCGGGAGGGATCGAAGCGGCTATCCACTCCGCTCGCACGTACCTGGAAATGCACCCAGGGGCAGTGGCGCTGCAGATTGACCTCGCGAATGCGTTCAACGCGGTCGAAAGAAGGGCGGTGTTTGAAGGACTGAAAAACGAGGAGCTGAAGGAACTGATTCCCCTCGTCCGCCTTTCCTATGGGACTCCCTCCTCGCTCTTCCTCGACCACAACTTCGGCGCAGCCCCGCTGCAGAGCGCCAGGGGTGTTCGCCAAGGAGACCCGCTCGGCCCACTCCTGTTCGCGGCTAGCATCCACCCGTGCCTCGTGGACACGGCGGCTGCACACCCTCAGGTGGTCCTGCTGGCGTACGCCGATGATATCACGCTGCTCGGCGACGCCACGGCCTGCTCTGCGGCTTTCGACCACCTCACCTCTGCTTTAGCCGCCCTCGGCCTGGTGCACAATCCGGCTAAGTGCGCGGCGTGGTCCGCCGCAGCAATCGACGCCTCCTCAGTCCCCCCAGGCGTCACTATCTCTGAGGAGGGTTTGCAGATTCTCGGCAGCCCCGTGGGCACTGCCCGAGGCTGCGCAGATGCTGTGAGAGCGAGATTGGAAGCAGCAGCAGCGCCTCTCCCCCTGCTGGCCCAGATGGACCCCCAACTTGCCCTCCTCCTCCTCACCCGCTGTGTCAGCCGCCGAGCTTCCTTCCTGGCCAGAACCACCCCCCTAGAGGCCCTCCCTGAAGCCGAATGGTCCGCTTGGGGGGAACAACTCCTTCACACCTTCCTAGACTCGGCCCACATCATGAGGCCGAGGAGCGTCAGGGAGAGACGGAGGATTTGGCGGCAGGCGGCCCTGCCAGTGACTTTGGGAGGCCTGGGCATCACTGACCCCGCCGTTGAAGGCAGCTATGCCTACCTCGCCTCAGTGATCAGCACAGCCCACCTCTTGCACTCCCTGGAGGACTCGTTGCACCCCGCTGTCGCCGCGCTCCTCCCCCTTTTGGATCCAACCCACGGCTCCCCACACGCGCTACCTGCACGCCTCGCCGCGGCTGAGGCAGCCCTGCCCCCCGAGGCTCTCGAGGTGCTCCAGGCCGGGAAGGCTGACCCCAAGGGACTGAAGCTGCAGCAGAACCTAGCACTGGCGGTTCACTCCCGCCGCTTCCTGAGAGTCATGCGCGAGGCGAGGCGGATGCGCCCCAACCCCCGCTCTGGCCATGCGCAACGGATGCAGTCGGTGCTGGGCCCAGGCGCGGGGGATTGGCTGCTGGCGATCCCGCTCACCCCCTCGCTCCGGATGGGCCCGTCCCAGCTCTCAACTGCAGCTGCCTTCCGCCTAGGCCTCCCCCTCCCAGTGCCTAGACGCTGTGACTGCCGCTACCGCACCACCTTCCCCGACGACCGCCTCCCCAACCACCTCATGCGCTGCGAGAAGGGGAAAGGGAGGACCGCAACCCACCACGCTCTGCGGGATGAGATAGCGAACATTGGGGCGGAGGCGGGGTTTACGGTTCACAAGGAGACGTATGTCTACTCACTGGTTGAAAACCTAAAGGCGGATGTCACCATCCGTCATCCCCTGACTGGTGAGGTTTGGATGTGCGACGTGACCGTGACGGACCCGGTGTCAAGGCAGGACGAGAACTGCAACCGAGCTCCTGGATGGGCGGCCAGGGCGGCAGCAGAGAAAAAGGAGGATAAGTACGCACGGCGGAACGCGTGGGTGGGGTTCCACGCGCTTGCAGTGGAAACTTATGGCTACCCCTCGCCGGGGGTGATGGCTTACCTGCGGCAGTGCGCAGAGCTGGCGGCAAAGCTGCGGTTTAACGCGGCTCCTACCTCCTACGAAGCAGCGAAGCTGCTGACGGAGTACCGCCAGCGCTGGAGCGTGTGCCTCCAGCGGGCGCAGGCCAACGCCCTCCGCACCAAGACCAACGAGGCCTTGGCGGCGGACGAGCTCAGCTTTAGAGGACCCATCATCCCTCTCAGTGAGGGACAGCTGCACCAGTTGATTGAGGCCTCGTTCGACCAGTAGGGTCGGACAGAGGGGGGGGGGGGCTGAGTAGGTAGGAGACTTGAGGTAGTTCGGATCTCGGTTTGGATGTTTGTTGTGCTTGTGTGTTCTGCATCTTCCTTTGTACCACCCCTCATGGTAATGCAAGGACCATTCGAGAGAGAACGAGAGAGAGAGAACGAGAGAAAGAACGAGAGAGAGAGAACGAACGAGAGAGAGAGAACGAGAGAGAGAGAACCAGAGAGAGAACGAGAGAGAGAGACCGAGAGAGAGAGGACGAGAAAGAGAGAACGAACGAGAGATAGAGAGAGAGAGTTCAAAAACAGAAACTAAGAACGAAGAAACGATGCAGCTACGAATAGAAGGAGTGGCTAATCGAAGAGTCAGAAAAAAGAGAAGGAAAGGTGAAGAGCGGATAAAGCAAAAATGATCACGAAAACCAAGACAAACGTCACTAGATGCGGAATCTATTAAAAGGAAGGAACAACTCGATAAAATCTTAAGAAACGGAATGAACGAGCTCAGTAAGGAACGAACATGGGACTGGAAGGAAAAAAGAAGGAAAAAACATGAACCGGAATGCATATAAATAGAGACAATGATTCAAGCTAATACGAGAGATAAGAGCGCGATAGGGAATGAAAAAAAACATGCAGCCCTATTAACGACCTAAGGAAAACTGACGTCCTTACAAAGGCCTGGAGCTATTGTTCCGTTAAAACAACCAAATGCAGAAGTAAACGAAGATCTTAGTATAGCTTGTAATCGTCTAACATAGTCTCTACGTAATAGCTAGAAGTCTTCCCACCTTTAGGAGATAGCAGCAAATGGAGCGTGAGTACCGGGCTGATATGAAGAACTGGGCTCCACTCACGAGTGGGAGACACAAAGAAGAAAAGGGACGTCGAAACCCTAGAGCAGTTCAAATTTCGTCGCACAGAAATTGAACTAATAAGTTCAAAAATGACACCATTTATGTCGTTTGTAGCGGAGTCGTAAGAAAGTCGACTAGAAACCGAACGATTTCTAGTTCGATTCCAGTAGGCTCGATGTTAAGTTGTTCTTGGGTACAACTCAAAATGATTGTTGGAATGTCCAAGTTTTGTACACTCTATTAGTTTTACAAGTTAATGTACTTTTGCAAAATGCTTCGCAACCTTAAGACGATTTCGTCGCCTCTTTTTTTTTTTTTTTTTTTTTTTTTTTTTTTCACTGTGCCCATCACCTCACCTTTACATCCTCAATATCCTGCTTGTTTTCTGTCAAGGACGCAAGTCTCTTTCAGTTGAGCGATCTCCCTACATGGGAGGACAGGCACATAGGCAAGCATGACTGTCTCTTACACGGCACCGCACTGCACTCCTCTTGACCCTAACACCACCCGCCAGGTGTGACATTCATTGACCCCTGCATTCGTCAGTTCAGCGATCTACCCGCATGGGTGGACAAGCACGAAGACGAATTAAAAGACAAAACGGTGCTTATGTAAGTGCTGCTAGTAGTGTTTAGCTATGTTTTGCGGGTAAAACGTGCTATGGTAAGGGGCTTTTAGGTTTTCCAGTGTATATCACAAGTGCAACTATTCTTCTCTTCCCCCAACCTTCCTTCCCTCCCTCTCTCCCAACCTTCCACCCTCCCTCCCTCCTGCTTGCTGTCACTCATGCTGCTTCTCCCTTGTCTACCCCCTTCCTTCCACCCCCACTTTCCTCCCCTGTCCACCTTTTCCGCCTCACCCCCATCCCACTCTTCCTTCCCCCCGTCTCGTCCTTTCCTCCACACCAGGTATTGCACTGGAGGGGTGCGCTGTGAGTCAACCACACCACAGCATACCTTCTTTTGAAAGAGCCCTCCAATTCCACAGGCCCTCCCATGTTCTCGTTTTCTTCCCTCGCCTATTTGCACCCCATTCCCTCTGCCCCCACCCCACCAGGTATTGCACTGGAGGGGTCCGCTGTGAGTCAGCCACCGCCAACCTCTCTCATGCTGCTCTACTTGCTTGCTTCTCTCCCTCCCCTCCCTGCCACCACTGTCCTCCTCGACCCCCTCTTCCCCCACCCCTCCAGGTATTGCACTGGAGGGGTCCGCTGTGAGTCAGCCACGGCCTACCTGCGATCCAAGGGCCCTGGTTTCCAAGACGTGGTGCAGGTGTGTGTATGCTCGGTCGTATGTGGTGCTGTGCGGTGCTGTGTGGTGATGTGTGGTGCGGTGATGTGTGGGTACTGCACCGGAGGGGTTCGGTGTGAGTCAGCCACGGCCTACCTCCGATCCAAGGGACCCGGCTTCCAAGATGCGGTGCAGGCGTGGTGCAGATGTGGTGCCGGTGTGTTCTGTGCGGTACAGGTGTGGTGCAGATGTGGTGCCGGTGGGTACAGGTGTGGTGCAGATGTGGTGCCGGTGTGTTCTGTGCCTTGCTCCTTGCGCCATGTCCCACATGTGCAGCTGTCAGGAGGCATTGTGCGCTATCTCGAGGCGTTTCTCGACGGGGGTTCTTTTTCCTGTCATACCACACTACGCCTTGTGTGTTCACTCTTAAACCATGTGTACAGCTGTCAGGGGGCATTGTGCGTTATCTGGAGGCCTTCCCAGATGGGGGAGGGGGGCTCTCTTCCTGCCATGCCATTTTCTAACCCATACAATCCGTGTGTGATGAGGCGATTTTTGAGTCGACTCAAAAATCGCCTCATCACACAAAATTTTTCTAACCCATACCATGCTATCCTGTACCGTATCATGCCTTGTTTCAAACGCCCTGCCTGTGTGTGTGCAGCTGTCAGGGGGCATAGTGCGTTATCTGGAGGCGTTCTCAGATGGGGGGTTCTTCCTTCCATGCTATACTATTCCATGCCACACTAGCCCATACTATTTCATGCCTTGCTCCTTGCGCCCACCCCTATATGTGCAGCTGTCAGGGGGCATAGTGCCGTATCTCGAGGCAATCTCAGATGGAGGTTTCTTTATGCCATCCCAACCCATCCCATGCCTTCCTCCTTGCGCCCACCCCTACATGTGCAGCTATCAGGGGGCATCGTGCGTTGTCTTGAGGCATTCCCAGATGGGGGGTTTTTTCTGCTGTGCCATCCCACCCCATCCCATGCCGTACTATCCCATACCATATCTCGCCTTACTCCTCCCACTCTTTACATGTGTGCAGCTGTCAGGAGGCATTGTGCGCTATCTTGAGGCATTCCCAGATGGGGGTTTCTTCCGAGGGAAGAACTTTGTGTTTGACCACCGGTGAGACTCCGTTTGAGACTCCGTTTGAGACTCCGTTTGAGACTTCGTTTGAGACTTCGTTTGAGACTCCGTTTGAGACTTCGTTTGAGACTCCGTTTGAGACTTCGTTTGAGGATTCATAGCAGCAAATTGCAGCAGACCTTTGAGTCGACTCAGCCATGAAGCTGGGCGAGCTGCAGTTAGGAAGTTACTTTTAGCTAAAGAAAAACAGTAGTACTCTCTTGTACGTTGTACCCTGCTAAGTGCCAAGAATTTGAAAAACCGAACTCTCGAATCCACTAAAGAGATTAAAACGCAAATTGCAGATAGACATTTGAGTCGACTCAAGAGTCCACAGATGGGGGTTTCTTCCGAGGGGAAGAACTTTGTCTTTGCCCATCGGTGAGATTCCTTTTGAGACTTCTTTTGAGTCGACTCAAAAACAGGTGCAGTGGCATTTTGAATTGCAGCAGACCTTTGAGTCGACTCAAGAGTCCACAGATGGAGATTTCTTCCGAGGGGAAGAACTTTGTCTTTGACAATCGGTGAGTCCACCAACGTATTTGTTGAGTCAATTTAAGAGCCTCTAGATGAGGGAATGTTTTCAAGAAGAGCTTATCTTTTACCACCGGTGAGTGAGACATGCAATGCAACATGTGTGAAACATCTGGTTGACGTCTGCCAGCAAGCAACCAGCAGCACCGCAGCAAGCAACCAGCAGCACTGCAGCAAGCAACCATAGGCACATGCTGCCGGTGCTCGCAGCAGTCTGGCCCGCGCCTCTCACTCCCCACTTCTTACTCTCCCGAACCCCCTCTTTCCACTCCTCCCTCGCTCCCTCTCTCCTCCCAGCCTGGCAGTACCACCGGCAGCGCCACAGCAAGCAACCATAGGCACGTGCTGCCTGTGCACAAGGCCCTTTGACGACTACAGCGGGAGGAACCGCTGTGCCGCATGCCGTATGCTGCTGCTGGTCTGCCCTGCTTGCGCTCAGGATCAGGTGGGACTAACGCACGTGTACATATGCGAGTAAATGTGTAGTGGTACCTCGTGTGCTGCCTGTGTGAGAAGCCTCATGATGACTACAGCGGGAGGAACTGCTGTGCTGCATGCCTGCATGCTACTCCTGGTCTGCCCTGCTTGTGCCGAGACACAGGTGAGGAGAAAGGGGTGAGAGTGACTCTGCTTGTGTAGTGGTTGGTTCGCGTGCTGCCTGTGTGCCAAGCCGTTTGACGACTACAGTGGGAGGAACCGATGTGCTGCCTGCCGCATGCTGCTGGTCTGCCCTGCTTGTGCTCAAACAGAGGTGAGGATGAATATGAATGGGTGTAATGGTTGCGTAGGGGCAGCGTCTCACATGCTGCCTGTGCACAAATCCGTTTGACGACTACAGCGGGAGGAACCGCTGCTCCGCATGCCGCATGCTGCTGCTGCTGCTCATTTCATTTGTCCTGTTTGTGTTTGAGACGTCTCAAAAACAACCTCGCTACACGTGGCTGCTCCGCATGCCGCATGCTGCTGCTGGTTTCATTTGTCCTGTTTGTGCTGAGAAACAGGTGAGGACGTGTCTCCTTCATCTTACCCGCTCTGCCCCTTCCTCCTCTCCCCGTTATTTTCCATTTCAGCCTGATATCCTGTGTGAAATCTGCCAGAAAGGAGGTTGCTTAGTGGAAGGGGGGAGGGCAGAAGATAAAGAAAGAGCACAGCAGCAATATCGCCAGAAACGCAAGGACCAAGCTCAGGGGCAGGAGCATGGGCAGGGGAAGGAGCAGCAGGAGGAGCAACAGCAGGAGCAGGGGCAGGGGCAGGAGCAGGGGCAGGAGGAGCAAAAGCAGCAGACACAGCAGCAGACACAGCAGCAGAAACAGCAGCAGCAGCAGTTACCACAGCACCTTTTCCCTTCGCCTGTAACCCTGGTGGGTGGTCTCTGAGTCGTTTCAACGGCTATTTCAAGGGCTATTTGTAACACACTTGCTTTGTTTGTTCGAATACTTCAAGTCCTTGTTTTTGTCCCATAACAAGCTCTCAATCTCTCACAGCAAAAAAAAATGAGCCGCCTAAAATATCTCTCCTCTTTTGGCATAAGGTTCGTCTCGGGGACATCTCTTGCTTAGTGATTTCTGCTGCCTTTTTGGCTTCGCCTCGGCATCGACAGATTAATGACGTGCGGCTCTTCTTGAATTTCGGCCTGGCATGTATACGACTGGCATGGCATGCACTGCTGTGGTTCAACATGTGTGCACCTTCCACTGCATATTGTGGCGTGTCTATGCTTTGGAAGCAGCCTGGCTGTACTGGTGGCATTGCTAGTGTGACTCCCTCAGCAGCTGCTGCCACCACTGCCACCACTTCTGGCACTGATGCCCCCACTACAACAGCACTTCTTCCAACAGCAACTGTCATTGCTGCCAACACTGCCACAGCCGCCAGCAGCATCAACAACAGCAGCAACAGCAGCAGCAACAGCAGCAGCAGTAGCAGCATCGAGAGTCCAAGGTCAAAAGCTCGCATTCTTTGTCTTCACGGGTTCAGACAAAACGCCTCGTCCTTTTCTGGCCGCACGCGGGCGCTGCAGCGGAAGCTCAAGTCGGTGGCGGAGTTCGTCTTTATTGACGCTCCCCACGCACTCGCACACATGGTCACCTCTTCAGGTGCTTTTCCAGATGAACCTTCAACAGAAGCATCACCATCAGCAACAGCAGCAGCAGCAACACCACCATCTGGTAACCAGCTGGCAGGTGCGCCATCCCCATCATCAGCACCAACATGCATTGACCCTCCCGCTCGACCTCCTTTTTCAAGACATGTCAAAGATCCATTACCATCTGGTAACCAGCTGGAGAGTAAGGCAGGTTCGCCATCACCATCACCATCACCATCACCATCACCATCACCAGCACCAGCATGTGCGGACTCTCCTGCTCGGCCTCCTCGAACCAGGTTCGCATGGCTCAACGCAGGATCACCACAATCCCCTTCATCGTCATCACCAACACCATCTGGTAACCAGCTGGAGAGCACGGCTTCATGCAGTGACTCTGCTGCTCGGCCTCCTCGAACCAGGTTCGCCTGGCTCATAGGACCTATTGACCTTGCCCTCCAGGCATCCTCGTTACAAGTCCACTCGTTACAAGAACCCGCCCTTCAGGCAACCTCCTTCCAAGCACCCTACCATCAAGCACCCTCTGCAACCACAGTCCCCAGCTCACAGTACTCTCCTCCTCACCCCACCACCACAAGTCCGCTCCACTCACATCAGCACCAGATTCCACACGCTGCTTCCACCACGTGCCATGCTGGCAATGTGCCAGCTGGCAGTCCTGACGAGGCGCCAGGTGTCATGATCGCATCAAGTGTTGCTGACTCATTACCAGCTTGCACTGCAGCGCCATGCAGGCAGCCAGTTGGCAGGTTCCCTCCTGACCAGCTGGATGGGCAGGTGTACGGCTGGGCGACAAGTTTGTCTCATCTGAGGAAGGTGGTATCTGAGCTCGGTCAGTTTGACGGGGTATTGGGATTCTCCCAAGGTGCAGCAGTGGCTGCTGCTGTTGCTGCATTGGCAAGTAAAGAAAGGGAAGAAGCTCATGCTCTGTTCAGTTGGAAGGAGGTGACAGTGGTTGGGGGAAAGCGGGAGCAGAGAGAGGAGGGGAGTGAGAAAGAAGAGTGTCCGCGGAGACAGGGAGCAGTGAGGAAACAGAAGGTGTGGGGCGGCATACGGTTCGCGATCCTTTGCTCTGGGTATGTGGCTGCTAAGGACGCCCATCCGTTTATGCATGAGTTGATGGAGAACAGTGAGGTGGTAAAGTTGTCGTCGTTACACATCTTCGGAGCAAGCACAAATCACAGCAGTGCGGCAGATGATACCAGCGGTACTATTCCTAACTTTCAAGGCAACGATCGTCAAGTAGTACAGCGGCGGAGTGAGGAGTTGGCTTCACTGTTTGATGCTGATTCTCGGACGGTGTTACGCCATGCTTGTGGTCATATTATCCCTGTGGACACTGCAACTATCAGTTTGATTAAGGAGTTCATACTGAGACTTAGTAACTGATGTACGTGTTGGCTGTAAATTACTAGCTGAATATTTAAAATGTCTACACTTGGTATGATAATATAAAGAGTATCTCTATGTGGCTCAGCCAATGAGTTTCTGCATAAAGGGGATCTGACATTGGATGACCAGAAACAATGAACAGATCCGCTTGAAGCTATGTGCAGCGAACATCCCATTCTGCCCCTAACCCTAGTCTTCTTGTCTGATTTACAGCTGTCATGAGCTGTAGAACCACAAACTCCCCATGGTGGCTGTCTTATCTTAGCTACGACTTTTGTACTTGTGCGGCACTTAAGCATCATTGCGCTGCTATTTTTGTTCGTTACAACGTGCAAATTGCCTCTTTAATTTCCGTGTGGTTGGTTCCGCACTTTGTGGGTTCATGCACTATCATTGTTGGCAAAAGAAACTTGAGCAGCAATATATTACACTTGGTAGCGTCGGTAGCGCTCGGTAGCGCTACCGTTTCGCTAGACGACGCTACCGAGTGAGTCAGCATGCTAACCGCGGGCAGAAAAAAAGTAAAACCCATTCGGACTCCATGCCATTCGGGAGCCTCAACCCTAAAATTTTAGGGTTGATGCCTCCGAGCGGGTTTTATTTTTTTTCCTTGCCCGCTGACTCATTGCACTGCCTGCTGACGCAGGCAGTGCAATATATTTCCCTATTTTCTTCAAGGATGTCTGGGAGCAACCTCTTGGATTTCCCTTGCACAAAATACAACAAACTCGTTCTTGGCTAGCACGGTAGCACCTGATCGTCTTGCCGTCACAGTTTGTTTTCAGGTCCGGAACAAGGGAAATTATACGCGCAGTCACAATTATGGCCGTATTATCACGTTTGGTCACGGGGTTATCACGGACAGTCACAGTACAGTACTTCGCTATCACGCATGATCACAGCGCTATCACGCTTGATCACTCCTCGCCCCGCAGGGTTATCACGTTTGGTCACTCGTTGAAACGCCCGCCAAAAAATCGAAACTCTCAAATCTACTGTACAGATTCGGGTACTTTTATCTCGCGCGCGTTTTGTCTGTAGTGAAAAACGTGATGTGACTGTCGAAATATACTCGGTCCTTGTTAGGGACCGATGCAGTTTAATGCAGAGTCCGCATTTTGCAGTGAATATACGCGATCAATAGCAGTTTCGATTATATAATCACTCTTCACTTTGTAATTGATACCTTGACATTATGTTTTGCACACGCAGTAATAAATAACCCAATTACACAATGTCATTTGCATATCAACCACCAGTTAATCTTGGATTTGAGTAGGCATACGATATGGTGAATTAAACAAGCTACAGGGAGGGAGGTATCAGGAGGGAGAATTACCTCTGATACCGGAACAATGCGCCTCACACAGTTCAGTACAGTACAATCTCCAGCTTCCAAGGGATCAGTTGCTGAGGAGTGCACACGAGTTAGCTGAGCTCCACGTGTGAATCTTGATTGGGGCCCTGGTACGAGTCGTAGTACAGTAGAATTCGGTCGCATAAAATTTTGGGACTATCCTCTTTTTTACATTGGACCCCAAGTCTTTCCAGTTACCCACGCTAAAAAATAACAGATAAACGAAGCACTTTATCCTGCTGTCGTGAGCCCAGCCTGACGCCAGCTCACTACCATACCTGCCCCGTTCCTGCACTCCTCTGACCTGAAACACCACCCCAACCACCAGCACATACTCTCTCCGCATTATCCACGCTCCCACTTCTCTGATAAGTTGCTGTAGTTGTCCCCCACAGAACAGGCGCACACGAACAGTTGCTAAACCCGGGCACGGGGACAGCTCCATTCCACCACACCACACCACCACCCCGAACTCCTCTCCATATCCCCAACCAACCCAGCACTCAAGAATCGTGAACAAACATTCCCTTCCGAACATCCCAGCGCAAATCGGTCGTCGGAACCGATTTGCCGGTGTCGTCAGAGGGGGTCGTCGGAGCCGGGCCCGACGAGGCGGGCAACTGACGCGCGTGCGGGCCCGCCAGCCTGGCCCAGGGCCGGGCCGAGCGCACGACCGCCGCCCCGCAACCCCCCTGCGTGATTGAACAGCGCCCCACGTTACCACACCACACCACACCACCAACCCAAACTCCTCAGCATATCCCCAACCAACCCAGCGCTCAAGAATTGTAAACATACCTTCCCCACCACCATGGTCATCCACCACTGCCGAAACAGTAGGGGGTAAACCTAGTGACCAGCCTCGTTTCGAAGCACAGAGGGGTTTCTTTGGGGAGACCTCGAATATCTCTGGGTCCTGATTCGTCGATTCAGATTCCCGACTGTGTACAATTTTCTCACGAACTTCATAACTTTCGTTGTTCCCCACATGTTTCCTTTTGGTTTTTTTAGGGGAGCCTTGGGCTAACCTCCAATGGGATATCTCAAGGTATCCCTCACTTTCGTTCGACCCTCAAAATTCTGGAACGACATCCCTTGTGGATCACGATTCGCTTGCACTGCACCACACGAACCACCATCTCGCTTCCCATGTGGTTTGTGCGCGTTTCGCTTCCACCACACCACACCACACAGACCACACCACACCACACCACACAGACCACACCACACCACCTCGACTCTCTCTCCACTCCACACCACCTTTCGTTCCACCACCACACCATCTTTCGTTCCACCACACCATCCTTCGTCCTTGCCCTTGACATCAGAACTCTGCTTCTCCTCCTGCCGTCTTTTCCATCTGACCTCAACATCCAGATTTTCCGCACCTACACGCTCCACATATCTCATCCATCCACTTCATTGGCTGCCACTTATCAAACGTCATATTCACTGCTTCTCGTTCTTCCAAATTCCGGGAGTCGCTTGATTTTGCTGCTTTTTATTTATTGGTTTCCGTAATAAGTAGACTACAGCCAGACGAGAGCGGTGTTACAGTAGTGATGCTAAGACAGCCCTGCAAACGGCCCTGCGAACGGCCCTGCGAACGGCCCTGCTTAGGCTTTAGATACTATTTATGCTTTCAGCTGATAGGTTCAGTTCAGACTGAACAAGGAGATTTAGAATCAGCATGTCAGTTGTCCGTAAGTCAGGCATTTCCCCCCTGTCCGCTTTCCATTTCTTCCCTTGGTTTCCGTTCCTGTCCTTCGGCTGACAGCTTTACGTCAGTCCTTTTCAATGGAGCCGTCAGCTTCGTTTCTCCGGCGACCAACCGAAGCGCCGTGGAGTACTCTTAGGTTCGTCAAGGTCATCGGTGAAGGCCGGTTCGGTACGGTGTGGTTGTGCGAGGATGGGCGAACCGGCGAGCAGTACGCGTGTAAGAAGGTCCTTAAAGTGTCTCTCAAGGACTCGCTTCTGCATCAGCACTTTTTACGGCAGGAGGTCGCGCTTCTGGATTCCATGGTGGGAAAGCATCCCAACATTATTGAGCTTAAGTACGTCTTTGAAGACGACGAAGCCATCTATCTCATGATGGAGTTTTGTGACGTCGGAGATCTCCTTACTTACGTCACCAGCAGCAGCAGCAGCAAGCACCGATCTGGTATACCTTCGGGATTACCGGAGAATAAAGCTGTCCTGATTTTCCGCCAGTTGGCTCACGCCGTCCTCTATTGTCACCGGAACGGGGTGCTGCATCGCGATATCAAGCTCGAAAACGTTCTCCTCTCCACCCCCCTCAACTCCTCCGTTCCTCAGTACTACTATTCCACGTCCTTACCTTCACCTTCGTTACCAAAACATCCTGGTACCGCTTCAGACTCCCGCCTTCTCGCGAAGCTAGCTGATTTCGGCCTGGCGGTTCGACTTGCTCCGGGGGAGAAAACCGTCGGAACTGCCGGCAGCCGGCCGTACGAAGCTCCCGAGGTGATTCTCGGTCAGGAATACGACATGAAAGCTGACGTCTGGTCGCTCGGCGTGTTACTCTTCGGAATGCTTTCCTGCTCCATGCCGTTTCAAGGCAACGGTGAGCGGCAACTGACTCGCCAGATTATTCGCGGAAACGTGGATATGTCGCGCGGAGCCTGGTCCGCGGTGTCGGCGGAAGCGAAGGATCTGATTCGCGCGATGCTGTCCGTGAATCCCGACGAGCGGATTTCCATGGCGGAGGTTGTCACGCATCCGTGGATCAAGGCTGCTTCCAGGCGAAGGCCGGTGGTTACCACATCGCTCACCGAGCTCGATTTCGCTAATGTGACTTCTGGAGCAGTTTCGCCTGGTTATTTTGGCTCGTTGACGCCAACGTCGCCCTTGTTTCCCATGAAGAGTCCGTTTGGCCGCCGTAAGAAGGTCGCGAGCACCAGCGACATTCCGTCGCTGTATCCGTGCAGTAAAGACGAAGACGATGCGTACGGAAGGGACAATAAGATTGATGAGGAAGACAGGAATAATAGCCGGAGACTTGACGCGCCGGGGAGAGCGGACAGGCGCAGTGCTGGATTATTTGAAATAAGCGATTATCAGGAGGATTCTGATGCTGCTTCACGCAACACGCGCTCAGGCAATCAGGAAAAGGAAAACTCCCTCCCTCCCCTTCCTCCAAAAACGCCACGAGGATGTGCTGCTGACGCGGCCTTGGGACTGTCGATTGTGCTGCCTGACGAAGTGGCAGGAGGGGTTGAGACGCACAGTTGCAAGGGGAAGTCTTCCATTTGGGATTCTCTTCGTCCTGCTCTTTCGCCGTCTCGTAGGAAATGGAGGATGGGCTTTTAGTGGGGCTGGAAGATTAGAACCTCTGAGGATCTTAAGCTTTATACCTGGGAATAATCAAGGTCTGGCATATGTTTGGGCCGAACCCTTGCCCCAGAGGTGGTAAAATTCCGCCCTTCAAAGCAGGAAAAGGGTCATATTTTCAGAACCTCATCCTCAATAGCACTACCTAGTTTAAACTTTCTTTGGACTGATGAGAACTAATTTCATGGAGTTTGTCAGCTGGAATGATAGATTCAGAGGAACTCAGCGTGCTTCACAGGAGAATTTAGGAATAGCCATGAGCTGATCTGGTTCAATTTGACAATGTGGAGACTGCGTGTTCTTATTGTTTTGCTTATGTAAAATCTCTGTACATTTACATCTTATTGATTCTGTGCTGGAACCCACGAGTGTCTGCATCAAGGGAATCTGCCATTGGATTACCAGAAACAGTGGATCAGCTTGTGGGGCCGTGCGGTGCCACGCACATCCCACTCCGCCCCTCGCAATCGTCTCCAACCCCGATTTCCCCACCGCGGTTGTGTTTCCCGCACGGAGGCTCGGAAACTTGAGCTACCGTGCGGCTCGTTTGCACAATCAACCTGACATTTTTGTTCGCTATAATCTGCAAGTTGACTCGAGTTTCCGGTGTGGTTGGTTCCCCATTTACATGGGTTTGGCAAAAGAAATTTGCCTAGCAGTTTTCTTCAATGCATGTCTGGAAGCAACCTCCCCAAAGAAACGAAGGACCAGCCCCGACAAAACAAAACTCTCCCGAGCATGACCGTTTAGGTTCGGATAGCACATGATCGCCCTGCCGTCAGGTCTGTTGCAACGTGCTTATCCCCAGCCAGATTCAAAGCAAGTCTCACAACCTGAGTACGGAGGAATTTACTGTGCTACTCGTGGTGGGCTGTAATACCATCGCATTTGACAACCAGTCGCTGAGAATCCTCCTTCCAGTCCTTGATGCGAGTACAGTAGGCTAAGTTTCGCCTTCTTTCCCCAGAAATCGTCAAAGACTATCCCGTCTTTTATTTGGGGCGTAATGTACTTAGATATTTACTAATTACCTCTTCTTGCCATTGTGAGCCAAACCTGTCGCCTCGCCAGCTCACCGCCTTGCCTTTTTGGCTTCTCTGGTCAGGAGGAACTGCACTCCAGCCACCAGCGTAGTGTTGCATGCTCCCTTCGAGTACTGTACTGTGTACATACTCCTTTCTCTCCCCACACACACCCAACCTCCCCGCCCCGGCTGTTTCACCTCCCAGTGAACGCGCGCGCAAAGCCTCCACTCCGCCTCCGCGCGGAGAAATTCCACCCCGGGCGCAGGAACGGCTCCTTCATTTCACCACGCGAATCGCAACCATCCAATCATCACCACCATGTGCATCTACCGTCCGACATCCCATCGGGATCATGTTCTGCTTGCATCGCACCGCACCATACACAAGCCCACTTCAGACCCCTCCACCATATTGCGTTCCCATACAGCCATGAAATGAAACGGACAATGCCTGGGGACATGTAGTGGTATGATTCCTGAAACTTGTTCCCCAGACCTCCCCCAACCTGCCAATGACGCACCCCCTCCACCCTCCCCTTGTCCGACACCATACCTCCTCCATTGCTAGGGTTTGATTACCTTCAGAGTTCATTAGTATCCAGATTCTCCGTACCTACACCCTCCACTCTTCCACCCTCCATCAGCTGTCTTGTCCATCCACTTGACCGGCTGCTGCGTTTCGAACTCACTGTTCTGTTCTCTGGTTCTCTAACGTTTCGTTAATTTTCCGAGTTGCTTGATTGGGCTGCGTTTCTGTGTCTGCTTTGGTAATCTGACTATTACTCGAGTGAAGCTTTAGGAGTTTCGGTAGTGACGCTACGAGAACGGTGTTCGAACAGCCCTGCCTAGACTTTGACGCTAGTTATGTTTTTAGCTGATAGTTTCAGCTCGGAGTGAATAGAGGAAATCCAAAATCAGCATGCCAGTTGTTCGTAGGTCAGGCATTTCTCCATTGTCCGCCTTCCGTTTCTTCCCTAGGTTTCCGTTCCTATCCTTCGGCTGATAGTTTAGGTCAGTCACAATAAATGGACTCGTCAGCTTCGTTTCTCCGGCGGCCGACTGAGGCGCCGTGGAGTGCTCTCAAGTTCGTCAAGGTCATCGGTGAAGGCCGGTTCGGTACGGTGTGGTTGTGCGAGGATGGGCGAACCGGCGAGCAGTACGCGTGTAAGAAGGTCCTTAAAGTATCTCTCAAGGACTCGCTCCTGCATCAGCACTTTTTACGGCAGGAGGTCGCGCTGCTGGATTCTATGGCGGGAAAGCATCCCAATGTAATTGAGCTGAAGTATGTCTTCGAGGACCGCGAAGCCATTTACCTCATGATGGAGTTCTGTGACGTCGGGGATTTGTTTACCTACGTCACCAGCAATGGCTGCACAATTCCTGAGGCTCGCAGCGGCGGCGGGAGCGGTTTCGGGATCAGTTTCGCAAAATCAGGAGGAAAAACTTCCACTGACGACAATTCCAGCAGCAGCAAGCACCGTTCTGGTATATCCTGGGGATTGCCGGAGAATAAAGCCGTGCTGATTTTTCGTCAGGTGGCTCAAGCCGTCCATTTTTGCCACCGGAACGGCATCATGCATCGCGACATCAAGCTCGAGAACGTTCTCCTCTGCACTCCTCTCAACTCATCCGGACCTCAGTACTACTACTGCTCCTCATTACCACCTGTTCCGTTACCGAAGCAAGTAACTGCTTCCGACGACCGCGTTCTCGCGAAGCTCGCTGATTTCGGCCTGGCAGTTCACCTCGCTCCGGGAGAGAAAACCGTCGGAACTGCCGGTAGCCGGCCGTATGAAGCTCCAGAGGTTATTCTCGGCCAGGAGTACGACATGAAAGCGGACGTCTGGTCGCTCGGCGTGCTTCTCTTCGGAATGATTTCCTGCTCCATGCCTTTCCAAGGCCATGGCGACCGGCAGCTGATTCGTCAGATTCTCCGCGGAAATGTAGATCTGTCGCGTGGAGCTTGGGCAGCCGTGTCGGCGGAAGCGAAGGATCTCATCCGCGCGATGCTGTCCGTGAATCCCGAGGAGCGGATTTCGATGGCGCAGGTCGTCGCACATCCGTGGATCAAGTCTGCATCCAGGCGAAAGCCGGTGGTTACCACATCGTTCGCCGGGACTGGAGCGATTGGAGCGTTTTCGCCTGCTGTTTCCGGTTCGTTGACTCCGAGAACGCCAGTCGATTCTCTGGTGAGTCCACCTGGTTACCAGAAGGATGCGAGCGCCAGCGATCTTCCTTCTCTTGATCCATGCAGTAAAGACGACGAGGATGCGAACGAAAAGAACAGGCTTGTCGCAGGGGAAGGAGACGAGGGTAGCTGTGGGTTATTTGAGAAGAACGTTGATCAGGATGCTGATGTTGCTTCACGCAAGAAGCGTGATGGCATGAAGGATAAGGAGAACGCGTGTCCTCCAGTTCATCCGACGGCTGCGCGAGGCGGTGCAGGGGACGCTGCCTTAGGGCCGTCGATTTTGCTGCAGGGTCAAGTAACAGGGGGTGCTGAGAAGCCGGGCGGCAAGGGGAAGTCGTCTCTGTGGGATTCTTTCTTTCCTGCATTGACGCCCTCTCGTGGGAAGTGGAGGATGGGATTCTAGTGGGGTTGGATTGGATGGTTTGAACCTGGGGGTATTTATTATCCTCTACCGGTTTCTTGCTTGTTTCTTGCTCTTAGGTGCGTTGCTTTTTTGGCGTTAAGAGCCGTTTGGCTCCAATAACATTCATAGCAGGTGTAGCAGCATGCTGTTCCATTTTCCAGTGCACTTTTGTGGTGCATTTTACTACTGTTGAATGGTTGAACAGGCTGTGCATATGCATTGGACAATCACATATACCATAGTTAACAACAGCGACATAAAAAATGTTTACCTTCGCATGGAGGATGCGTTGTTAATAATGTTTGTTGATTGACACACCTAGCTGTTCAGTGGCAAGATTCCCTCTGCAGGCTTCGTTGGGTTCCCATAGCATTGTCCCAGTATTTCCTGAAAGGATCCTTCTTCCTACGCCATCCATCCATGCAGAGCAAGGTTTCTAGGGGTGCAAGCAACACAGCCCATGCCTGCCTTTCAGCCCTCCATGTTCCCACCCCACTCATCCACCCCATCCACATCCTGCTCCTCAATCAGAGAAACATCTCCTGTATGCAGAGTACTACTGCTGCCAATGCATGTTGATGTTTACAATAAGATCCTCCCTACAAGTACAACATCTCAGTCAAATCACTCCATATGGCTAGTTATATAAGGTATACTCTACTGCAGCATGTATTCTCGCACATCGCGAGCCATGGATGGCTTTGATGAACGCAACGAACCCCATGCCCACCGCCCCGCCCTCCATACCCCCATCCACATCCTGCTCCTCAATAAAGAAACGACTCTAAATGGGGCTGTGCTGTGGTGTGCTGTGCTGCCCACTCTCCTCCCCTGCTCCTTTCTTCTCCCTTCTCTACTTCATGTATTCTCGCACGTCGCGAGCGATTGACTCCAGGAAAGCAACAAAGCCCATGCTCACCGCCCCACCCTCCACGTCCCCATCCACATCTTGCTCCTCAATCAGAAACGTCTCAAAAGGGGCTGTGCTGTCCACGCCTCCCCGGATGGTGATTGTACGCGGCGTGATTATGCGGTCGGCCTTCAGCCGGTTGATGGTCGTCCGCAGCAAGCCTAGGAGGGAGGGTTGTTGAGAGGGAGAAGAGGGAGAAGGGAGGACAAGAGGCATTGGTGATTGTACGCGGCATGAATATGCGATCGGCCTTCAGCCTGTTGATGGTCGTCCGCAGCAATGCTAGGAAGGGGGGGAGGGAGAGAGGGACGCACAGAGGGAGGGGAGGAGGGAGGGAGGGGGATGAAAGAGAGGAGATATGGGGTGTTGAGAGTGAGAAGTGTTCCTGGGGAGGAGGTGATGATGATGGTAGAAGACGATGATGGTGCTGAATGCATCGAGCAGAAAGATGGGGCTGCCGCTGGTGACGAGTGGTGCTGGTGATGTAGAGACACAAGTAGGTTCGGCTTATGGAACCAGAGGTGAACTTACTTGTTTGTGGTGGAGGGAACGGGAGGTCTGCAGGTGCTGCAGGCGAGTAGAAGACGATGATGGTGCTGAGCGCATCGAGGAGGAAAATTGGGCTGCCGCTGGTGACAAGGGCCGCGCGGCTCAGCGAGTGGCGGGGGAAGGCGCGGGGCACGCATGCTAGGGCAAAAGAATATCAACTTACTTGTTTGGGGCGGCGGGAAGGGAAGATCCGGTGGGGCTGCGGGTGAATAAAAGACGATGATGGTGCTGAATGCGTCGAGCAGGAATATGGGGCTGCCGCTCGTGACGAGGGCCGCGCGGCTCAGGGAGTGGCGGGGGAAGGCGGGGCGGTCGGGAGTGGTGTAGGAGGAAAGGACGGGGTAGACTGCCCGCATGAGGAATGAAGGGTCCAGGGAACTGCGGTGGGGGGTGGTGAGGATAGAAACACAGGGGTTGGAGAGTGGTAGAGATGGGGAGAATGAGGTAAGGAGAGTGGTGAAAAAGGCGGTTATTGGGAGTGGCGGAAGGCGGGGCGGTCGGGAGTGGTGTAGGAGGAGAGCACGGGGTAGACTGCTCGCATGAGGAAGGAAGGATCGAGAGAACTGCGGTGGGGGGAAAAAACAGAGGGGTGCAGAGCGGTAGAGGTGGAAAAAAATGAGGCACAGAGTGGTGGAGAAGGGTCGGTCGGGAGTGGTGAAAGAGATGAAGCTCCCACCCCAAGGGTCCTCCCTGAGTGGTGTGTCACCTAGCTGCAAGATTGAGGTAACAACGTTCCACTATACGAAAGGATAACAAGAGAAAGGCATTGAGGGTGTGTGTGTGAGTGAATTTACCTGGCCCAGGCTCGAACCGTGCATTTCTCAATGTGCGCCTTGAGTCTGGGTTGGTTTCTTCACATTGGTTCCTTGGATTCCACCCCTTGGTGCTCTCCTACCAACCTCGCGTCATTCTCCCTGGTCCCCAACTACCTACACCTCGAATGTGTATACTCTATAGTGCTACACCCACAACTACACCACACAATCTGACACCTTATATGCATAATCATGCATATTCGGTGACACAGGGTAGACTGTGCGCATGAGGAATGAGGGATCCAAGGAACTGCGGTGGGGAGGGGTGGGAATGGCAACAGAGGGGGTGGAGAGTGATGAAGTTGGAAAAGAATGAGATACAGAGTGGTGGAGAAGGGTCAGTCCTGAGTGGTGAAAGAGGGGCAGTCGGGAGTGGTGTAGGAGGAGAGGACGGGGTAGATCGCTCGCATGAGGAAGGAAGGATCCAGGGAACTGCGGTGGGGGAGGGAACAGAGGGGTGGAGAACGGTAGAGATGGTTGAGAATGAGGTACAGAGCGGTGAAAGAGGGGCGGGTGGGAGTGGTGGGGGAACGCAGGGCGGTCTGGAGTGGTGTAGGAGGAGAGGACGGGGTAGACTGCCCGCATGAGGAAGGGGGGGTCCAGGGAACTGCGGTGGGGAGGGGCGGGGATAGCAACAAAGGGAGTGGGAATAGCAACAGAGGGGTGGAGAGCGGTAGAGATGGAAAGAACGAGGTACAGATTGGTGAGAGAGTGAGGCGCAGAGTGGTGTAGGAGGAGAGGACTGGTTAGACTGTCCGCATGAGGAAGGAAGGTTCCAAGGAACTGCGGTGGGGAGGGGTGGGAATGGCAACAGAGGGGTAGGACTGGTTAGACTGTCCGCATGAGGAATGAAGGGTTGGGGGAACTGCGGTGGGGAGGGGTGGGAATGGCAACAGAGGGGTAGGACTGGTTAGACTGTCCGCATGAGGGAGGAAGGGTCCAAGGAAGTGCGGTGGGGAGGGGTGGGAATAGCGGTGGGGAGGGGTGGGAATAGCGGTGGGGAGGGTTGGGAATAGCGGTGGGGAGGGGTGGGAATAGCGGTGGGGAGGGGTGGGAATAGCGGTGGGGAGGGGTGGGAATAGCGGTGGGGAGGGGTGGGAATAGCGGTGGGGAGGGGTGGGAATAGCGGTGGGGAGGGGTGGGAATAGCGGTGGGGAGGGGTGGGAATAGCGGTGGGGAGGGGTGGGAATAGCGGTGGGGAGGGGTGGGAATAGCGGTGGGGAGGGGTGGGAATAGCGGTGGGGAGGGGTGGGAATAGCGGTGGGGAGGGGTGGGAATAGCGGTGGGGAGGGGTGGGAATAGCGGTGGGGAGGGGTGGGAATAGCGGTGGGGAGGGGTGGGAATAGCGGTGGGGAGGGGTGGGAATAGCGGTGGGGAGGGGTGGGAATAGCGGTGGGGAGGGGTGGGAATAGCGGTGGGGAGGGGTGGGAATAGCGGTGGGGAGGGGTGGGAATAGCGGTGGGGAGGGGTGGGAATAGCGGTGGGGAGGGGTGGGAATAGCGGTGGGGACGGGTGGGAATAGCGGTGGGGAGGGGTGGGAATAGCGGTGGGGAGGGGTGGGAAGTGCGGTGGGGAGGGGTGGGAAGTGCGGTGGGGAGGGGTGGGAAGTGCGGTGGGGAGGGGTGGGAAGTGCGGTGGGGAGGGGTGGGAAGTGCGGTGGGGAGGGGTGGAGACGTCTCAAAACTGAAGGAGGGGCGTAGGAGGGTTTTGAGACGTCTCAAAACTGAAGGAGGGGAGTAGGAGGGTTTTGAGACGTCTCAAAACTGAAGGAGGGGCGTAGGAGGGTTTTGAGACGTCTCAAAACTGAAGGAGGGGAGTAGGAGGGTTTTGAGACGTCTCAAAACTGAAGGAGGGGAGTAGGAGGGTTTTGAGACGTCTCAAAACTGAAGGAGGGGCGTAGGAGGGTTTTGAGACGTCTCAAAACTGAAGGAGGGGAGTAGGAGGGTTTTGAGACGTCTCAAAACTGAAGGAGGGGAGTAGGAGGGTAGCACCAAATCGGGTACACAGCGCTTGTGAGGTGCGTTTTGAGATGTCCCAAAACACATCTCAAGATCGTCAAGACATCTCAAGAACGTCAAGAATACCTTCAATTTTTAACCCACACCTTGGCAACAACAGCAGGAGAATTCTGCAGACAGCTGGAGGGAGACAGGGGGAGGAGAACAGAGGTGGAGATTGGTGGAGAGAGTGGAAAAATTGTGGAGAGGGGTGGAGAGCTCTCGCCTGTATAGGCAGTACAGGAACGTGCGCAGGTCAGGGTGAACCCCTTCCCTTGGCAGCTGCAGCAGCGGCGAGCAGAGGAGAGAGCTATAGAGGCCTAGGGAGATATTGAGCGGTGGAGTGTGGTGGAGGTGAACAGAAACCTTACCTGTATAGGCAGTACAGGAACGTGCGTAAATCAGGGTGCACCCCTTCCCTTGGCAGCTGCAGCAGCGGCGAGCGCAGGAGTGCAAAAGCCAGCCGCGGCAGCGGCTGCAGCTGCGGGCAGGCTGAGAAGGAGACGTCTAGGCGAGTCACCGAGTGGGGTTGGTTGAACTGAGCGAGGCCGAAGGCGTGGTTGTAATGGGCGGTGAGGATGATCAGCCAGTCCTGTAGGAGGAGCCTGCCTTCCCGTACTCCCTCTTCCAGCGATGCCCGAATGACCTGTGGGAAGGAAGAGGGAGGGGATGGAAAGGGCTGGTTGAACTGGGCGAGTCCGAAGGCGTGGTTGTGGTGGGCCGTGAGAATGACCAGCCAGTCCTGTAGGAGCAATCGACCCTCCCTCACGCCTTCTTCCAGGGACGCTTTGATCACCTGCATGTGTTTGGTGGTGGGGAGGGGAGAAAGGGGAAGAGACGGGGCAGAAAGAAGGGTGCAGCTGGGGGCAGGCTGAGAAGGAGACGTCTAGGCGAGTGACCGAGTGGGGCTGGTTGAACTGAGCGAGGCCGAAGGCGTGGTTGTGGTGGGCTGTGAGAATGACCAGCCAGTCCTGTAGGAGGAGCCTGCCTTCCCTTACTCCTTCCTCTAGAGATGCGCGGATAACCTGTGAAGTTGTGAGGAGGGAGGAGAAGGGAGAGGGCAGAGAGACAGAAGAAGGCAAAGAGAGAGGGACGGAAAGGGTTGGTTGAACTGGGCGAGGCCGAAGGCGTGGTTGTAGTGGGCGGTGAGAATGACCAGTCCTGTAGGAGGGGCCTGCCTTCCCTTACTCCTTCCTCTAGAGATGCGCGGATAACCTGTCAGAGGGAGAGGCAGAGGCAGAGGCAGAGGCAGAGGGAGAGGGAGAGGCAGAGGCAGAGGCAGAGGCAGAGGGAGAGGCAGAGGCAGAGGCAGAGGCAGAGGCAGAGAGGCAGAGGCAGAGGCAGAGGCAGAGGCAGAGGCAGAGGCAGAGGCAGAGGCAGAGGCAGAGGCAGAGGCAGAGGCAGAGGCAGAGGCAGAGGCAGAGGCAGAGGCAGAGGCAGAGGCAGAGGCAGAGGCAGAGGCAGAGGCAGAGGCAGAGGCAGAGGCAGAGAGAGAGAGGGAGTGGGAGAGGGCAGGCTGAGAAGGAGACGTCTAGGCGAGTGACTGGGCGGGGCTAGGCCACTCAGTCACTCGCCGAAGCTGAAGGCGTGGTTGTAGTGGGCCGTGAGAATGACCAGCCAGTCCTGTAGGAGGAGCCTAGAGGACATCACGCCTTGTGTGTGAGAACAGAGTATATGAAGGAATTGAGGACCCACCTTGTGTGTGAGAACAGTGAGAATGGCCTCGTTATCAGCAGACTCGTATATCTCCCTAGCCCCCTTTGCCACATCCACACATATTGTCTTCACTCTCAGCCTCCGCCTCAGCACCACCCCTCTTCTCTTCCCACCCTTCCTCCCACTGCTGCTGTTGCTGCTCCCCACCCCACCTCCTCCCCCTTCTCCCGCCTTTCCCCCCTCCTTCTCTCCCCCTCCTTCCTTCCCCTTTCCTCCCTCCATCCCCCCACTAGCAGTCCCGTTCACACCAGTAGCAGCCCCATCCCCGTTATTAGCCGCCCCATTACCCACTCCACCCCCTTCGCCCCTCTCCCCTCCCCCTTCCACCGGAATAATCACAGTATATTGAAACGCCAGTTGTAACACTGCCCCCCGGTTACCACCACCGCTCCCTCCCTTCTCTTTCCCAGCCCTGCCCTTCACTCCGAACCCAGCCTTCCCCGCAAATTCCAAGTCAAATGCGTACGAATCAAATGGGTCACACCGAATGATATGATATAGATTCTCATACTGTGCATCGGGGAAAAAGTGACCATAGGCTCGGACGGCCCGAAGCTCCCGGGAGGTTCGGAGCCGGAGCACCCCGCCGAACGCGGAGGGTCGGCAGAGCATGCGGTAAATGTCTTGAGGGAGGGTTGCCTCGTCTAAAGAAGGGTAAAGAAAGAGAGTACCCCCGCTTTCCACACTTAGGCAACGGAGGGAGGCTAGGTCACAGTATGGGATGGGCAGGGAAGAAGGGGTGGAGGGAGGAGGATCGGCAATGGTCACAGCAGCAACCCCAGCAGCAGCAGCAGAAGCAGGGTCTGCAGTTGCCGCACCCCCATCCTCTCTACTAGCATTTTCATCCCCGTTACTAGCATAACTCGGTACAGTGAATAAATCCACGCACACCCCCGCTTGCACCGCAGCCGCAGCAAGCTCCCTATAAAACGGCGTCTGCTCCTGTAGCAACCCCTTATCCGCTACAACCGGGTCTGCTACATCCTTGGCGCTCCTGCTTCTCTGACTCGCCGCTACAGCCAGGCTGGCGAGCGCTGTATCGTACCGAACCGTACTCAACGCCCCCATACCGTGGTTCGGGGCTCCTGAGAGAAATACCAGTAATCTGGCTCCTACAAACGGGCCTACTTCCCCTGCGGCCGCTGCTGCCGCTGCTGCTGCAGCGATACTCACGTTACCCCCACCACCGCCGCCGCCACTGCCACTGGTATTGATGACGTCAGCTCGAAGCCCTCTGGCTATTCTAGCACTCGGGCCATCCTCCATACCCCCTAGATACCTAATCAACGCGTCTAAAGCCGTTCCAAAACCCCTAACCCCGTCCCTCCGCCCTCTCTCCGCGTCCTTCCCTCCCTTCCCCCCTCCGCCCTTCCCCCCCGCGCCCTGCGCCGGTCCCCCCTTTCCCCCGCCGCTCTTCCCCGCTCCAGACGCGTCCAGATCAAGGGGGGGAGGGTCGGGGCGGAGGGTTTCAAGGGCGGCAGCTGCGTGCTCCTTGTGGCGCGAGAGGGAGGCGAGGAAAGCGGGCAGAGGAAGGAGGTCGCCCAGGGCTAGGGGCAGGCGGTGGGAGGAGGAGGCGGGGATGGCGACGGATTTCACTGCCGCTACGGGGCCCTGTAGGTCGTACAGACCCACCTGGTAGGGTTGGGGGGAGTAGAGAGGGGTAGGGGTTGAGTGCAGAGGCAGCAGGTCGCTGAGGGGGACAAGAACAGGCGGTGGGAGGGGGAGGCGGGGATGGCGACGGACTTGACTGCTGCTACGGGGCCTTGTAGGTCATAAAGGCCGACCTGGTAGGGGGGGAGGTGTGGTGAGGAGGGGTGGAGAAGACTTCAAAGGGGGTGAGAACAGGGGAAGGGAAGCGGACGCGTCCAAATCGAGGGGGGGAGGGTTTCGAGGGCGGCAGCTGCATGCTCCTTGTGGCGCGAGAGGGACGCGAGGAAGGCGGGGAGGGGGAGAGGGTAAGCGGTGAGCAGAGGAGGAGGGGATGGCGACGGATTTGACTGCTGCCACGGGGCCTTGTAGGTCGTACAGACCGACCTGTGAGGGAGGGGCGGAGTGGGGAGTGGTGGGGAGGGGTAAAGGGTGAGTGCAGAGGTAGGAGGTCGCCCAGGGCTAAGGGCAGGGGGTGGGCGGGGGGTTTTGAGGGCGGCAGCGGCGTCCTCCTTATGACGCGAGAGGGACGCGAGGAAGGCGGGGAGAGGGAGGAGATCGCCCAGGGCTAGAGGCAGGCGGTGAGCAGAGGAGGAGGGGATGGCGACGGATTTCACTGCTGCTACGGGTCCCTGTAAGTCGTACAGACCCACCTGGTACGGTTGGGGGGAGTGGGGACGGGTAGGGAAGGATAGGGGGTGAGTGTATACTTTGCACTGCAGAGGCAGCAGGTCGCACGGAGCTAGGGGCAGGCGGTGGGAGGGGGAGGCGGGGATGGCGACGGATTTGACTGCTGCTACGGGTCCGTGTAAGTCGTACAGACCCACCTGGTAGGTGGTGGAGAGGGGTGGAGAGGGATGTAAGCTGGGTGAGAACAGAGGGAAGGGGAGGAGGGGATGGCGACAGATTTGACTGCTGCTACGGGGCCCTGTAGATCGTACAGACCTACCTGGTAGGTGGTGGAGAAGAGGGGAGGGAGGAGAGTTAGAGATGGAGCGACACCAACCGTTTGAAAATATTACCCATTTTTGTTACTCACTATCTTCAGTTTGACGGTACAACGCTGTTACACGTTCATCCTCACTAACTAGGATAAAAGAAAACATTAAAAACCACTCACCTTTCGCGAAACGCTCACCTTGCTTCCGAATGTAACCAGCCCGAACAGGGCAGCAGGCGAAAGCGCTTCTAACGCGGCCAGCAGCGAGCTCTTAACGAGTTCCAGAAACTCTTCCGAGCCTGACACGTCAACCATCGCGATATACACCGGCCGCTTGCGAATCTCCGCTTCGTCCAACACGTGGCAGCTGCTGATTGGCTCCCCCAATCCATGCGGAATCGAACCCGCCTCTCCGTCGCCCTGCGACTCTCCTTGCTCGAATTCCACTTCGTCAGCGTCGCCCTCCGCGGCAACGTCCAGTTCGACGAGCGTGTGCGACAGCTCTGCGACGTCTGCGACGTTCGATCCTCCGTAACGACGCAGCTCCGCGTCGCTGAAAGGATTCACGACGTCGCACAGCGAGCACCGCCAGGAAAACCGATCGATCGCACAGTACGGATTGATATACGCGTAACAATCCTCGCATCGCGCCACGTCATCGGCTAGCGGAAGCGGTGAGGGGGAAAGCGCCGCGGGAAGCGGCTGCTGAGCCGCGCAGCCAGATGCGGAATTAAGAGAAGACGACGAGCCGAAGCGCGGGAAAGAGGAATTAGAAGACGATTTTCGAATGCTGCTTCCGCCGGTGCCGACGCTAGCCGCGACGCCGCTTCCCGGAATTCCCGCTTCGTCATCTAGAGCGAATGGTTGGACGACGCAACCCCACGGGAGACCCGTCGCGTCGCGCGATTCCGGATCTAGCGGAAATTTGTTCACCGTGAAACGCATGGCCATCGCGAAGAATGGCAATAGATTTTTCGCAAATAGGTGATCTGGTTACCAGATTGGAACGGATATCAGAATGTTCGCGACCGTCAGCCTGACCAAGAAAAAACGTCCTACTTTTGGAATTTCGGGCACGAGAAAACGGTGGGCCAGCCACGGCATTGGCTAAGCCACAAGAAAACAATGGGAACGAGCTAATCGAGCTTTAGCTGATCATCGGAATGCCAAGGACGTCGAGTTTACGACATGAATGCGTGATATGGTTTGGAATGTTACGATCTACCAGAACTGCACTGAGAGTGCACAATAGAAGATCTGTCTAGAACAGCAGAAGAGGTTCCTAAAGTTGTCCCTAATCTCCTCCCTGGTTTCCCAACGAATCTGGATTCCAGTTCATCAAGGAGTTTCTGCTGGTCGTGGATTCCCCACCATGCTGTACCACACTGCATCTCAATGAGAGTAACAGCACCGTGCAAAACCACTAAAAGTTAAAACTTCTCCCCGTCTCGGAACTGAACACTGCCCCGCCATATCAGCCGCCTAGAGAGCCATTTGGCCCACAAGATCCAATTTCTGGGGATTCCTCGAAACAGGGAAGCACGCCAAAAGGCAAGTGCTTGATCTGGAGGTTCTGCCGGGATTCGAAACCAGGTTGCTGCATTCAAAGTCCAGAGTGCTAACCACTGCACCACGGAACCGATGTTTTTCGCTTCCAATAAAAAGACCTATTATTTATTTAAAAAGTGATCAGGCCCCCACTATTCCGCTGCTTATGGCAATGGCGTACCTCGGAACCACGTCAGCGGGGCTCGAATTCGCGCTACGAGATGAGGTGAGATCCGCGCAGAGCGCGGCTTTCTTGCTCAATGCGCACGCGAGGTGCCTGTGCTGCAGTGCAGGCAGCTCTGCCACTGACTTGGCTACGCGGTCGCCGGAATTCAAATGTTCAGCGCTTACCCATCGATCAGCCAAGTATCCTTAATTCACGGCTGTATAAGTAGAGTTTGTGGGGAAATCCGAGTCGCACTGCGCCGCTTCTGAGGACTTGCAACCTAGTGTCCCCTGAGAGTTCCTGAAGAAATCCTTCATTACCCACCAGACCATTCTAAACTCCTCTTCGCCCTCCGTCTTACCCTTCTCCCCGGATTCGCGGTTCCAGCTGGCTGCCAGGCTGGCGGGGAGGGTGTCTGACGTCAGCACGGTGCATGGCGGGGTGAGGTTCACCACTGAGGCTGCTCCTGAGGTGGGTGTGCGAAGTTTCCAGGAAAGAACGGGTGGCAAGCAAGAGGAGATTGGGAACATCATGCGTAAAACCTCATTCCCTGAATCTTAAACCCTGATCCTTAAACCTGAGCGCTGCTTCTTCTCTTGTCTTGGACCTGCTTCTGTCATTTTCTACTGATCTCAGGATCTGCAGCAGCTGAGGGCGGTGGACAACCTGTACGCGTTTGTAGCTTCAAGAGAGGTGCGTCATACGCCCAGAAAGTTCATTACTGCTGCTGCCTTTGCCAACTGATAACAAAAATCAATTCCTTTCGCCACCACCTCCATGCTCTGCTGCTTGTCCAATCAGGACGTGCCACATGGCAAGGAGGCCATTGACTACTTCACAGCACTGCCAGCCCAGGTACAATTTGCAGTCTTCTCATTGATTGCGCAATGCCAGCTCAACAACGCCAGCTCAGCAATGCCATCTCAGCAACGCCAGCTCAGCATTGGCATGCCATGACTGATGTACGATGTGCTCCACTGTTCCCCCTTTTATACCCACCCGGCCTATCCTCACGTGCCACGTCAGCAGATAGACTGGCAGCCAGCCCTCTCGCTCTTCCACCAATGGCAGCAGTGCAGGGAGGATGGGATGACGTCAGCAGCAGGCGAAAACAGACAGGAGCTGACGTCATTAGTGGAGGTGCCTGAAAAATCACCTGAGAGGAAGAGGCTGAGGCAGGAAGGGGAGAGTGCGGAGGTGGTAACACCTGGGGCAACAGACACTGCTGATGTGACACCACCTGAAGGAGCACCTGGGGGAACACCTGAAGGAGCACCTGAGGGAACGCATGCGGGAGGCAAGGCAGCGGCGGCGACGGCGGCGGTGGCAGAAGCAGCAGCAACAGGAAAGGCAGCAGAGAGGCAGGGATCCGGTGGGCTGCAGTTTCGGGTGACCTGTCACCGAATATGCATGAAGCTGACTAAACACGGGTTCTCCTCCCCTGAAGCTGCTGGTACGTGCCCGATTCTGCGCTTTCCCATGCTTCTGCGCTTTCCCATGCTTCTGCGCTTTCCCATGCTTCTGCGCTTTCCCATGCTTCTGCGCTTTCCCATGCTTCTGCGCTTTCCCATGCTTCTGCGCTTTCCCATGCATCTGCGCTTTCCCATGCTTCTGCGCTTTCCCATGCTTCTGCGCTTTCCCATGCATCTGCGCTTTCCCATGCTTCTGCGCTTTCCCATGCTTCTGCGCTTTCCCATGCTTCTGCGCTTTCCCATGCTTCTGCGCTTTCCCATGCTTCTGCGCTTTCCCATGCTTCTGCGCTTTCCCATGCTTCTGCGCTTTCCCATGCTTCTGCGCTTTCCCATGCTTCTGCGCTTTCCCATGCTTCTGCGCTTTCCCATGCTTCTGCGCTTTCCCATGCTTCTGCGCTTTCCCATGCTTCTGCGCTTTCCCATGCTTCTGCGCTTTCCCATGCTTCTGCGCTTTCCCATGCTTCTGCGCTTTCCCATGCTTCTGCGCTTTCCCATGCTTCTGCGCTTTCCCATGCATCTGCGCTTTCCCATGCTTCTGCGCTTTCCCATGCTTCTGCGCTTTCCCATGCATCTGCGCTTTCCCATGCTTCTGCGCTTTCCCATGCTTCTGCGCTTTCCCATGCTTCTGCGCTTTCCCATGCTTCTGCGCTTTCCCATGCTTCTGCGCTTTCCCATGCTTCTGCGCTTTCCCATGCTTCTGCGCTTTCCCATGCTTCTGCGCTTTCCCATGCTTCTGCGCTTTCCCATGCTTCTGCGCTTTCCCATGCTTCTGCGCTTTCCCATGCTTCTGCGCTTTCCCATGCTTCTGCGCTTTCCCATGCTTCTGCGCTTTCCCATGCTTCTGCGCTTTCCCATGCTTCTGCGCTTTCCCATGCATCTGCGCTTTCCCATGCTTCTGCGCTTTCCCATGCTTCTGCGCTTTCCCATGCATCTGCGCTTTCCCATGCTTCTGCGCTTTCCCATGCTTCTGCGCTTTCCCATGCTTCTGCGCTTTCCCATGCTTCTGCGCTTTCCCATGCTTCTGCGCTTTCCCATGCTTCTGCGCTTTCCCATGCTTCTGCGCTTTCCCATGCTTCTGCGCTTTCCCATGCTTCTGCGCTTTCCCATGCTTCTGCGCTTTCCCATGCATCTGCGCTTTCCCATGCTTCTGCGCTTTCCCATGCTTCTGCGCTTTCCCATGCATCTGCGCTTTCCCATGCTTCTGCGCTTTCCCATGCTTCTGCGCTTTCCCATGCTTCTGCGCTTTCCCATGCTTCTGCGCTTTCCCATGCTTCTGCGCTTTCCCATGCTTCTGCGCTTTCCCATGCTTCTGCGCTTTCCCATGCTTCTGCGCTTTCCCATGCTTCTGCGCTTTCCCATGCTTCTGCGCTTTCCCATGCTTCTGCGCTTTCCCATGCTTCTGCGCTTTCCCATGCTTCTGCGCTTTCCCATGCTTCTGCGCTTTCCCATGCATCTGCGCTTTCCCATGCTTCTGCGCTTTCCCATGCTTCTGCGCTTTCCCATGCATCTGCGCTTTCCCATGCTTCTGCGCTTTCCCATGCTTCTGCGCTTTCCCATGCTTCTGCGCTTTCCCATGCTTCTGCGCTTTCCCATGCTTCTGCGCTTTCCCATGCTTCTGCGCTTTCCCATGCTTCTGCGCTTTCCCATGCTTCTGCGCTTTCCCATGCTTCTGCGCTTTCCCATGCTTCTGCGCTTTCCCATGCTTCTGCGCTTTCCCATGCTTCTGCGCTTTCCCATGCTTCTGCGCTTTCCCATGCTTCTGCGCTTTCCCATGCATCTGCGCTTTCCCATGCTTCTGCGCTTTCCCATGCTTCTGCGCTTTCCCATGCATCTGCGCTTTCCCATGCTTCTGCGCTTTCCCATGCTTCTGCGCTTTCCCATGCTTCTGCGCTTTCCCATGCTTCTGCGCTTTCCCATGCTTCTGCGCTTTCCCATGCTTCTGCGCTTTCCCATGCTTCTGCGCTTTCCCATGCTTCTGCGCTTTCCCATGCTTCTGCGCTTTCCCATGCTTCTGCGCTTTCCCATGCTTCTGCGCTTTCCCATGCTTCTGCGCTTTCCCATGCTTCTGCGCTTTCCCATGCTTCTGCGCTTTCCCATGCATCTGCGCTTTCCCATGCTTCTGCGCTTTCCCATGCTTCTGCGCTTTCCCATGCATCTGCGCTTTCCCATGCTTCTGCGCTTTCCCATGCTTCTGCGCTTTCCCATGCTTCTGCGCTTTCCCATGCTTCTGCGCTTTCCCATGCTTCTGCGCTTTCCCATGCTTCTGCGCTTTCCCATGGCTTTCCCATGCTTCTGCGCTTTCCCATGCTTCTGCGCTTTCCCATGCTTCTGCGCTTTCCCATGCTTCTGCGCTTTCCCATGCTTCTGCGCTTTCCCATGCTTCTGCGCTTTCCCATGCTTCTGCGCTTTCCCATGCTTCTGCGCTTTCCCATGCTTCTGCGCTTTCCCATGCTTCTGCGCTTTCCCATGCTTCTGCGCTTTCCCATGCTTCTGCGCTTTCCCATGCTTCTGCGCTTTCCCATGCTTCTGCGCTTTCCCATGCTTCTGCGCTTTCCCATGCTTCTGCGCTTTCCCATGCTTCTGCGCTTTCCCATGCTTCTGCGCTTTCCCATGCTTCTGCGCTTTCCCATGCTTCTGCGCTTTCCCATGCTTCTGCGCTTTCCCATGCTTCTGCGCTTTCCCATGCTTCTGCGCTTTCCCATGCTTCTGCGCTTTCCCATGCTTCTGCGCTTTCCCATGCTTCTGCGCTTTCCCATGCTTCTGCGCTTTCCCATGCTTCTGCGCTTTCCCATGCTTCTGCGCTTTCCCATGCTTCTGCGCTTTCCCATGCTTCTGCGCTTTCCCATGCTTCTGCGCTTTCCCATGCTTCTGCGCTTTCCCATGCTTCTGCGCTTTCCCATGCTTCTGCGCTTTCCCATGCTTCTGCGCTTTCCCATGCTTATGCGCTTTCCCATGCTTCTGCGCTTTCCCATGCTTCTGCGCTTTCCCATGCTTCTGCGCTTTCCCATGCTTCTGCGCTTTCCCATGCTTCTGCGCTTTCCCATGCTTCTGCGCTTTCCCATGCTTCTGCGCTTTCCCATGCTTCTGCGCTTTCCCATGCTTCTGCGCTCTCCCATGCTTCTGCGCTTTCCCATGCTTCTGCGCTTTCCCATGCTTCTGCGCTTTCCCATGCATCTGCGCTTTCCCATGCTTCTGCGCTTTCCCATGCTTCTGCGCTTTCCCATGCTTCTGCGCTTTCCCATGCTTCTGCGCTTTCCCATGCTTCTGCGCTTTCCCATGCTTCTGCGCTTTCCCATGCTTCTGCGCTTTCCCATGCTTCTGCGCTTTCCCATGCTTCTGCGCTCTCCCATGCTTCTGCGCTTTCCCATGCTTCTGCGCTTTCCCATGCTTCTGCGCTCTCCCATGCTTCTGCATTTGCACCCACATCTGCACTTCGTCGCTCACAGGCGTATTGGTTTGTCTGAGTGTGCATCTCTTGGGGTCCACTGTTCACACACCTCCTGTGTTTTGACTCCACTCAAAATGAGCCGTGTTTTGAGCCGACTCAAAATGAGCCGTGTTTTGAGCCGACTCAAAATGAGCCGTGTTTTGAGCCGACTTAACAACACTTGCCAGTCTGCGTGTGCATCTCTTGGGGTCCACTGTTCACACACCTCCCAGTTTTGAGACGTCTCAAAACTGTTCACACACCTCCCACCCCTCCTCTACTCCCATCACCCTTGCCTCACAGGCGCCCTCGGCGAGGGCCTTCAGGGGATCTTCCCATCCTGGACCGTCAGCCTTGGGCAGTTTGAGTGTGCGTCTAGGAGTATCACTGTTCACAAGCCTCCCACCCCTTCTCTACTCCCATCACCCTTGCCTCACAGTTGACTTTTGAGTTGACTCAAAAGTCAACTGAGTGTGGGTCTAGGAGTATCACATGGTTCACATCACACACCTCCCACCCCTCTTCTACTCCCATCACCCATGCCTCACAGGCGCCCTCGGCGAGGGCCTTCAGGGGATGTTCCCGTCCTGGACCGTCAGCCTTCGCCAGTTTGACTGTAAGTGCACCAGCCAGGCAGCTATGTTTGTAGGCACCTCCCTCTCTCCCTTGCTCTCTCCCCATAGGAGGTGCTAACATGGATCCGGAACTCCCATCTAACGCTACTCGTCACGCTCATCTACTTATAATGTATGCACATGATGCGCTCGTACCCTGCCCCTTCCTCTTGTCCCCTCCCCTCCTCCCCTCTCTCCCTTGCTCTCTTCCCAGTGGAGGTGCTAGCATGGATCCGGGACTCCCATCTAACGCTACTCATCGCACTCATCTATGCGTGAGCATACTTCCATTACTTTGCCTTCCCTTCCCTTCCCAACCACGTCTCGCAATACCTCCTTCCATCCCTCTTCCCTCCTGTCTTTTTTCCATTTTCTCCTTCCTCCCTCGCTCCCTCCCTCCCCTCTTCCACCTGCTCCCCTTCCCCTTTCTTCCCTCCCTCCATCCCCTAACTTCACAATGCTTACTTCTGATGGTGGTTCTGTTTGCTGACCTGTTTCTAAGAATTTCATCGCTGCTTCTGGATTGTGGGCGCTTGATTGACAAATCTGACTCTTGCAGTGATTCCCCGAAGTCAAGTGAGGAGGGATCGAAGGAGCAACAGAAAGGGCAACCCAAGGAGCAACAAACAGAGCAATTAAAAGAGAATCAGACGGAACAAACCAGCAAGGATGTGGACACGGGTGGCGGCGGTGGGGAGGGCAAGAAGAAGGCGGGGGAGAAAGCAGCGAGGGCAGTTCAAGCGAGATCACACAACTCGGAGAGACAGGTGGGTGGGAGACAGGTGGGTGGGAGACAGGTGGGTGGGAGACAGGTGGGTGGGAGACAGGTGGGTGGGAGACAGGTGGGTGGGAGACAGGTGGGTGGGAGACAGGTGCGTGTGAGACAGGTGGGTGGGAGACAGGTGCGTGAGAGACAGGTGGGTGTGAGAGAGACAGGTGCGTGTGAGACAGGTGGGTGGGAGACAGGTGCGTGTGAGACAGGTGGGTGGGAGACAGGTGCGTGTGAGTCAGGTGGGTGGGAGAGAGGTGCGTGTGAGTCAGGTGGGTGTGAGAGAGACAGGTGGGTGGGAGATTGAGCGACCCAAGGGAGCCAGCACGAGTGGCAGAAGCAGGCAGGCGAGAAAGGGGCGAGGGCAGTTCAGGCGAGATCACACAACTCGGAGAGACAGGTGGGTGTGCAGTTGGTGTGGGATTGAGCTACCCAAGGGAGGGGCACAGCGAGGATGTGGACAAGGGGGATGGCAGTGGGGAGGGCAAGAAGAAAGAGGGCGCAGGAGAAAGGGGCGAGGGCGGTTCAGGCGAGATCACACAACTGGGAGAGACATGTGGGTGTGAGGCAGGTAGCTCAATCCTCCTCTGCTTCCCCCTGCCACCTTCTCCCCCGTTCCCTGAATCCCCGCTTCCCGAATCCCCGTTCCCCGAATCCCCGTTCCCCGAATCCCCGTTCCCCCGAATCCCCGTTCCCCGAATCCCCGTTTCCCGAATCCCCGTTCCCCGAATCCCCGTTCCACGAATCCCTGTTCCCCCAAATCCCCGTTCCCCGAATCCCCGTTCCCCGAATCCCCGTTCCCCGAATCCCCGTTCCCCGAATCCCCGTTCCCCGAATCCCTGTTCCCCGAATCCCCGTTCCCCGAATCCCCGTTCCCCGAATCCCCGTTCCCCGAATCGAATCCCTGTTCCCCGAATCCCCGTTCCCCGAATCCCCGTTCCCCGAATCCCCGTTCCCCGAATCCCCGTTCCCCGAATCCCCGTTCCCGGAATCGAATCCCCGTTCCCCGAATCCCCGTTCCCCGAATCCCCGTTCCCCGAATCCCCGTTCCCCCGAATCCCCGTTTCCCGAATCGAATCCCCATCCCCCGAATCCCCGTTCTCCGAATCCCCGTTCCCCCGAATCCCCGTTCCCCCGAATCCCCGTTTCCCGAATCCACGTTCCCCGAATCCCCGTTCCCCCGAATCCCCGTTTCCCGAATCCACGTTCCCCGAATCCCCGTTCCCCCGAATCCCCGTTCCTCGAATCCCCGTTCCCCGAATCCCCGTTCCCCGAATCTCCGTCCCCCGAATCCCCGTTCCCCGAATCCCCGTTCCCGGAATCCCCGTTCCCTGAATCGAATCCCCGTTCTCCGAATGCCCGTTCCCCGAATCCCCATTCCCCGAATCCCCGTTCCCCGAATCCCCATCCCCCTCCCGCTTTGCCTCCCCCTCCCTCCCCTCTCCTTCCGTTCCCAACTCTCCCCCCAGCTCTACTCCTCTCATGCCTACCACAAAGCCCTCGTCCCAATGTCACCCATCCCCCTCTCGCTCCCTATCCCCCTCCCCTTTCCCCTCCCCTCCCCATCCCCCTTCTTCCTGTCCCTTCCCAACTCTCCCCCCAGCTCTACTCCTCTCATGCCTACCACAAGCCCTCGTCCCAATGTTGCTTGAAGCACCACTATTTAGAATTGCAGCTCTTCCATTATGAGCGAAGTCCTACCACAAGCCCTCGTCTTAATGTCACCCATCCCCCTCCCAGTCCGCCTCTCCCTCCCCCCTCAAGTCTCCCTCCCCCCTCCTGTCTCCCTCCCCCACTCCTGTCTCCTTTTCCCCCACAGGCTCCTTCCAGCTCTACTCCTCTCGCGCCTACTGCAAGGCACGGATCCCAACATTACCCATTTCCCTCTCCCTCCTCTGCCCCTCCCCTTCACCTTCTCCTCCTCCCCATCACCCACCCCCCAGCTCTACTCCTCCCGCACCTACCGCAAGGCCCTCGTGCAGACGTCCCTCAAGCCCAGGTGGGTCTGTCTGTTCTGTTTACTGCATGTGACGTTCCCATGATGTGTCTTGGACCGCCTTACATCCCAGCTTGGGACACTCCCTCCTCCTCTCCACCTCTACTCCTCTCGCGCCTACCGCAAGGCCCTCGTGCCAACGTCCCTCAAGCCCAGGTGGGTTTGCTTGCTGCCTATAGCAATCCCACTATATCTGTTTCATCCCCACCACTATGAGTCGCGAGCGAGACGTCTTACAGCCCAGTGTGACACAACACACTCCCTCTTGAGGAGTGAGACACTCGCTCCCCATTTTTGAGTCGACTCAAAAAAGCTCGATTTTTGAGTCGACTCAAAAAAGCTCCCCATCCCCCCAGTCGATTTTTGAGTCGACTCAAAAAAGCTCCCCATCCCCCCAGTCGATTTTTGAGTCGACTCAAAAAAGCTCCCCATCCCCCCAGTCGATTTTTGAGTCGACTCAAAAAAGCTCCCCATCCCCCCAGTCGATTTTTGAGTCGACTCAAAAAAGCTCCCCATCCCCCCAGTCGATTTTTGAGTCGACTAAAAAAAGCTCCCCATCCCCCCAGTCGATTTTTGAGTCGACTCAAAAAAGCTCCCCATCCCCCCAGTCGATTTTTGAGTCGACTCAAAAAAGCTCCCCATCCCCCCAGTCGATTTTTGAGTCGACTCAAAAAAGCTCCCCATCCCCCCAGTCGATTTTTGAGTCGACTCAAAAAAGCTCCCCATCCCCCCAGTCGATTTTTGAGTCGACTCAAAAAAGCTCCCCATCCCCCCAGTCGATTTTTGAGTCGACTCAAAAAAGCTCCCCATCCCCCCAGTCGATTTTTGAGTCGACTCAAAAAAGCTCCCCATCCCCCCAGTCGATTTTTGAGTCGACTCAAAAAAGCTCCCCATCCCCCCAGTCGATTTTTGAGTCGACTCAAAAAAGCTCCCCATCCCCCAAGTCGATTTTCGAGTCGACTAAAAAAAGCTCCCCATCCCCCCAGTCGATTTTTGAGTCGACTCAAAAAAGCTCCCCATCCCCCCAGTCGATTTTTGAGTCGACTAAAAAAAGCTCCCCATCCCCCCAGTCGATTTTTGAGTCGACTCAAAAAAGCTCCCCATCCCCCCAGTCGATTTTTGAGTCGACTCAAAAAAGCTCCCCATCCCCCCAGTCGATTTTTGAGTCGACTCAAAAAAGCTCCCCATCCCCCCAGTCGATTTTTGAGTCGACTCAAAAAAGCTCCCCATCCCCCCAGTCGATTTTTGAGTCGACTCAAAAAAGCTCCCCATCCCCCCAGTCGATTTTTGAGTCGACTCAAAAAAGCTCCCCATCCCCCCAGTCGATTTTTGAGTCGACTCAAAAAAGCTCCCCATCCCCCCAGTCGATTTTTGAGTCGACTCAAAAAAGCTCCCCATCCCCCCAGTCGATTTTTGAGTCGACTCAAAAAAGCTCCCCATCCCCCCAGTCGATTTTTGAGTCGACTCAAAAAAGCTCCCCATCCCCCCAGTCGATTTTTGAGTCGACTCAAAAAAGCTCCCCATCCCCCCAGTCGATTTTTGAGTCGACTCAAAAAAGCTCCCCATCCCCCCAGTCGATTTTTGAGTCGACTAAAAAAAGCTCCCCATCCCCCCAGTCGATTTTTGAGTCGACTCAAAAAAGCTCCCCATCCCCCCAGTCGATTTTTGAGTCGACTCAAAAAAGCTCCCCATCCCCCCAGTCGATTTTTGAGTCGACTCAAAAAAGCTCCCCATCCCCCCAGTCGATTTTTGAGTCGACTCAAAAAAGCTCCCCATCCCCCCAGTCGATTTTTGAGTCGACTCAAAAAAGCTCCCCATCCCCCCAGTCGATTTTTGAGTCGACTAAAAAAAGCTCCCCATCCCCCCAGTCGATTTTTGAGTCGACTCAAAAAAGCTCCCCATCCCCCCAGTCGATTTTTGAGTCGACTCAAAAAAGCTCCCCATCCCCCCAGTCGATTTTTGAGTCGACTCAAAAAAGCTCCCCATCCCCCCAGTCGATTTTTGAGTCGACTCAAAAAAGCTCCCCATCCCCCCAGTCGATTTTTGAGTCGACTCAAAAAAGCTCCCCATCCCCCCAGTCGATTTTTGAGTCGACTCAAAAAAGCTCCCCATCCCCCCAGTCGATTTTTGAGTCGACTCAAAAAAGCTCCCCATCCCCCCAGTCGATTTTTGAGTCGACTCAAAAAAGCTCCCCATCCCCCCAGTCGATTTTTGAGTCGACTAAAAAAAGCTCCCCATCCCCCCAGTCGATTTTTGAGTCGACTCAAAAAAGCTCCCCATCCCCCCAGTCGATTTTTGAGTCGACTCAAAAAAGCTCCCCATCCCCCCAGTCGATTTTTGAGTCGACTCAAAAAAGCTCCCCATCCCCCCAGTCGATTTTTGAGTCGACTCAAAAAAGCTCCCCATCCCCCCAGTCGATTTTTGAGTCGACTCAAAAAAGCTCCCCATCCCCCCAGTCGATTTTTGAGTCGACTCAAAAAAGCTCCCCATCCCCCCAGTCGATTTTTGAGTCGACTCAAAAAAGCTCCCCATCCCCCCAGTCGATTTTTGAGTCGACTCAAAAAAGCTCCCCATCCCCCCAGTCGATTTTTGAGTCGACTCAAAAAAGCTCCCCATCCCCCAAGTCGATTTTCGAGTCGACTCAAAAAAGCTCCCCATCCCCCCAGTCGATTTTTGAGTCGACTCAAAAAAGCTCCCCATCCCCCCAGTCGATTTTTGAGTCGACTAAAAAAAGCTCCCCATCCCCCCAGTCGATTTTTGAGTCGACTCAAAAAAGCTCCCCATCCCCCCAGTCGATTTTTGAGTCGACTCAAAAAAGCTCCCCATCCCCCCAGTCGATTTTTGAGTCGACTCAAAAAAGCTCCCCATCCCCCCAGTCGATTTTTGAGTCGACTCAAAAAAGCTCCCCATCCCCCCAGTCGATTTTTGAGTCGACTCAAAAAAGCTCCCCATCCCCCCAGTCGATTTTTGAGTCGACTCAAAAAAGCTCCCCATCCCCCCAGTCGATTTTTGAGTCGACTCAAAAAAGCTCCCCATCCCCCCAGTCGATTTTTGAGTCGACTCAAAAAAGCTCCCCATCCCCCCAGTCGATTTTTGAGTCGACTCAAAAAAGCTCCCCATCCCCCCAGTCGATTTTTGAGTCGACTCAAAAAAGCTCCCCATCCCCCCAGTCGATTTTTGAGTCGACTCAAAAAAGCTCCCCATCCCCCCAGTCGATTTTTGAGTCGACTCAAAAAAGCTCCCCATCCCCCCAGTCGATTTTTGAGTCGACTCAAAAAAGCTCCCCATCCCCCCAGTCGATTTTTGAGTCGACTCAAAAAAGCTCCCCATCCCCCCAGTCGATTTTTGAGTCGACTCAAAAAAGCTCCCCATCCCCCCAGTCGATTTTTGAGTCGACTCAAAAAAGCTCCCCATCCCCCCAGTCGATTTTTGAGTCGACTCAAAAAAGCTCCCCATCCCCCCAGTCGATTTTTGAGTCGACTCAAAAAAGCTCCCCATCCCCCCAGTCGATTTTTGAGTCGACTCAAAAAAGCTCCCCATCCCCCCAGTCGATTTTTGAGTCGACTCAAAAAAGCTCCCCATCCCCCCAGTCGATTTTTGAGTCGACTCAAAAAAGCTCCCCATCCCCCCAGTCGATTTTTGAGTCGACTCAAAAAAGCTCCCCATCCCCCCAGTCGATTTTTGAGTCGACTCAAAAAAGCTCCCCATCCCCCCAGTCGATTTTTGAGTCGACTCAAAAAAGCTCCCCATCCCCCCAGTCGATTTTTGAGTCGACTCAAAAAAGCTCCCCATCCCCCCAGTCGATTTTTGAGTCGACTCAAAAAAGCTCCCCATCCCCCCAGTCGATTTTTGAGTCGACTCAAAAAAGCTCCCCATCCCCCCAGTCGATTTTTGAGTCGACTCAAAAAAGCTCCCCATCCCCCCAGTCGATTTTTGAGTCGACTCAAAAAAGCTCCCCATCCCCCCAGTCGATTTTTTAGTCGACTCAAAAAAGCTCCCCATCCCCCCAGTCGATTTTTGAGTCGACTCAAAAAAGCTCCCCATCCCCCCAGTCGATTTTTGAGTCGACTCAAAAAAGCTCCCCATCCCCCCAGTCGATTTTTGAGTCGACTCAAAAAAGCTCCCCATCCCCCCAGTCGATTTTTGAGTCGACTCAAAAAAGCTCCCCATCCCCCCAGTCGATTTTTGAGTCGACTCAAAAAAGCTCCCCATCCCCCCAGTCGATTTTTGAGTCGACTCAAAAAAGCTCCCCATCCCCCCAGCTCTACTCCTCCCGCACCTACCGTAAGGCCATGGTCCCAACCCAACGTCCCTCAAACCCAGATGGGTTCTGTTTGCCACCTCTTGCATTTCCACAACACCGCCTCTTGCATTTCCACAACACCGCCTGTTGATGCATCTCAAAAGCAGTCTTCTTACACACGGTTTTGACTCGCCCCTCAACTCAATCAAACCCAGGTTATGCCTGTCTCCTCTCCCCCTCTGGTTATTCCTTTTCAGCACGGCTTTCGCCCTCCTGCAACTGGCACGCATCCATGCTGGCACCCCTTCCACCTCCCCACTCCCCCATCTCCCCACCTCCCTCCTCTCCTCTCTTCATCCTCCCTCCCCCACTCATCTCCACCTCCCTTTCCTCCTTCTCAGCACGGCTTTCGCCCTCCTGCACTGGCACGCATCCATGCTGGCAACCCCTCCACCTCCCCACTCCCCCCTCCCCACTCCTCTTTCCCTCTCCTTTCCTCCTTCTCAGCATGGCCTTCGCCCTGCTGCACTGGCAGGCATCCATGCTGACACCCCCTCCACCTCCCCACTCCCCCACCTCCCCACCTCCCCCCTCTCCTCTCCTCTCCTCTCCTCTCCTCTCCTCTCCTCTCCTCTCCTCTCCTCTCCTCTCCTCTCCTCTCCTCTCCTCTCCTCTCCTCTCCTCTCCTCTCCTCTCCTCTCCTCTCCTCTGCCCTCTCCAATTCCCCCTTCTCAGCATGGCATTCGCCCTCCTGCAACTGGCAGACATCCACCCCGGTCACATCGTGCTCGACCCCATGTGAGTCCTCCATACTCGTTATTAGACATCCCCGTTATTGAGTCACGGTGTACACCCCTCTCACAGACCCTGCCGTGGCTCTCCTGCAACTGGCGGACATCCACCCCGGCCACATCGTACTCGACCCCATGTGAGTCCATGACTCTTTACAAGGCACACTCGTATTAAGCTGTAGACATCTACGTTATTGAGTTACAGAAGATACACCTGTGAGTCACAGACCTTACCTTCGCCCTCCTGCAACTGACAGACATCCACCCAGGCCACATCGTACTCGATCCCATGTGATGCTTCAATACTCGTTACAAGGCACACTCGTATTAAGCTGTTGACGTCTACGTTATCGAGTTACAGAAAATACACCTGTTCGTTACAGGCCTTGCCTTTGCCCTCCTGCAACTGGCAGCTGATTGGCTGCAGAGCCGAACCAGTGCATTCAGTGGGCAACAGGGGCTGAGGCTGTTGGCGCATGCACCGTCTCACTCACCCAACCCCTCTGTACCGCCCACCGCACTAAATCTCTTCCGTCTTCCCCCCTTCAGGTGTGGCTGTGGGACTTTACCTTTGGAGGCTGCTGATTGGCTGCAGAGCCGAGTCAGTGCATTCGGAGGGGATAAAGACACTGGAGCCGTTGATGCTGCTGCAACCAATAGCATAGCATTGAGAACCGCAACAGCCAATAGCAGTACCTTGGGAATGGCTATAGCGAATGGGGATGCAGCAAGGAGGAGCCAAGGGGGACACGTGACAGGCTGTGATTGGCTGGTCTGGGACGCCTCTGCCCTGCCTCTGCGGACTGGCTGTGTGGATAGGGTCCTCTGTGACATGCCCTTTGGGGTCAGATGTGGTGAGTGGTGGAAAGCGGTGACAAGCGGTGCTTAGGTGGGGTGTTATGTGTGGATAGGGTGCTATGTGACATGCCCTTTGGGGTGCGGTTCGCCGAACTGCTTTCCCAAAAAAGGGTGTTCAGTGTTCGCCTGTGAAGGCGTGTTCGGGCGAACCTCGAACACGTTTGTCACGAACACTTTAAGCTAAAAAAAAAACCTGTTCGTTTCTTTGCTCAACCCTACCTCCACCCCTACCTTGCTTTCAAGCCCCCCCCTCCTCTGCCTGTGTTCTGTGCGCTCTGCATCTGCTGCTTCCAGGAAACTTCAAGATGAGGGAGAGGCTGTGCCCTGCAGTGATCCGGCAGGTGTGTGTGAGAGAGGTGGGGAGGGAATGGGGGAAGGAGGGGGAAAGGAGGGGGAAAAGGAGGGGGTGAGGGGGGGAGAATAACAGGGAAATTGACGATATGAGGGCAGTGGGTGGAGATGAGGGAGAGGCTGTGCCCTGCAGTAACCCGGCAGGTGTGTGTGCGAGGGAAGGGGGAGGAGAGGAGGGGGAGATTTGCCGTTTGAGGCGCCTCAAAAAGAGGAGAGGATGGGGGAATGTGTGATATGAGGGCAGTGGGTGGAGATGAGGGAGAGGCTGTGCCCTGCAGTGATCCGGTAGGTGTGTGTGTGAGAGGGGAGGGGGAGGAGGGGGAGGAAAGGAGAAGGGAAGGGGAGGAAGGGGGTGGGGGGGGGGAAGGGGGAGGGAAGAGGGAGGGGAGGGATATGAGGGTAGCAGGTGGAACAAGCCATTCTTGCTCAGAAATAAGGTTCTTCCTGATTTCTCTTCTTGTTTTTGAGGCGCCTCTTGAGGCTCCTCAAAAGTCGTCTCTCTACCTGAAATTAGGTTCTTCAGATTTTTCTTCTTGCTCCTCTCATCCCAGCACGACCCCCCCCCTCCCCATTTTTTTATCTCTCTCCATGATCAAATACGGTGGCTAATTACCCTTTCCTTTTCCCTGCCCAAAACATTTTCAGGTGGCACGTGTGCTGACCCCAGGCACTGGTACGTTCTCATCTTGTCACGCGCACATGTAATATTTTAGTTAGTAATCACTACTGGTCACTGCTGCTCACTGCTGGTCACTGCTGGTCACTGCTAGTCACTGCTGGTCACTGCTGGTCACTGCTGCTCATTCCCCCTTCTCCCCTTCTCCACTACACTACGTCTTCCCGTTTGTCCCCTTCGATGTCCCGCTCTCCCTCTCTCTTCTCCCTGCAGGACTGGCAGTGCTGATGGCGGTGGGGAGGGGCGTGAGGGCAGCCGTTGAAGGCCTGGCTGTGTGTCTTCCCCCATCTCCCCACCCCCTTTCTCCCCCTTGCCCCTTCCCCCCTCCTTCCCCCACTGTCTCCTTCCCCTGTCTCCTCTCCCTGCAGGACTGGCAGTGCTGATGGCGGTGGGAAGGGGCGTGAGGGCAGCCGTTGAAGGCCTGGCTGTGTGTCTTCCCCCATCTCCCCACCCCCTTTCTCCCCCTTGCCCCTTCCCCCCTCCTTCCCCCACTGTCTCCTTCCCCTGTCTCCTCTCCCTGCAGGAGTGGCAGTGCTGATGGCGGTGGGGAGGGACGGGAGGGCAGCCGTTGAGGGTCTGGCTGTATGTCTGCGGGAGAAGCAGCTGCTATATCCCTCTACCCCCCTGCTCCCCCATTCCGATTCCCCCTCTCCCCTGTCCCCCCCCCCTTGCAGGAGTGGCAGTGCTGATGGCGGTGGGCAGGGGCGTCAGGGCAGCTGTTGAAGGACTTGCTGTGTGCCTGCGGGAGAAGCAGCGACTGCCTGTGGAGATGGAGGTGAGGGGGGTGTATGAGGCACCTGAAATGAAAGCGTGAGGGGGATTTGAAGGGGCGTGACTCGTAACTGGTGAGGGCAGCTGTTGACGGGCTGGCTGTGTGTCTGCGGGAGAAGCAGCGACTGGCTGTGGAGATGGAGGTGAGGGGGGAGGGGTTGGAGGGGAGGGGGAGAGAGGGAGGGGAGCAGTGTGTCGCCTCAAAGGGTTGCAGCAAAAGCGCATGGTGAAGAAAGCGGTGTGACTGGTGAGGGCAGCCGTTGAGGGTCTGGCTGTGTGCCTGCATGAGAAGCTGCGACTGGCTGTGGAAATGGAGGTGAGGTGGTTTGACGGGGGTGAATGGGGGAGTGGTGGTGTGGGGGGAGGGAAGAGGAGAGGGGGGGAGGATATTTTCTTAACATCATTCCAACATCACATCACCTACTGTGTTTTTTCCTCTCCCTGTAGCATCCTTGCAGAAATGCATAAATCACCGCATTGCACCGTGTGGTATTTCCTCTCCTTGTTTTTTTCCAGGGCATTCGAGTCGATGTGTATGTGCTGGAGAGAACTCGTGCTCCCATTGTTCTTCATAACATCGCAACATCCTTCCAAGTTACGGTACATGATTCTTCTGTGTTTCCCTACTGTATGTTTTTTTTCCAGGGCATTCGAGTCGATGTGTATTTGCTGGAGAGAACTCGTGCTCCCATTCCGGAACCACCGCCACCAGCAGCACGACTTGCCAGGAATAAACAGTGAATGTAGACATTGCTTTAGGGGCGAGATTGGGTTGGATGAAGCTTCTCAGGATAGCACGTAACTGAAGTGAATGACTAGCAAAGGGTTGGGTTACACATAGACAACCCTAAATGGGTTGCACCGCCTAGAGAGTACCTCAATATAGCCTAATAAGCAATTAGGACGTGTTCCTACGGCCTCTTATCAAGTCTACCTGATATCAGACTAGGTAAATTCAAGCAATTCGTTATAAAACCCAATTTTTGTTGGGCTGATAAAAGCCCTTAGGATCTTCAAGGCTAAGACCTTGAGTAGAGATGTTGTAATTGCGGAAGCGTATAGTAATGTTGTCGAACCACCTTGCACTAGTGTGTGAGAGCAAGATCAATTGTTAAAGCAAAGAGATACAAGGATATATATACGATTACAAGGAATACGAAGAGGTGTGATTAACTGTTTTGCTGTTGCGGTTCGATACAGTGACAACTCGGGCAACTGCTCAATACCGAGTCAGTTGTTTGTCCTTGCTGTCACACTGTATTTTCGTCGAGTCAAAGGTCGCTGACCTTTGACCTTCGCGTAACCTCCAGCTGTTACGTTTGTTGACTCGCGTGTTGCTTCACTGTAGTCTGCTTCGTTCGTGTTATTACTTCGATACTTCATAAGCGTTAAATTGCTTGTTTCCAACACTCCCCTTCGCTTCTGGAGTGTCGCTGCTGATGACGTGGCCTTGTCCAGTCAGCAGCATGCAATACTCGAACTTCTGCTTTCCGAGCTTCTTGGTCAAGTAATCGGCTGCCATCTCGGATGTGGGACAGTAGGATAACTCAAGTCTCCCCTTCCCGATTTCGTCTTTTACGAAGAAGTACCGGAGGGCGATGTGTTTTGTTCGATTCGCGAACCCATTTGTGTTCGCTATACGAATGGCCGATTGGTTGTTGTAGAAGAGGGAGAAGCTGGGTAACTGAGCCATTTTTGCTTCTTCCAGCAGTTCGCGAAGGTATAATCCTTCCTTGGTGGCTGAGCAGAGTGCGATGTATTCTGCTTCAGCTGAGGAGAGAGCGATTAGCTCTTGCTTGTTCGACTGCCATGAAATGGGGCCGATAGGTTCGAGTCGGTAGATGTAGCCAGTGCGAGATCGCCTATTGTCAGAGTCTCCGGCGTGATCGGCGTCGACGTAGCCGATTAATTTAGGTATCGTAGTTCCGGTTTTGTGGTAGGTTAGGCCGATCATCGGGGTGCTGACGAGGTAGTGAAGTGCATGGTCGAGCTCCGCCATGTGATCTGCTTCAGGTTTCTTGAGATGGGTGGCGAGTTGAATAGCTGAGTAAGATAGATCTGGTCGGCAAGTAATGGCTGCGAAGAGTAGACAGCCTAGCTTTCGTTGGTAGTCACGAATGCCGGCGGGTTTGAGTAGGGCGGAGGCTTCCTTGCGATTTCCGCCGGTGTAACGATATGGCGTGGTGATGGTAGCTGGAGTTAGTCTAAAGCGTTTGGCGATGGTGTCGGAGTATTTCGCGGCGCTGAGGTAGATTGCGTTTTCCTCGTTTTGTATGTTGAGTCCTATGTATTGTGTCACGGTAGACGAGACGGTGAGTGTGAGGTCTCGCTGTAGCTCCCCTTCGAACCAGGTCGTGACGTCGTCGGTAGAGCCGACGTAGAGCAGGTCGTCCATACAGACTATGAGTAAGATGTAGTCGGTACCCTTCGTGAGACGATACATCCCTTGGTCGTGCGGTAGTTGACAGAATCCGATGTGGATTAGTCGGGCGTGAAGGTACTGCTGCCATAGTCTCGGGGCTTGCTTGATGCCGTACAGTGATTTTTCCAGCTAACAGACTTGATTGGGGTCCGCGTTAGATCTGTGTGGTTGTTCGACAAAAATCTATGCGTCGACGGGAGCATACAGAAAAGCGTTGGCGACGTCGATTTGGCGGAGCTTCTTCTGCATCATGGCGGCTATCGCGAGGAGAATCCGCAGTGAGGTGTGTCGGCTAACTGGCGCAAATGTTTCGGTGAAGTCTCGTCTGTATTCTTGGTCGAAGCCGCGCACGACCCAGCGTGCCTTGAATTTGTCTATCGTTCCGTCAGCTTTCGTTTTCACGCGGAAGACCCATTTTCCCGTGAGAATGATCTTGTTGCGTGCCACTCCGATATGCACGACTTTCCAAGTGTTGCGTTCTTGCAGTGCCTTTAATTCTCTGTCCATGGCTTCGCGCCATTTTTCCCTGTGTACCCCCCCCCCGAGCCTGCTGAATAGTGGCAGGCTCCTTAGGAGGTGCCGCTCCGTGGACGAAGGCTTTGAAGGTCATGTCGCGACTCGGAAGGTTGAGATGCCAGACGTATCGAGTAGCGGCGTCGATAAAAGTGATGACGTAGTTGTATGCTCCCTGTCCATGTTCGCGGGCATACAAGATGTCGTTGTAGACTTTCTCCAGTGGTGCGTAAACTGGCGCGCTCGGATTGTGGTGAGAGACAAACGGTTGATGAGGTAGGTCGGCTTCGGGGCAGGTAAAACATGTACCTCAGACTCGTTGAAGTTCTCTGCCGTCGGTTACAAGTAGGGAGTCTTTGTCGAGTACTCCTGCCCTGGTCGTGTTGTTTAACGTTGTGTTGCTTGGGTGACCCAATCTTTCGTGCCACAGTGATTAGCTCGCACGGTGTCCTGGTGAGCGCCTGTATAGGTCGGAGTTGGAATAGAAGCCGATGGTGAAGCTGGCGCTTCTGTGGACTTCTCTTGGAGTGGGAGTCAACCACTGAGCGGAAGTTGGTGGCATGTCGTCGATGGGAACCGGTGTTGTTGAAGGACCAGCCAGTGGTGTCGTAGTTGTTGTTGCTGCTACCGATGTTGTCTCTGCTGCTGCCGATGTCTCTGCTGCTGCCGATGTTTGATGAATTGTTACTAACACTCTCGTTCGTTCTGCTTCAGGTATAGTGTGAGAGAACCAGAAGCCTTCAGGACTAAAGTCGGGGTCGAGATCTGGCGGGTGTGTCCAAGAGGTGAAGTTGACGATGGCGTCGCTGTCGGCGGTGCCTTGGTCTGGAACGAAGTCAAGAACGAAGACATTGTTCTTCAGGACTGCTTTGCCGATGTAGAGTCCACCCTTTCCATGGTACAACTTGAACTCCTGGGTGGTGCTGTCTGCTTCGAGATGGATTCCCTTCGCCATTAGTTGACTGACGCAGACTAAGTTATAGCCGAGTCCTTCTGCGATTAAAACATTTGACATCTGCAAAATAACGTTGGTTTCTCGAGACTGGAGTTGAACTATCCCTTGTCGTCGTGTGCACAGATTCTGGTTGTTGGCGATAGTGATTACGACTTCGCGCTGAAGTTGATGTTCCCGTTGAACGAAACGACCCGATGAGCACATGTGTTGTCCGCAGCAGCTGTCCAAGAACCAGGTGTCTTTCCCGGACGGCTCGCTCTGAGCGATGGCTGCGTACGTCGGGTTGAACTCCAATGATTCACGGCGAGGGATGCTTTCGTTGAGTTGTTCTTCTGGTGAGTAGTATGGTGGCGATCCGGTGATGCAGGAGTCTGCTGTTCTTGCCATGCAGCTTACGATGTTTCTTGCGCCTTGTGTAGGTTTTGTCGTCGATGTTGTTGAGGACTGTACTAGATTGGTGGGATGCGCTTGTGTAGAAGTAACTTGACTGCTTGAAGGTCGAAGTTGATGTTTCGGCGGCGTAGACTGTTGCTGATTCGGGCAGTGTGTGCGAGGGTGTCCTGACATCTTGCTGAGATGGTAGAACGGTGGTACGTACTGTTGAGCTTGATTTTTGTTCTGTCGATTGTTGTTGTTGTTGTTGTTGTTGTTGTTGTTGTTGTTGTTGTTGTTGTTGTTGTTGTTGTTGTTGTTGTTGTTGTTGTTGTTGTTGTTGTTGTTGTTGTTGTAGCGCCGTTGAGTGTGAAACGCGAACTCTGGTGCTGACGCTCTCTTCTTGTGTCGTTCTTTGTGTAGGTCCATGTCCTGCTGTTCAGCGTGAATTTCGGCGCAGAGTGCCGCTTCGGAGATCTTCCCGTGAGCTCGGAGGATAGCTCAAGTGGAGCGCCAATGAGGACCGAGGCCAGTGATGACAATTGTCACGAAGGCTTCTTCGGATATTGATCCTCCGCATCGAAGGAGTCTGTCGCGCAGTCCACGACAACGGCTGATATATGCCATCCCTTTTTCGCTGGGTTTCATTTCCACTGCTGTCAGCTGCGCCATAAGGCGACTTTGATTAACACTGTCTGTTGCTTGATACAGGTTTTTCAGGTGGTCGTACGCGAGCTCGGCGGAGTTGCCGTACCCTCGATAAGACCGGGTGTTTTGCTGCTCGTTCGGAGTTATGTTTCGCAGAAGAATTGTATACGCCATCAAGGACTGATACGTGTATTATTGTTTGTCGTACTGTGTCCCGTGTGTTGGGTATGGCAGGGATCCGTAGAAGAATCCGAGAATCTGTGCGCCTTCCATCATTAGCTCAAACTCAAACGACCAGGTATAGAAGTCCTTTCCGTCAAAGGGTGTCGATGTCTGCAGTTTCAAAACGTGTGCGAACTGTGATTGAACCTGAAGCGCGTCCAGTGTCTTCTCTTGTCCAAGTGAAGGCTGTTGGTGTGGCGTGAAACTGATGGAGCCACGTTGAGGTTCGTACGGGGCAAAGGTAGGTTGCTTCTGGTTTCCGCGCGCATAGGATGAACCGTCGAGGCTCATTGGAGTAACCCTATTGTTGTTGTCGATGTTGTTTGATTGCGCAGGTGCTGCTTGCTGGTGCTTCTCGTAGAAGGACATGAAGGAGAAGAATTTCTCCATCATGCTTGGGTCGAGGCCTGCTGCCTGATTAGTAGGAGTTTCAGTAAACTCAGCTGTTGATCTTGTCGCTGTGCCTCCTTCCGTCTGTAGGCTAGAGGTTGGGGGTGGAGTAGATGTAGTGCTGGGAGATCCGTTAGAGGAACTTCTCTCCTTCTGAGTTGCCATGCCTTGTGCTGTTGTAGGATTTTGAGTAGTTGATCTTGCCTTGGAGGCTCTCAT